CGCTGTTGCTGCGCTGCACTTCCACCAACTCGTTCTGCATCTGCACCATGCGCGCCTCGCTCTCGTTCACCTGTCGCTGCTGCTGCTCGACGCTCGCTTTCATCGACTGCAGCGCCGCGCGCAGCGCGCTGTTCGTCTTCTCCAGCTCGCTGAGCTGCGAATCGCGGTCGGTTTGCGCCGCCGCTACGCTGGAGGGCGTGCTGCTCTGCGCTTTCTCCAACGCCAGGCGGAGCTTCGCGATGGTGGCGCGATCCTGGTCGGAGACGGCGAGGAGATCGGCGATTTGCTGGCTCTGCGAGGCGAGGGAGTCGGATTTGATGGCGATTTCTTGCTGAATGGCGTGGTAGCGAGATTTGAGAAGGCTGATTTTGTCCACCGTGCTGAGGAGCATTAGTTCCACTTCGTTTGTGGAGCTCTCCGTGGAGGATTCGTTGGGGGCCTCGGCTGCGTCGTCGATCGAAGAGTCCAGGGAGGATTCGGCGGATTGGGAGAGCGAGGAAGGGAAGATTTGGCGGATGGCTGCGTAGAGGAGAGGCTTGATTTCGTCCTCGCGCTCGCTGTTCACGTCCAGATATTGCGAGATGGAGATGAAAAGAGAGGTGATTTGGTTGCGAGCGGCCGAAATGATGGCTTCCAGCTCGCTGACTCGAGCAGTGGATTCCTCGAGTTGCTTTTGCGTTTTGTTGTACTCGGATTGGAGTTGCTCATGCTCTTGACACATCGATTTGTAGTCTGTGTTACGTTTATCCAGGTTGTACTCAAGATCGCGCTTCTCGAATTCGATCTTTTGGATATCTGCGGTCAGTTCCACAATGCGGGACTGGCAAGCAGCAGCATTCGAATCCAGCTGAGATACCGAATCAAGCGATGCCGTCTTTTTTTCTTCTAAAAACAGTCCCTCCTTCTAGAGCATGAGTTGCATCCCCAAACCCCACTTTCACGTCCCACCAACAACGCAGAGCCACACTCGTTAAGTCCGGCTGTGGATTGCTTTCTAGCATTTGAAACATCGAGTCAAGCACTACCACTAAACGGTTTCGTCACGTACTCCAAAAACCCAATCATGGTTGCCTCCAGTGCATCATATTTGCTTTTTATTTCTACGACCTGACATCATAAAGAAAAATCTATACCAGTGGTCTGGGTTTCGGCAATTTGGAGCTTCTTCTTCATAAGTTTCAAAACATCCTTGTATTGAACAATCTGACCACTCTGTGAACTCATCTCCCACGATGAACGAAAAACGGTGCACGAAACAAAAACAATGACAACGAGTCTCCAAACAAACAAGCAGATCGATATAGCACAGCGAAAATTAATTGGTGGATGGGTTAAGGGGAATGAAAGCTCGGGAAAAATCGCCAAGGATTTCATTCATCACGTTGATCCCCTTACTCCGATTCTGATTATCTGTAGAAATGAACCAGTTTTCCAGTTTCAGGTTTAACAAACCTGACAGGCCACCTTGCACATTCAACTTCTTGCTATATTCGGTTTTGGAAGGATCTGTTGCCGATGGTTTGTATACGCATAACTCGTCAACAGTAGCGAAGCAATTCAGACTCAAGTTCTTTGTCCTCAAAGTGAGAGTTTGCGTCTTTGGATCCACAATCGACTCCTCTCCTGCATAGGTCACGACATCACCAATGATGGCTTTAACAAATGCAGGGATATCTTGGTAAATGACATGGAGTCTCTTGGTGACAAGACGACCCTCGGAATCAATCGAACGACTCAAGACAAGAGCACGCGATTGCGAGCACATAGGATGCCCTAGGAGTGAGAAGCGAACCCAGGTAAAACCTACAATACTTCTTCCAGAACGAAGTAGTGACGTGCCTCCAATCTCCATCATATTCGTGAACAAACTCAGAATCTTTCATAGTTCCTTTCTAGAGTGATAACACCAAAGTTAAACAAAAGTGTTAAAACAATAGACTGAATGTATGATTCTTAAAACGAGAGATCCAGAATGAAACTCCCGTAGAACGGTTCTTTGGAAAGAATGCTCAGATACTAACTAGTTCTGGGTACTTCGTTATGCAACACACTCTGAATACGTGAGAAACCTCTATCCAAGGCTCATCCAGAGTTCAACGATTTCGATACTTTGGTAGTGAACAAACAAATCATTTAATCAATATGGCCACTAAAAAGAATATGCATCTTACGTAGAACTATTAGGGGTTCTAGCATCCAAACCAAAGTTGATCTTCACTTTTCCAAACAAAATATCGTTCATCACTTCGACACTCTTTTTAAAATGATGGCCTTCATTATAGGCATACCATCTCTCAATTTGACCAGACATCAACATCGCAATCTTTGCAAACGTTTTCGTTGATTTCTTGTAGTCCGTCTTTTTAGGGTCATTTTCGCAAACAGTATAGCTACTTACATCCAAGGCAGCAGCTTGACGAGTAAAAGACAAATTCTTCGAATGGATCGTCAGCTGCTTCTTCTTGGGATCGATAATACTCTCTTCGCCGCCATAGGTTACAATATTGCCGCAAATCTTCTGCATGAAATACGGCAGGTTCTGGTAGATTACATGCAAGCGCTTAGTCACCAGTCTTCCATCCTTGTCGATATACCTGTTCAGGACATAGGTACACGAATGTTTCTGGCCCGGATGCCCTGCGCATGATCCCACAATGTGATCGCCTACAATATTTGCGCCAAAACGCAGATGTCACCGACTCCCAATCAGAGTCGTACGTATAAGAGTAAGAGTTCACTCTCATGATGGAATATGGCAAAAAACACCGGGAAAAGGCAGCACCAAATTATTAAGCCAGGATTGTTCCTGTACAGATGGTTGGCTAAAACATGGAAATTCCCGTTATGCGGCACAATCGTCTCAAACTTTGATTACCTCGTATTGTTGAACGTTTGAAAAAGGCCATTTGATTGATTACCTCGCGAAAGACCCAATGCCAATAGAAATACGCCTTGGAGAAGAGGTCCACTCGATGTTTGCTTTCATGTTACCATCGATAAGAATTGACTACCGATAGACTCTTGAATGATCACATACACTATTTCATAAAATGAGTGTGCGTTCTCCAAATAAGCTGAGTTCTACGGAAAAGAAACGGTTTATTAATGCGAGGAACTGCACAATCAAATGCCAGTCGATTATTCGAATGGTTCTGGAAATGCATGATAGCTACATGAATTTGAAAAATGATAATGCGGTTAGTACGGATAGTGGTGGAGAATAACAATGAGGTGAGCAGAGCGAGCAGACTCAGTTTATACAGCAAAGTGAGCATTCTTTAGTCCAATCGAAACAAATATCATGGTCTCCGAGACTACCGACTGAGAAGTCAACAGATCCGTATATGTTTTTCAATGAGTGTGTTGTGTAGTTTGAAATCCTTGACTCCACTCAAACCTACTAGCATGCATGTGTTAACACCGCTATTCAATCGCATTTCGCCACAGCAATCGAATTCACCTATACCATGTGTCAAACCAGCTTCTGAACATATTCCTACACCAGTTCCTCAACATAAATTGTCTTCTACTCCGCCCAGTTCTCCGAAACGGCCATACAATGTCTACTCCATTTCTCCAGAAAGGAGGAAACGATCCGCGCAAAAAATGACACGTCAGTGCGGTATGACTATTGCTGATTCTGATTAGCCTGCAGTTCAAACTCAATTTTCCGAAGCTTCGCTGCACACACCTCCCAAACGTCGCCATTACGTTGATGTACCTTTCATTCATTTGATTCACATGCAGACAAGCGTGGGTCAGTACACGGTTCGTTCCCATAGCTGCAAAGAACAAGAAGAAGAAGAAGAAAAGCACATCCACTGGGCAGACAAAGCGTAGTTGTGAGGATTGGAGTTGATGACTAGAACGCAAAGGCCGCTCGTGCAGGGAACGCCGCCGCCTTCGCAGCCGCTTCACCGTCAAATCAAGGAATTAAAGCCGTGCATGGAAAGTCCGGATGCATCGACGAAGCAATCGCTGGAGGAGCAGCGGATCGCGATGATAACGAGCCAGCGAACGGCCTATCTGGAGCAATTGGAAAGAAAGAAAGCTCGTTTGTTTTAGTTGCGTTTTTCGATATCTTTGTTGAACAAACAGACAACTTCATTAGACTTCTAAACTCGTTGATGTCGATTCTTCCGTCCTTATCGCCGTCCGCTTCTTTAATCATCGCATCAAGCTGAGCATCCGTAAGATTCTCGCCTAGACGATTCATCACCTGACGAAGCTCGCTCTTCGTAATATATCCGTCCTTGTCGACATCAAATACAGCGAATGCCTCAGACATTTCGTCCACATCCTCTACACATTACACTCTTCCGTACAAACATACCCGATTGCTTGATTTGATTACTGATCAGCGTCATGAACTCGTCGTAGGAGATTTTACCGTCTTGATTCGAATCTGCAGTCACCATCAACTCTTCAATATCGTCTTCGGAAGGATTCTGTCCCAGGGATCTCATGATAGTCTTTAACTCCTGGCGAGAAACAAATCCGTCCTTATCCTTGTCAAATACCTCAAAGGCTTGTGTGTATTCCTTTCTCTAATTATTATTCACATTTTACAGAATAGCCCATACTTGTTCTTCGGTTAGTTCCACTTTAGACATTACAAAACACTTAATGCTCAAGAATCTTTACGAATAATCCCCTCGATTTTGGGAATTCCAAAAATCCCGTACTACCAAACAAAAAAGAATATTCTTTCCAACAAATAGAATCAACAATCAGCTTTGTTACTCGAAACCGGGTGGGGGACTGCTATCATCATCGTCCGCCTTCTCATCGCGCGCACTCGCACCCACAGACGACTCCATCTGCGAAGCACCATGCACCGCAGGTTGCCCAGGATACGCTTCGCCGCCCATTCCCTGCCCGTTTCCTCCTCCTCCTGGCTGGCTTCCCATTCCGTACATTGCTGGAGGCGGCATGCCGGGTTGCATGCCGGGCTGCGGCATTCCTGGTGGCGGCATTCCTGGAGGCGGCATTCCGGGCTGCTGGGGCCCTGGAGGGGGCATTCCAGGCTGCGGCATACCGGGCTGGGGCATTCCGGGCTGCATGAAGTACATGAAGGCCTGCTCGTTGTACATCTTCTGGACGGTATCCAGATCGACCGAGGAGTTGAACAGATTATTGAACGGGCTGATTCCGGCCATGTAGGAGCGCGGATCCTGCGCGAAGCTGTCCTCCTTGTACTCCTTCGACCCCGCCGTGGTGCCCAAAATCCGGTTGACTTCGGCCTGCGCGTCCTCCTGCTGCTTCTGCGAGCCGTGGATCGACACGTAGCGCATTCCGGGGTGGTCCTTCGCGTCCGCGCGGTCCACGTGCAGGCGCGCGCCGGACTTGCGCTGGATGTCCTGCACGACGGCGCCGCGCGTGCCGATCACGAGGCAGACTTTGTCGGAGGGAACCAGCAGGCGGATGGGCGGCGCGTCGCCGTCCTCGGGAACCAATTGGCCCTAGAAATGGAGGAGGAGCCGAAAGGGGACGTCGGCGATGAGCAGGACTTGGCGCTTGGCTTCGAGGACGTTCTTGGGATCGCCGGTGATGATGACGTTGCGAAGATCGGGGTGCTTGGCGTCGCCTTCTTTGGCGATGTGGATCGTGGTGCCGGTGCGGCGCTGCAGCTCGGAAATCGTGGCGCCCTTGTTCCCGACGATGAGCCCGATGAGGCTCTTCTCGATGGCGATGGTCTCGAAGCCTTCGCGGCTCATTTGCATTTGGTGGATGATGTCGGGACGGCCGGTGCGGACCATCTCTTTGATCACCTCCTTGGCCTTCTCGATGGCTTCGGGCGTGCCGCGGATCGACACATCGCGAATCATGCTCGACGGATTCACATCCGAGTCGCGTTGAATCTACCCGCATCAGACTCATCGCCTTATTCTCTCACTCGAATCGTCACCGAATAAATCTCCTCGATCTTCTTCACATGGCTTCCGCCTCGCCCCATCACCAACGGCACCGTCGGCACGGGGATCTGCATCACTTCCACGGTCTGCGCTACGATCAAACCATGGACTTAGACGAACCTGCAGCGTCGGGCCGCTCGATCGTGTTCAGCGAAGACACGAGCGAGGTGATGCTGGGGATCTCCGCTCGTTGCTAGCGATTACAACACACAAACACACACGCACAGAGTATTGCTCGATCAACCGACGCGCGTGATCGGGTTTTGAGAAAATGTTGTTGACTTCGGTCACCGCTTCGTTTAGCGATTCGCGGTCGCTCGCAGACACCAAAACATGGAGAGGCTCGTCCATCTCCGTCACGACCACCTATCCGTGATGCAGGGAGATAAAATAAACGTCGGAGCCGCCGATTGTGATGGAAGTGTGCGTGTCTGCTTCGAGTGTGCTGCAAGCAGGACCATTGAAAATGGCGCGGTAGTCAATATCGTAGTTTTGCTGAGGAAAATATATCTTTTTGGTTAACACGGCGCTGCTGAATCGAGACGATGTCTTCTTTTGAGGCGCAGCTGACATTCACTTGGAGAAATAGCGAACAATACCACCCATTTTTATATTGCGCGCTGCCTCCATCGCAGCAACCACAGCGGCACTCACACGCGAATCACTGAGCGAATTTGTCGGGGTAGCTGATAAACCCGTCCCGTCCGGCATCGTTGAATCAAAGAGGGATGGAGGACGCTCTGTCGTTTTATTTTCAGCTTGGGAACGGTCGCGGTCATAATCGCGGTCGCGGTCGCGGTCGCGGTTGCGGTCATAATCGCGATCTCGGTCACGATCGCGGTCACGATCGCGATCGGACCGTGAGCGTTGATAATGGTGATCGCTGCTACGAGTGCGACTCGAATCTCGATCTCTCGAACGATCTCTGGAGCGATCTCGACTCCGATCACGATCATGTCTGTGATGCGAACTTCTTCTGCTTCTGTCTAAAAATCACACTATTTTCCTATCCAGTCTTTCAAATTAGAAACGAGCAAGAGCACCTACACCACGATCTCTGGACGGCATGGGGATGTGAACTTATACAATCCTTGCCTAGAGAAAACTAAGACGGCTGAGAATAAGAATCTCTGTTCTGAAAGTCATCGCCTAATTCCCGCGGAAGTGGTGAATATAAAAAACAAACCAAAGAGAAATATCAGGAACATCAAAAGGTTCATTGTCGTCGTCGTCACTAAACTCAAAATTGTCGTTTGCATCCGGAGTAATCGTTGTGGCCGTGATAGCCTCCAACTCCATAGACTTCTTTCGTTCCTTCTCTATATAATCCATACTGAGCTTTCTCAGCTTCAAAATGCTTTTCTCCGTTTCCAAATCCATAGAAGCCGTCTCCTTGGAGACATTCTCTCCCTTCGGTTCTTTCTCTTCCGTTTCCTCCTTTTTCTGCTCAACCTTCACCCCTTTTTCCTTCTCCTCCTCCTCCTTTCTCTCGGGTACCTCCTCCACTTTCATCTTTTTCGACATGTCTCCCGTTACAATCGGAACCGTTTCCACATTCGCCGTCGCAGCCATCTCCACAGTCTCCGAAATCACAGGAATCTCCTTCCTCTTCACCGACACCCGGCTTTCCTGCTTCTCTCCTCTCTGGAAAGACGCGTCTGACTGCGAGGACATCAGCCAAGGATCCGGCTTCTCTTCCGTCTCCGGCTCCACATCGGGATTAACCATGACCTGAACAGAGTCTACGATCGCATCCTCCAGCAGGCTCTACTGAGAATAGGCCGATACAGGAACTGATTGGGCGCGTGCTGCAGCAGACTCAACGCAGAGCTCGCACATGCGATCCGCTCGACCTCGCTCTCCGACTCCGCACACAGCTGCTGCGCATTCAGAAGCGGCGGCAGAAGAGCGACCAGGGGAGAGAGCTGGCCGGACGGAAGGGGCACCTAGGCGTCAAACCCGCGGGAAAAACGCACCGAAGCAGCCGCCAAAGTCGCGTCCAGAACCGCGTTCTGCAGTTCCCGAACGGTGGAAACGGGGAACTTGGCGCGGTGGGAGTGGGAGGGAGCGAGGGAGCGGGAGAGCGCGATGAAGAGCTCGAGATGGAAGGCGAGGGCCGTTTCTTCTTTGAGGAAACGCCCGCGGAGAAGGAGGACGCGAAGAAATCGCGCGGCTTCGAGGTAGAGACGGTGCGAAGCGGGGTGCGAAGACCAGGCGAACTCCTCGCGGGCAGAGGAAGAAGAAGAAGAGGGCTGGTCGATCTGCATGGCAGGCTGCTTCCGCTGCCGCTTCTTTCCTTTTTCTATTGGATAAGAAGCGAGAGAAAACGAAACGCTCGGTCTGCGTGATGGACACCTTGTCGACCGCCGTGTTCATCGCGCGCAGCATCGACAGCAGCGGGCTCCACAGCTCCGCGAACAGCGGTACGAACGACGCTCCTCCGAATAGAATCAGCTGGCTACGAATCAGCAACCCATAACCAAAAAAAGAGAACATACCGAATGCAGAAAAGCGTCTTGATCGGGATCCACACGTCGTACTCGCGGTAGCAGCGCAGAAAGAAGAGTCGCAGCGGCGTCGCGATGCGCTGCGACAGCACCAGCGTGTGGCTCCCGAGGCGTTGGATCAGCAGCGCCAGCGCGTCCAGCGCGTGCGGGTACACCAGCGGGAAGAGAAGCCACTGCTCGCGCGGGGAGAGCGCGATCCCGTTGCAGCTGGCCTCTTCCGAGCGACGCCCCGCGGGGACGAAGGACTCCAGGAGGCGGAGAAGCGGGGCGAGAACGGGGAAAAGGGGAAAGGAGACGACGGGGGGCGGGGATTGGAGGAGGGACTGGAGGAGATGGAGCAGCGTGGTGAGACGCGCGAAGGCGAAGGCGGGAGTGATGCGGCCGTAGGTGGAGAGAGGACAGAGAGGAAGCTTGGGACTGGCCTCCAAGACGGGGTTCAGCGTGCCCGTGATCTCCGCGAGGGCGTGCTCGAGCGAGGCGAGCGAGAGCGATAAGGTCTGCTTCCAGGCGTCTTCGGATTTGTCGGTCTGAATGAGAGGAAAGGAGGAAGAAGACTTTGGTGAGAGCACACACGACTTGGACGGTAGCGTCGCGAATTTCAGGGGAGGGGTTGTTTAGAAGGGGATACTGAATGGAATGCAGAGAGAGAGGGCGAATTACAATGATGGGCTCGATGTTCGCAAGAATGGGCTTGATGGACGTAGTGAGCGATGTTATGAGCGAACGCAGAGCAGCCAAGTTCAATTCAAACAGGGGAAGCTACATCTCACCACGAACCTGGGCGAACATACCATTTCTTCCGTTTTCAGAATATCGAGATGGAAATACACAAATTCTCGCAGTCGAGTCAACGAATCTCGCATGAACTGGTTACTTAGACTAGTCAACTGCGAATAAATGAATTTCATCAATTTCAATGCTAGTCATTATGCATTATCCACACAAAAACATTCTGCTTTTGCACTGATATTGCCGCAATACATTACCACGGACTTTGAAAAGTCCAAGCAACGCATAATGCAATTCTCCAGCTCGGCTAATACAGAATTTTCGATCGCCGCCTTCACCACACGTAAGCAAGCGTAAATGACATCTCCTCCATTCTTTTCACTCATCGATATAATTCTGTTGATGAACTTCTGCATTGCCAGCGCATTCTCTCTTCCACTGCAAGGTAATCCATGATTCTCCAAAATCGCGAGAATTTGGTCAACTGAAAAAGGTCCCAATCCGTAGGAATCAACAAGAAAGTTTAAAGACTGCATTCTCAACGATTAAGAAAATAGTGAAAAATAACGGAAAATGGCGGAAACTACATAAAATAATAGTATGAATGCACGGTAAAGAAATGAATTAGAGATCACACAAATAGGTAAAGGAATGGATTTGTGGATTACGCATTATCGAAAGTGCCTGTCAACAATGTTTTGTTGTTTTATTCATTTCTATTCGTAAGAAAATCGATTTTAAAAGGTAAGGCCAAAATCTATTGAATTAGACTATAAATACTTAGAATCAAAATACCCCCACCACATTGACAGTTTCATAAAATAAGCAATTCACAAAGAACTGACAATCACCATGAAGGGACCTTGGGAAAGCATTGCTTGCGGAAGAGAGAAGGGTTTCCAGACCCAGAAGCTGGAGAAGAAGGTGAGCCACTGCCAGAAGAGAGTATGTAGCTGTTGGAGACGATTTAATTATGTAGCACACCTCGAAGAGATCGAAGGTTGTTCGTGAACTCATCAGCGAGGTCACTGGCATGATCCCCTACGAGAAGCACATGATGGATATCCTGAAGGTATTGGGTGAGGCTATGTACTAATTTTCGTAGGCTGGAGGCAACAACACTGAGAAGAAGATGTACAAGTTCGCCAAGAAGCGAGTAGGTTCAAACCGTTCTGAATGACCCCTAGCTTCACTCTCACAAGAGAGCTCTTGCTAAGAGAGATGCTATCAAGGAACTCTATGCCAAGATGCGTCGTGCTCATCATCACCACTAAGTGTATTGAAGACTCACTTCGGGTGTGTATTGTCCGTGTGTTTGTTCGATCAAACAATCGCAATGTCCTTGACTCTCCTCACAACTTCTTCCTTCATCCTTTTTCTTTCTCCCCTTAGTTCTCCTTCTCGGCGGCCTTCGCAGCACGCTTGGCACGCTTACCGAAGTTGTGGGCATCGCACAGAGCCTGTCTCAGTCCCATGAACGCAGACCGCTTCTTCAGCTCGGGAGTCACTTCCATGAACTCCACCTTCGGGGCGACCTTCTCAATCGGCAGGATGGTGCCATTCAGCTGGGTGGCAGCAGCCATCTCCTCAGCAGTGGCCACTCCCTTCTCTCCCTTCACTCCGCGAGGGAACAGGATCAGCTTGCTCTTGTACGCGTTCAGACGCTCCACGTTCGCCTGCAGAGACTCCACGCAGCGGTTCACACGACGATGATCCACAGCAATACCAATCGTCAGAGCCTCACGGGGGTTGATTCCGGCCTCCTATTCCATTACACACCAAACCAAATCAAAGCACACCTTCAACTCCTGCAGAGTGAAACCACGGCCCAGTCTGGTTTTCATGTTGTACTTCTGCGTAGAGCAGCGGACAACAGGGCGGAGCAGTCCGGCAGCAGGGCGAGGAGCGATCGCGGCAGCCTTTTCCTTACGGAGCAGTCTGCGGCGTCTCTTCTGTCCAGCCTGATCGAACCAGGTCTTCACACGGCGATCCCAGTCCTTCTTAAAGTGAGCATTAGGTAAAACGTTGTTGTGCTTCATTTCACTACAAAATGTGAGATAAGGAAGACCCCAGCAAATCCCTTACGAACGAAACTTGTTCCAAGGACAATTTCTGCTTTACTCCAACCAGACATCACTATGGGACAGAACGATCCAAAACTGACCATAATTCTTTTTTCGTCTAGAAAGGGTTCTGCACAATGCTAGATATAGAAACGTCAATAGCAAGCGAAAATCTATAAAATGGACATGGGACTATGTGGAATGAGAATGCACTTCAGCAGTGAAAAGGAAGCAACAGCCACCCTGCAAATCGTGTGTGTAACAAAATTCAAAATGAAAGATCAATTGTACAAGGAATTCTGTCAAAGAACGCGTTGGCAGAGATTCCATCACCCCCGATTACTTAAGCACCAATGAGAATGTTGTTGATAGGAATGTGAATGAGCTTGACAAAATAACCGACAAGTCCCATAACGACGAAACCAACAGCAGAGGCAGTCGCAGTCTGAGTGAATTCTACAAATCATAGAGTTCAACAACCTCTCACCCTTGCGATCAGGTTTAGTGCAACGGTTCAACAGGAATTTGCTGTCTCTCACGAAGTCCTTCACGGGCTGAATAATATCGGTCTCCAAAGTCATAATTCACTTGTTTTTTATAAATGGAACAGCATGAACCTAATTAATAGAGGGCCATAAAATGACCAATGCTCGAATTTCGATTCAACAAACAACAATTCAGTGCTTGGTCAATCGCATACGGTAAAGGTGCCCATGAGAATCGTCATTGATTTCCTCATACGTTACGAATCCAGCTCGATCATAGATAGTTTTTCCATCCACAGTGGCTAATAACACCAATTCCTGCAATGTTAGGATGCGGAAACAACAATACCTTCTCAGGATAATGTTCTTTGTAATAGGCGACGAGTTTATCCACCAGAGTTGTTCCAATTCTTTTGTGCTATCCAGAAATAGAACGTAGGAATTCTACCTGGTAGTTTGGTGATACAAAAAGCTTGATCAACTCAGTGTCCGTCACACCTCCTACACCAACGATCCTTTTCATAAGCAAGTGAAAATAGATCTACTCATCTTCAACCGTGGCACACAAGAAATAGTATTTCTCAAGATATGGGACCAACTCACTGGGTTTATTGCATTCTTCAATTCTATTAAGAACAATCTAGAATTGAACAATAGCATATCATTATTACATCTGAGTAGTTTTTAGAATTCGTTATTCGCAACGCTTCACAGATCATTTTGGATATGTCTTCTGCATCATCCGGAGTGGCTTGACGGTAGAGAATATTCATAAATCGGAAACTTGTCTGTGAATTCCAAACAGAACTGTGTGTAACTTTTATGTTTATCATATTTTAACAACACATTAAACAAGAATAGCATCTCCTCATGAATGTGTAGAATGTGGTTTGTATTCCTGGTGTATATGTAAGATAATTCACCATATTTGTGAACATTAGGCTTCATTTATGGAAATAAAGAAGCAGAAAGGATGTGAGTGAAAGCAATAGTCATCTCATTGAAAGTCGAACTATTTGATGAATATTTTTCTGTTCAACAGATGATCATCCAAGTGCAAAGTCTAATCTACCAATTCAATTCATATCTATCTCACATCTTCTACACTTCTGCTTATTAGAATACGTCAAATACATATTCAGCACAAAGTAAACAGAAATTCGTTGTGACTCGTGTATTACGCATCCTACGTAAATTTGACACTCTTCTGTACAACTAAAGCGAATAGCCGAGCTTTATACCATTCATTCCCAAAAGAAATTGATGATTCCATTCAGATTCCAGAAATCGCGGGTATTTCGTTCAGGATCGCATTTTCCCAAATCTATCATCCTCGTTGTAGTTTTCTTAGTTTAGAAGATTATTTGAAACCATGGATGCTAAAACTCAAGCAGGAGCAAAAGGAGGTGCAAAGACGCCTGTAGGTTGTGTGTTTGGTTGTTTCGCAACTCCTTCTCACCGCTATTTGTAGGAATCAATTGTTGAAGAAGCATATAAAGGAATTGTAACGGAGTGCGCTTTTTACGCGACTCTTCCTGAGCATCACGATGTCAGCGTAGTTTCTGGATAGGAATTCATTGACTCCGTAGAGCGTTGCGGACTATATATCGATTGATATTCATCCTACAAAATCTCTTGTGGTCACTGGCGATGCGCTGGATAACATCGTTGTGTGGGACTACGAAGCGAGAAAGATTGTGTACAGAACATCGGCAGTGGTAGGAGGCGTTTCAATACTATTTCATTTTCAGCAATTATTCAACGACACAGTGGAGCTGATCAATGAATGTGTGAAGAACCCTGAAATCCCTCCAGTGAACCGGTATTCGATTCTTTCGGAAAGTGACTCACCCCCAGCACATCCGATGCGTCTGTGACCCCCATGTCGGGTCTTCGCCACGTGCAATTCTACGACAACGACACGCTTCTCTGGTCGAACAACAGCAGCTACAGCCCCGCATCGTCGCAGTTCGTGATCGCTGTGTTCAGCCAGGGCTGCGCGATCATCGACTACATCGCCCACACCTCCGTCAGCATCTTCTATTCCACGTTTCCCCTTTCCTCTCCCTCCATCCCAGCCATCTGAGCAACCTGCAAGCGAACTGCGTGCTGCCGCTGAACGGCCGCTACCTGCTCATCGGAACGAACGGGAATCTCTGCGTCTTCGACACGATCTCCAACGCCATCCGCGACTCCGTTCCCTTCCTCAACGTCCAATTCCTCCTCCCCTACAAAGCCCGCGTCGACGGCTGCCTCGTCTCTCTCCTTCTCTTCTCCTCACTCCCAGAACTACCAGCGCGCATCGAGCGAGATCCAAGTCGTCGCTCTCAACTCGCAGAACCTGGCTATCTGCTGGACGCTCGCTCTCGACGCCTCCAACGAGTTCGTTTCTCTCACTCCCGCCTTCGCCTTCGCCAACGGCGGGCTCTGCCAGAACGCCATCCGCAGCGCCGTCTTCGCCTCCGATCTCCGCCGCCTCCTCCTCACCGACGGTCTCCAGCTCATTTCTCTCGACGTCGGCGTTTCCCGAGAGGGCGTTTCGCTCCCCGAGCTCACCGCGCTCGGCGTCACCCAGTCGCTCCCCGCCGCGGCGCTGCGCTCCGTCCCCATCTCGGGAGGCACGGTTCTGGAGGTGGCGGCAACGCTGGTTCCCGCGCTTCCTGCGCACTGCGTGCCGGTCGTGGACGGACGAAACTCCCTCGCCGTGGTGGATCTGCGGACGGGCGCGCTGCACAGACTGTCGGAGCCGGCGCTGCTGGGCAGTGCCGTGCAGGCCGCGGAGTTCCGACATGTGGCGGTGCGGGTGTCGGACCATGCGAAGGTGGGAGTGATCGGGGTTTGTGAGGTAGATCGCGGTGGGGTCGCAGGTGGGAGTGTTCGTGTTCTCGGTGGCCACGCAGCGAACTCCCGCGGTGCTGCGCGTGATGCATCCCGATTTGGATGGAGAGATGGTGCATGTGGTGAAGTACACGGAGGGACAAATTGGTAGGTGGAGAGGGGATGAGTGAATGAATGAATTGAATGAATGGGTTTTGAATGAATTGAATGAATTGAATGAATTGAATGAATTGAGTGAATTGAATCAAAAATCAAATGAATTAAATGAACGGGTTTTGAATTGAATTGAATGAATTGAATGAGTGAATGAACCAGTCAATCAAAAATCAAATGAATTGAATGAATGAATTGAATGAATTTGATAATCGATGAGTGAATGGGTTTTGAATCAATGAATCAATGAATCAATAAACTCACCATGCAGAGTATCACACGTTCGACGTCGTGGAGGCTGTCATCGAGGACTCTAACGACACTTCCATGCCCGCAGCGGTGCGTCGCTCTGCGCAAGTCCTGGCCACCAATCTCCCCGTGAGCGAGACGCCCTCGCTGCTGCTCAACGCGGACAGTTCGTACCTGGCCGTGTACTTCAAGAACGCCAAGACGGCGATGCTCTTCTCCCTGCAGTGCAGCAAAGAGGGCCTCCATCTCGTCCCCACGCAAACCCTCCAATCGATCGACGGCTTCGCGTGGAGCTACATTCCCGACAAATTCGCGACGATCTCTGCGAGCTTCGTGCACATCCACGTCGCTCCTCTGCTCTGCCTCGATCCGTAGGACCTCCAGGGAGCCGACCATCCCGTGTGGATCAGCGGCGAGTCCACGCCCAACACGCTCTTCGGCGGCTATCTTCTGGGCGTCGGGCTGACGCCCACCGAGGCGGAGATGCGCTCCACGCACCTCCATTCCCAGCAGATCCAGTTCTTCGCGTGGGACGTGCTCCCCGCGGAGGGCAATGCCGAGCAGACCGAGGACGCGTCGGCCGCGACGGAGTGGCGGCGCCACGAGCATCTGAAGAACGCCACGGGGCGGCTGCCGCTGCCGAACAGCGTGCTGCTGCTGCGCGAGAACGGGCTGCTGCTGCTGAGCTACCACGACAAAACCGCGATGTACGCGCGTTCTCTCTCCCGTTGAGCCGCAGCTATCGCATCGAGTCCTCCGTGGAGCTGCTCACCATCACCAACCACCCCGTGCAGTCGGCGCTCCCCGCGGTGAACGCGGTCTTCCTCGCCACCCCCGAAGCGCTGCTGCTGCTGCTGCTGAACGGGCGGTCGGTGACGACCTACACGCTGGGCCACCACACCTCGCTGGCCACGAACCCCGCGCTGCTGGCCACGGTCTACTCCAACCAGACCGTCCTCACCACCAAGCAGAACGCGCTGCTGCCGCCCGTCCAGCTGCTCCCGGCCTCGCCGCTCTCCCTCCTCGCCATCTTCAAGGGCCATCTCCTCCTCGCCACGCCCTCCGCCGAGCTCGTCGCCTTCCCGCTCTCTCACCCCGCGCTGCGCTTCGTCATGCTCATGGCCTCCGACCAGGTCGACACGGCGCTTCGCTGGTCCCAGCTGCTCCGCCCCGACCAGCACGACGCCGCCGCCTACGTCCTCCAGTCCTGGGGCCACATCGAGAAGTGCCTCGAGCTCTCCGGGCTCTCGCCCTCTCTGCGTCTCAGCTTCCAGCTGTCCCGCGGGGACGTGTCTTCTATCGTGAAGATCGTGAAGAAGGGCGATCTGAGCGTGCTGGACGAGGCCGACAACGTGGACGTCGACTATCGTCTCACGCCCGTGGACCAGCTGCCCGGCGTGCGGCGCGCCGCCATCCTGCTGGCGAAGCGCGGCAAGAAGGAGGAGCTGACCAAGCTGTTCAAGCTCTGCCAGAAGAACGATCGAACCAGCGACGCGGAGTTCGTCGCGATGTTCCTCTACAAGGACGACCCCGCCATGCTGCTCCAGGCGCTCAAGAAGGGAAGCAAGTACCACGGTGGGCGCCCAAAACCGCGGTGATGTGTAGATGCCGCGCTGCTGAGCAAGCTGAACGCGAAGCTGCACAAGGAACTGCCCGAGCTGGTGAAGGCGTGGAACCAGCAGCTGAAGAGCGAGGCGAAGACGACGTCGTATCTCACCGGCGTGGAAATGGTGCTCGAGGAGGGCGCCAAGCGCGTGGCCAAGAAGACGAAGACCGCCGCCAAGACCGCAGGGAAGGGAAAGGCGGCCGGAAAGGGCAAGGAGGAAGGACGGAGACGCAGAAGACGTGGGTGAAGGGTTTGCTTGTAATTATGGTGTGTTGTTTGTTGAAATCATTATCATAATAATAATAGTAATGGAGGAAGACGAGGAGGAGGAGGAGGGAAGTGAATGAGATAATAAATTCAAAGAATGGAGATGCGATGGAAGGTTCAAATGATGGATGATTGGGAGAGAGAGGGTGATGGAGGGATACAGTCGAAAGGAAAACAGCGGAAAACAAATCAGCTAGACACATCGACGAATAAATAGACAATCAGTCTTATCACAGGTGTGGAACAAACAAAGCAGAAAACGGACAACGGATCTCGATCGGTTTGCGACACGACAAACGTGAACTCTTCGCCCAATTCACTCTCCAATCGCGCTCGCAGCTCCTTCAAAAAGCCTCGTTCTGTGTTCGAATGATTGCACACCATCACAGAGCGATCATGCGAGACCGCATCCAGAATCACGTGATGACTCAGCTCTCCGGACACATAAAAATCCGCTTCGATTACCTTCCATTCATTTCTTTCATTCAACCTGCTACAGCCAACACACTATCGCCGGATCCGGCGCACACAGCCACTTTGCGAACTGGAGAATCGAGCGGAAGATTGGTCTACATCCAAATCGAACTGCAGACATACAGCTAACTGCAGATGGGGAATCGCGAAATGGACCTTCATTCGCTCAATCAGTTGCGAGATCGTTGGATAGGGACTAGCCAGCGTAGCAATTCGACCAATTCCAAATTCAGGATTCTCACGATCTGGGGTGATGGGTGCACTGCTCGCGATTTCTCCCAATCCATCCACAATCCAATCATTTACACCTCCCTTTGATGCATCACACGCTGTATGAGGCGAGTAGACAGCAATATCGTTCTTGATGCATCTTTTAAAGGAATCCAAACAAAATATTATCTACCCCATGACGATACGAGCGACACGATCATCGGGAGTCAGCTTCTTGATACCGTGGAAGATGATGGGGTGATATGTAATAATTGCACTTGCATTCATCTGAACTGCCTCATCCAGTACCTTTTCAATTAATAAAATTATAAATCCTTACAGAATCCACGATATCGTTACACAGCAAGATTTTAGGCTTTCCCTCAACAAGTTTCTCCTTCAAGGGAGCAACAAGTAATCCAACATTATCCCTAATCGATAACAACTTTGATCCAATCTTCACCATTTTTCCGCATACTTCAGTGGGAAATACACTCTCATAGCGGACCAAATCCGATCCAAGCAAGCGCTCATCTCAGCCTTTGTTCAACAAACAAGATCTATCAAACTCTGAACTTACTTAAATGATACCGATTTCGATTGATACTATAAGTTACCCCCTATGTTCTCTATCTACCATGCTTTCATCTTCGGATAGCAGCAAAACTTAAAATACGCGCCCGAATGACAAGGACATTTCTTTGTCAGGAGGGTCAAAAAACTGCGAACCTGCTTTTCCCGCGTAACGAACAGCAGCTGTAATCGCGTATTCAATGGAACCAAATCATCGAAACTCAAATCGCCGCACCATTCACCAGGTAAGTGCACATGATGCGCATTGGCTCGCTTCACACGTCGTTCGAATTCCCGAATGATTCGCATGTTTCGCTTCGCTATTTGCTTCGCTGAGAGCTCGCCCTTCCCCGCGGAACTCTCTGCTTTTTCACTTTCATGCTTTTCTGCCAGTTTCTCTGTTTCTACGGTTTCCCTGGTTTCCCTTGTTTCCCTTGTTTCCCTGACTTCTGCCTCGTGTTCACCGAACGAAGAAGCCATCTCCGTGAGAACCGATTGGATTCTCCGTTTCCACGATTCATCCAGTTTTTGGCGGGAATTAGAAAAAGAGCGAAGCAGGGCGGCGGACGTTTCAAACTGCTTCAATGCATCTTCAATCTTGGACATCTCCGAACTCTGAGAAGATTCCCGAGGTTCCCGAGGTTTCAAAGATTGCGATTGTCGTGTTTTTGTGGAAGGTTGGATACCCGCGGATTTTGATGGAGAAATAACAGGAACAGTCGTATGATCGTGGCTTTGATCCGATTTGAATTGTGTTTCAGACTTCGACTTCGATGTCGACTTCGATGTCGACTTCGACAGAGTTGCTTCCTGTTTGGGTGGGGACGACTCGTCCTTTCGAATCACAATATTCCCCTCCGTGGAATGGTCCGAAAGAGCGATTTGAGAATTCCCGCGCACACTGTTATAGTGACAAGAACCAAAATAAGCTAGGCGGATCACGCGATTTTCCTTGGGAAAGTTCTGTAACTCAATGTTGGGACGATGGTCTTGATAAACAACCACGTTACATTTGTAACAGTTGGAGATCGCGTTGATCTCAAGATCGCCTCCCCAGATTCCGTTTTTAGACATATGATTCACGTACTATGCTTGACGAGAGAAATTGGAAAATACCTGATTGAAATTGCCACTCTCTTCGTCCATGAAAGGGAGGTAATCGCTCTTATGCCGTCGAATATATTCCACTGCCTTCCGACGCACTTCGGCATGACGGTCCTGGTTTCCAAATAGTTGGTCAGCGCACGATCTACATTTCAGTCCAGTTGCTTTCCTACCTAAATAGACAGTTCCCGTCGGGCGTAATTGACCGAATGCTTAGACCTTGGCGATTCAGCTCTGAAGCGAGGTTTTTGTTCCTTCCATTGAATGCCTGGGATTCAGCGATCAATCGATCATCCATACTCCGTATGAAGGTTTTGAAGAATGCTGTGAACTCCATTTGTTGGTAGTATTGAATTTGTCTTGTGGAAGCTGTTTTCGTTTATTAAATTTGCGAAACTTCTTTGCTCCCATTCTCGAATCTCTCCCCACTCCGACCGATCCTCTCTTGTTTCAACAAACAATACTAATGATGGTGTCTTCTATGTCTATGGCTTCCTTCCTCCTTCGGTTTCTCCTCTGCCTCTTCCTTGGCCTCCTCTCCATCACCATCTCCATTTCTCCGATGTCTGTGCGAGCGATGGCTTCGATGTCTTCCGCTTCCTTCCTTTTCTTTTTCCTTTTCCTTATCCTTGCTCTTCGCCTTCGCTTCCTCCTCCTCATCTCGGATCACATGGAACTGCGCGGCGGGGGCGTCCTCGGCGGCTTCCTCGCTCTTCTCGGCGGCTTCTCCGACGACCACGGGGACTCCGACGTCCTCCAGCGTGAGTTCCTGGTTCGGCACCTCCTCGCTCTCCTCCTCCTCCTTCGCGTCCAGATAGAACTCGTTCTTCTCGCGCCGATGCGAGCGGTGGCCGCGATGATGTCGATGCTACGCTCAACCCCCCTCGGCAATGCCCACTCGGCCCGGCTCGGCCGCGCTCTCGTAGCTGAACAGCGGTCCGTCCACGAAGCTGACGGTGCGGAAGCTCTCGATGGGCTTCTCCAGCTCGAAGCTGGCCAGCGGCGTGTCCAGGTCCAGGCCCTCGGGCTTCTTCACCTTGCGCTGCGCCTTCGCGCTCACCGGCAGCAGCTCCGCGGTCAGGTGGTCCAGCAGCTCGGACAGCTGGTGGATTCCCTCGCCCTCCATCCGGTCCACCGGCGTCAGCGCGAGCTCCTCGCGGGGCGTGTCCTCCGCCGCGGGCTCCTCGGGCGTCTCGGCGTCGCCGGCGTCGATGGCGGCGGCGAGGTTGATCTCGGTGTCGCTCTCCGCGGGGACGGGCGTGTCGGCCTTCTCGTTGAGCGAGGACATCGCCTGGCGCGCCGAGTTCATCTGCTCGATCTCCTGCGCCACGCTGTCGCGCTTCTCGATGGCGATCACTTGGTTGTCGAACGACGCCGTCACGCGCAGCACCTCGATCAGCAGCGTCGCGCGGTAGCGCACCTCGTCGCTCTCGCTGCCCAGGAACTGCTCCGCGTGGGCGATCACCGACTCGCGCACCTTGCTCGCCTCTACGCCTCACTTCCACGCGGCGGGACCACGCTCCGACGCCGAGCCCAGCGAGCAGATGAACCGCAGCGACACTTGCAGCAGCGCCTGCAGGATCCTACCGGTAACGCCGCCCCGCGGGGATACGTCGCCTGCACGCGGACCGGGAGGTAGATCACCGCGGGGGAGACCAGAGAGGCGAAGACGTTGACGATCTGGTCCTGCTGGAGATAGCCGGAGTACTCGCCGACGACCCAGGCGGCGCCGTGGGGTGAAGGAACCGCGGGGATGGTGGAGGAAGGATATGATGAGGACGTCGCGCATGGACTCGCAGACGAGGTCGGGCTGGAGCAGCAGAGGCAGCACGGAGTTGACCATGTAGAGGCGGATGGCGGGGACGCGGAGCGCGACGTCGACGAGCTGGCCGCTGATGAGCGCGCCCTGCTTGCTCCCGCGGGTCTGGGCGAGGTCGACGAGGACGCTGACGTACCAGGTGAAGTCCTGGGTGTTGGCGTAGGTGTCGCGCGAGCACATCTCCACGATGCTCTGGAGGATCTCCTCCTTCATCTCGAACTCCACGCCGGCGCGGAGGCACTTCACGAGGTCCTCGACGAGGTTCTTGAGGTTCTTCGCGTTGGCGATGGCCTTCACCAGGCCCAGCGCCTTGGCGCGGATCGTGCTGTCGTTCGCCTTCAGGCACTCCACGTACACGAAGGACTTCCGCGCCACCACGGCGGGCGCGACCTCCACGAGCTTGAGCAGTCCGCAGAGGCCGAGGTAGGTGAGATTGGGATCGGCGTCCTGGACGAACTCGAGGAACTTGACCATGAGCAGATCGGTGACCTTGTGGATCTCCTTCTCCAGCTTGCTGCCCACCTTGACCGGCATGTGGATCAGGCACTGCGTCACGCCCATCATCGCCTCGTACAGCAGCGATTTCGTCTCCGCGGTGCGCACTACGTTCACTAACGGGTCCAGCAGCTTCTTCGCGAGCCGCGGCTCCTCGGTCACCAGGTTCATCAGCAGCTTGATCACTTTAATCAGCACCCACGTGTTCTCCACGTTCAGCAGCAGCGTGAAGATCGTCGGCGCCAGGTTCTGATAGCGCGACGGGTCCTCGCGCGCCAGCTCGGTGATCACGCTCACCGCGCTGCTCTGCACCGAGATATCGCTGTCCACCAGCAGATTGACCAGCTTGTCGTAGGACTCCTCCAGAGCGGGAGGGTATTGCTTGAAGATCCGGAACAAACACAAAACCGCCTTGCGGCGAACGAACGCACGCTTGCTGTTGAGCAGAGTGAGAATGTCGGGGAGCAGGTCGTGCGCCAGTTCTTCGGTGACGATCATGCTGAAGCAGTCCAGGGCCAGACCCACGTCGTACTAAACGATTAATGATTCCGCATGCAACGAACCTTGTTCTTGGACAGGAATGCCTTCTTCAGAGAGTTTGCGCACAGAATAAACAAGTCAGAATCCGGACGGATGAGCACCGTAGCAGCAAGATATCTAATCTTCAACCCTGAGCGGAATCTTCTACCCAACACGGCGTTCTTTGTACAGAGGCTGACTCATCACCTCGATCACTTGAAATTCCTAGGAGGTTAGCTTTCCATCTCCAAGTGTCTTACAGCCCAATCGAATGTGTATCCAATCAGATTTAGATACAGCAGCTTCTGGAGACTCACGACCTTATCTGTTCTGTCGGTTCCTTTAATTTCTTGTCGGATCTCGGAAAGCACTTCCGATATATACATGGCAGGGTACTTCGAGGTGCGAATTCCTCGAACAACCTCTTGGTATGTTTTTTTCGTCATGATTTAATGCAGATTAATTGTTTAAAGAACAAGAACACCATGGCTTTCACCGCGGGAATCGAGTGCTTTACAAAAAACAACAGAAACAGAACAATCACACTGAATCCAACGAATGCGCTTCACCAGTCCGTTCGTTACCTACTGCAAGCGCTCATTTTCCATCATCAGCACAAAACAATCACGTCGCAGTGTTTGCACCTTCTCCCTGTCGTCGCTGCTGTACAATCGTTCGATCTGCCTTTTAGGTTTCCATTTGCGCCTACTTCGGGCAGGGAACGCAGTGTGCCCATGTCGGTGATCGTCTTGTTGAGCGTGAGCATATCGTGGATTCTCTGAAACCCGTCGACCAGAATATTATTCCGATCTATGGTAAGCGTCTTCAGGGTTCGATGTCCGGAGCAGGCATTGCAGAGCAGGCGGATGTCGTCGTCCACCATCCCGCAATCGTCCATGCGCAGTTCTTGAATAGCTAGAACTCACAGCTTACTATCACATCCACATCGCGACGCCTGTAATCCCTCTGCGATTTTCGATGCAAGCAATCCATGGCAGCCATTCATTGAAAGCACTTCCAATGTCTTCGACTCTGTGAGGAGCGTGCACAAATAGGATGACGCTTTGTGTGAAAATTCCTTTGGCATTTGACTACATTTTCCGACTTCGGGAAGACTTAAATTGCCGTCGATGTACAATCGGCGCAGCTTGCAGTTCTCGAACTTGATCAGCACATCACAGAGCATGCTGATACACACATCGTTCATGTTGCAGTTGCGCACAGAAAGTTCCTGCAGCGAGTTTGACTGTGCCACCAGCGAGATCAAGCGCTCCTGGAAGTGGCCTGCCCTCTCAATCCTGCCTTCTTTCCTACACTCCATCGCCAAATCGTCCAGCACGAGGCTGGTCTGCGTCAGATTCGTGTTGAGCAGCAGCGATCCGCACAGACCCTCCACCATCACGGGATCGCCTCTCATATCCCTCATGACCAGTTTGTCGATGTGTCCTCCAGCAATAAACGGATTCAGCGAACAGAACACACGATCGTACATCATGTGGTTCGAGATATCGATACTCCGCACATGCAGATCTTTCTTCTGAAAGGCTCCCACCAAAATTGGCCACGCCACGTTCGTCCCCGCGATGTTCAGCGTGTGCAACGCAGGTCTACATTTCAGCTATTCCTCTTCTCACCCTACGGATTGCAGTCGACCAGCCAATTGCTCAGTGCGCTGGATCCGTCGGGACCCAGTGTGTTGAACGCGATATCTAGTTCCTCCAGCGAGTTCGATAGAGGATTCTCTTGCAGCATATCGAAGAAGTGTACCAAAGCGCTCTGGTTCAGCGAGCAATGCGCTAGCGAGAGCTTTCGCAGCGCAGGCAAAGCAGGGAGCATTAAATCGAGAAACTCGAAGGAGAGTGGAATATGCCGCAGCACCAGCGAGCGCAGCGCGCTGTTTTTATTCTCCTCCAGCGCCTCCGGAAGCAAATGCAGCGACTATTCGAAATACAATAACCGCGGATACCTTGGCGGGAATCGAGACGTCGTCGATCACGAGAGAGGTCACCGTGGAGTTCGATCGAAGCATGGCGGCGAGAGCCCGCGGGAGACAATCGTCGCTGGCGTGCACGCCGCAGATTTCCACATGTTCGAACCATCTGCATGGCAGGCTCCAGCCAATCACACGTGTCCCAGCGAAGCAGCTCGATGAGCGCGGCGCTCTGCGCGGCGTCCACGCGACGACGCGCGGGTGAGATGATGAGTTGGCGGGAACCGTGCTCAATCCGGTCGGTGAGATCAGTATCGACATCCAAGAGCGGGAATGTTGCGTATTTATTGCAGAGAAGGGTGAACCTATTTCAGAAGGTGGAGAGGAGAACAAACATGGAATGAACAGCGTCACGATAGGCGGAAGGGTTGGTGAGAGGATCGGGACGGGGAGATTGAGGAGTGAAGGAGGTGTGGGCGAGGAGGGTGGGTTGCAGGGAAACAATGGCGCGTTGGGAGTCAGGAATGAGAGCACAGAGCTGATTGTAGCGATCGAGGAGGGAGGCGATGAGCTGCTCGTTGTGGAGGGCGTGGAAGGTGATGCCCCACCCATCCATTTCAATGGAGATTCGGTCGGAATCGTCCAATGTGAGATAACGCATATCGGTGATGAGACCTTCACGGGCTTCCTGGATATGAGAGGTGGAAACAGTGTAAACTCGATAGCCGGACATAAGGCCTGCGCGTAAAGTGAGGATTCGGAACTGAGTAATGACGATCACTCGTTTTTCTATTTTTTGTTTTCGTCTGTTTGTTAGATGAATTATGTGCCGGTCACTTGTGTTGCTTGTCGACATTTGTGGCGTAGACGATCGTCTCCCCCTTCGATTCAACAAGCTTTGACACAGCTTCTATACAAAAAGGGCTGCAGACAATGTACTCAGTTGAGATGCGAACAATGAATTCATCAGGAATCTGAATATAGCAAGATTGAATCATGACGACCCACCTGATTCTCGTCCAATAGGATGGATTTGTAGGTTTTTGTATACGAAATAGGTCGAATTTGCACAAGAATAGTGTTGCTAGTACATTGCACACAGATTTGGAACAGGATATCCAACTTTTGGCATCGGGTGGTTTATTGAAGAAGGAAGGTAGTCTAACCAATTGAGTACTCTGTGACCAACCTATTTACAATTATAAATATTCTAGAAGCCCAGTCCTTGCAACATGCCTTCTTAGTCTCCTACAACTTTCCGCCCATAGGAATCTCAATTTTACAACAAACAACACAAAAAAAAACATCCATCCACTCCAAACCATTTTATATTTGTCTCATCTGGGGCACATAATGCACCACCGCGTCCCAATGCTGCACCAGCGACTTCGCCTCCATCTCTTTTCTCGCCTCCAAATCGCTGTCACAGTCGATCATCGCGAACTCGGTGAAATGTGGCTGCTTCACCACTCCGCTCCACAGCTGCGTGCATCCATTATCTCCCGTTTCTCCCGTTTCTCCCGTTTCTCCATCCACCGTTTCATTCCATCGAATTCGGTGCATGAGCAGCTTGGTGTAATGCCGCATGGCCTTCTTGGTCCCCTCCACATACAGCATCACGCACCGCGCCGCGGGCACGATACAGCACTACACCTCGCACGTCTCCCTCTCGCCTACCCTCCCCACCAAATGATACTGCGACGCGTTCACGCTCACTTTGAACCGCAGCCGCTTATCCGACAGCCGCTCGATGCGGAACAACGCGGCCTCCATCTCCGCGCCCCTCACGCCGATCACCTTCCGCTCCCGCTTCGCCGCGGCTTCCTGCGGCGTCAGCTTCCTTCCATTTCACGCATCCTCCGCGCCTACCGCTCCTCGTTCCGACGCTGATGCGCCAGCTCGCGCTGCTCGATCTGCTCCCGCACCTTCCGGTCCGCCTCCGTCGGGTGCATCAGCGCCTCCGTTCCCAGCACCTGCTTGAAGTTCCGGTACGTTAACTACTCACAACCGCGGGAATAAACGTACTTTCGGCTCCGGAGCCGGAATGGCACCGCTGAGAATCAGGTTCCGCTTCGCTTCCTCGCGCTGCGCGCGCTGCAGACGACGCTCTTTCTTCCGCTCCTACCCGTGAAACGCCCGCACCGAATCCACTTTCTTCGTGTACATCACCACCGGAGCGGTTTCCGCGGGGAGACGGTTGCGTTCAACGGGGACCGGGTGCTCGACCACGCTGTGCGTTAGGGGAAACGGGGAAACCAAAACTCTTTGGTCAGGCAGAGATCGAAGCGAAGCGACGACCACGCATCCGAACCGCCGAAACTCCCGGTGAAACTCCCGTCCCGGACGGATTCGCGCAGTTCCGCGGGGAGAAAGTCGGCGTCCCACCATTCCATGGCGGGAACGGGGTTGTGAGGGGGAGGAGGGAGCGATGTCGCGTCCGGGATGGGCGTTTCGGGGGCTTGGGAGTCCGCGGGGATCTCGGGTTTCAGCGCTTCGGCGAGCGTTTGCTTGCTGACGAGGGCGCGAGCTGTTTTGCTGCGCATCTCCTCGGCAAGCTTTGTGTAGGTTCCTTGTTTGATGAAGGTCAGAGCATTTTTCCGACGAACGTCGCGGGAAGAGACCTTAATGCGAGGATCCAGTAGTGAACGGTTCTTTAGCTTGTTTTTGAAACTCGCTTTCGTAGAATTTAATGAAGCGAGGTAACTAAACGTTATTTCAAAGCAAATGGTGCGAACGGGTTAATCTGTGATTTTGGCTGCTGCTTTCGATTGATCGCCAGCGTGTACTCTGGCTTAATAATTTCTGCCTCGATCACTTCACCAAACTCGTTGAGCTCTCTTCCTTTCTCATCAAAGCGAAGAGACCGTGTCACTGTCGATGTCGGTTTGACTGATAATAAATACTGACTGGAATCGGTAGTTGCAAAGGAGGAAGGAAGGGGCTTCACGGATTCTACCTTCTTCGGCTCAGCTGCAGTGCCTCCCTCGAGTCTGCGCTGAGGGCTCTCAGAATTAGATCGAGCTTCTCGCCTGGATCGAGAACGGTCATGCCTATGACTCCTGCGCGAACTCTCACTCCGATCTCTTCTACGAGAGTATTCGCGGCTTCTGGAACGACTGTCATCATGATGGCGATGATGATGTCGATCACGGCTACGATCACGATGTCGATGACGACTTCGGTCGCGACTCTCACTTCGACTCGATAGCTGTCGATGCGAATGAGATCCCATAAGGTAAATAACAAATAATAATGTATAAAACAAAAACAAAGTGGGATGGTATTGACAAATACCAGATGAACAATTTTTCTTTCTTTACTTTTCGTTGCGGATGCGACGAGCCAGCTGCATATCTCTCGGCATGATCGTCACACGCTTGGCGTGGATGGCGCACAGGTTGGTATCTTCGAACAGAGAAACCAGGTAAGCCTCAGCAGCCTCCTGAAGAGCCATCACAGCAGATCCCTGGAAACGGAGATCGTTCTTGAAGTCCTGAGCCACCTCGCGCACCAGTCTCTGGAAGGGCAGCTTGCGGATCAGAAGCTCAGTGCTCTTCTGATACTTGCGGATCTCACGCAGAGCCACAGTTCCGGGGCGATAACGATGGGGCTTCTTCACGGCTCCAGCAGCGGGCGAACTCTTACGAGCGGCCTTGGTAGCCAGTTGCTTACGAGGAACCTTTCCTCCAGTGCTTTTACGAGCAGTTTGCTTAGTACGAGCCATTGCTAAAAGGAAACAAATAATGCCAAAATGAAAAAAGGGAGGGAACAGTGAAAATCCCTGCCGCCAAAAATAGGGGAAATCATTGGTTGAAATTGGACGAAGTTGAATTTAAACCAATAATATGATGATATACTGTTTGGACGATTATTGTATGCTGAAATCAAATATGTAAACCTTGACTAAAAAGTCATAATAAATTTCAAACACTACATACGAAATGTCTGGACGTGGAAAAGGAGGAAAGGGACTTGGAAAGGGAGGAGCGAAGAGACATCGCAAGGTGATGCGTGATAACATTCTGGGTATTACGAAGCCCGCCATTCGTCGTCTGGCTCGCAGAGGAGGAGTGAAGCGTATCTCGGGTCTGATCTATGATGAAACCCGTTCTGTGCTGAAGACCTTCCTTGACGGAGTGGTTCGTGACGCTGTGACGTACACGGAGCACGCCAAGAGAAAGACTGTGACTGCTATGGACGTTGTGTACGCGCTGAAGAGACAGGGAAGAACCCTGTACGGTTTCGGCTATTAATCTGGTATTTTTGAATGCCATATGTTTTATTTTTATTTGTTGGAGACATAAGAGTGAAATGTATTTGAGATTTATGAAGAAGGTTTTGAAAATTCAAATTGCTCCTCTTTGTTCAGCAGTCATTTTCCGATATGTTTCTGAATGGGAGATATTGAGTAGTTCATGCAGTTCGGCTGCACACCAATTGTTAAGGCAATGTATATGCATTATTATTCTGAATACCTCAGTGGGGAGAAGAATTCTTAAAGGAGAGATAGTGGCTTATTGGTTAGATATCTATATAGAAATGTAGATTCTGTTCAAGAGATAAACTCATCGTGGTAAAACAAAATAGAGGAAATGGAAATTCACCAATTACACTATGTTCGGTGAATGGGGTCCAATCAACGAATGAGATTACTTTGGAAGTTTATAAGCTGTACCAATAGTTTAGAGTGAAAGCGACAAGGATCACAATCGAACAATTTCAATATTATAAAATAGAGTAGATATATAATAACGCGTTTGATGTTGTGTAATATACGAGGATTCGAATGAAGAAATGATGACTAAATCCTGATCTCTGACCAAAGAATGAGAGTCTTGGATTTGATACAAGCAAACAAAGTAAGCATTGAGTATACAACGGTCACTGAATTGAATCGAATTGAATTGATTACAGTAACAGATGCAATGTGGGAATTACTCCTTGATTTAGTGGACAAGATCAAATAGAAAAAAAGAGACATCTAATATAGAAATACAATGCTCACATAAATACTCGATATTGATTTTGATTGTACATCCATAAATGGGCGATTATACCAGTCACCTGGTAGATACACATATTGAAGATTTGGAATATCTAAATGCAATCAATTATCAATTATCTAAAATACTGTCCAGTGTTACCGAATGAGGCCAAACGAAGTTGCTGCCCTCAGAATTGATGGATGTTAGATTTGGAAGATCTACAAAACAAATCATTTCAAATCATGTCATTCGCACTTTGCATTAGCAACGAACTTGATTCTTCATTCTGTCCATAAAGTGCAAATTTACCAAGTTTAATGGACTGTAGTGATGGAAGATCTACATCGATCATTTCATTCGAATTCATTCAATACTTTCAATGATTGTTGATGAGGATAATTCAAACGTACAGCCACCTAACATAATAGATTGTAGATTTGGAAGATCTATGAATTCAAACATTCATTATCAGTTCAATACCTCGAATCACAAATGAACTACTACGGAAGTTGTACGATTCTTTTCCCATAGTACCAATTTGAATGGATTGTAATTGTGGACAATTCTTCAATTCAAAGTCTCCAGCAAAATCACTGAAACTATATTCACCAATTTGAATGGATTCCAATGATTCACAATTCAATATGTGGAATGATTTCGATTCATCTCTTCCACAACGACCATTCTTATTCTGAGTGAATGAGTTCTTGCCAATTCTCAAAGTTTTCAATCGATTCAATCCATCGATTTGGAATGTTTGTACTGATCCAAAACAATCATTGCCGATTTCGATTGATTCCAAATTACGCAACCACGAAACATCCCAATCAACCAATACACAATGGTCACTCAGTTTCAATTGTTTCGTTCCGATATAAATGGGTTTGCTTCCATCTCCGCAATAATCTTTATAAACCTCACTTTCAATTCCATTATACCATTCACATTCTTTCATTAACTTGCCTGATAGATCATAGACTTTTCCACTTCCAAATCGCTTATCATCACACCAATATCCTTCATATTCAATACATCCATTATTGTGATAACTCGTTCCATATCCAAATCGTTTCCAATTGATTATTATGCCCTTGTACACCAATATTCCATCATCATCATACATTTCACCATATCCAAATGGAATTCCACTTTTCCCTTCTTTTCCTTTTTCTTTTTCTGTCAATACCAAGCCTTCAAATCGACTTCCATGATCCAAATCCACTATTCCCTCTGTTACGGCTTTTTCATTATATGAAATACGGCCAATTTGGTGATTTCCAAATACTTTCAACACTTTCTGATCATTGAGAACAAATCCTTGATTCATGAATACTCCATTATTGAATTGCAATACTACACATTCTCTATTACTCAATATGAGTGAAATCAAGCCATCTACCTTCATTTCTTTACCCAATTGAATTTGTACATTTTGAATAATAGAACTATCAATATGATAGTTACTAATAGCCGAATTGACAAAATCAGCAATGTTTTGCATCGAGAAATTAAGTTATAATCGTTTTTTTCTAAAACTAATGCATTATGTAATGGATTTACTATTATCAATGATTCTATGATATCTATTTCTGCATTATTCTCCCTGTTTCTGAAAATTACTATGACTCTGAGATTTTCTAGTTAGAAAAAACAAAGATAATTATATTCATAGCCACGATTCCATTTTTCCATATATTATCCCCTCACTCTAATTATTCAATTCTTATTAGCCCAACATTGCAAACAAGACCACCTGGAAATCATATTATCTTCATTTCAATATTACTTAGCGTTGTTCTTATTCCCGATCATTTGAGCTGATATCCTTGAGCATGCTTTTCTCCTGTATATACTCTCCTACACTAAACATGCCAATGATCTCAACCAAACTGTTTCTCACAAACATACAACAACCCCTAAAAAGCTAGAAGATCGGTCTTGGCACGATGCTTGACTACAGCTCCTTCTTCATTACTCTTCTTCGCCTTCTGCAAATCCACCGCAGAATATCCGAACTCGTTCTTTCGAGTCTTATCGACCGGATAAATCCACATCTGGTACAGATAAATAAAGAAGATCACATCATCACGGAAGCAAGCGATTCGATGCAGCATGGGCATCTTGATCACAAACGAGAACATATCGTCAATAAACGTATTGAGCGTCTTATAGATCATGGCATTGATCGGAATGTGAGCCACACTCTTCAGCTTGTAGTTGATAAACAGCTGGGGCGTCATCGAAATGAATCCTGCGCCTTACGATTCCCCTTCTCTCCTACCGAACAGATACACAAAGTTCGTCAGCGAGGTGATAATCCAATCGTACCACGACTTGTGCGTCTCGTAGATCAGCGAGTACACCGCGTACCCCGCCACCAACGGATACAAAATCACCATCAAATGCTTCATCGCGATGTCGTCGTACTCCTTCGTCTTGCTCGTGCTGTACGTCGCGCGGTCGCGAATTCGAAGAACCGGCATGTTCCCCTTCCAATAGAAGCGAATCTTCACCGCCTTGGTGACCTTCCACAGCTGCAACTCAGCCTCCTCGCCCAGCGTTTACCTCGATCAGAAGGCCCACGGCGTTGGAGATCAGGATCATCATGGAGGTCTCGTTGTTGATGAGATAAAGCAGCACGATCAGATTCACGAACACGTTCATGAACACTGTGCGAACCGACAAGCCCTCCATGTTGTTCCGATTGCGCCAGAAACTGATCTCGTTCTTGAACGCCAGCGTGTCGAACACGCTGTGCAGCGCCGAAACCACCTACGCTTCACGCTTCTCCCGCGATCCTACCGCGGTTATGATCAATAACGTGGGGTTCGTCTCCAAGAACATCGCCTTGATGTCGTCGAAGTCGCTCTCCGTCGCGGCTCCCATCGCCTTCTGCATCTCCAGCACGGTTCCCATCTGCCCGATCATCTGTCCCTTGAAGAATCCGAAGGCCTTGAAGGAGATGGTGAGCGGAAGCTCGGCTAGGGAGTCGTTAATCGGCATCAAATGTTTGTTCATCAGCACGAATTCGTTCACTTCCACGTTCGGCGTGTACGTCATGGTGGCGTCGTCCAGGTAGTAATCCTTCATCTGGGGAGGAATCTGGCCGCCTTGCAGGCCTTTCGCGAAGGGGATCACGTAGAGGTGCAACATCGGAATCCAGTAATTGATGATCTTGGGAGGCTCCGTGGATTTGTGTGTCTAAAGTAGAGAGAGAGAGCGAGAGAAAAGTACGAGGAGTGTGGAAGAGTTGGAGAGAAGGTTGTACTGCTCCGCGACGGTGATATTCGGCTTATAGCGATTGAGCTCTACAGTCCAGCGCAGAATGAAACGCTACGATACACCGTGTGGGTTTGGCCCTTAATGGAGACACAGCCGCGCTCCATGGAAGGCTCGATGCCCGCCACTCCGAAGAAGAGATGTGCAAAGTAGGTGCCGTTGTTGAGAAGACCCTCGGTCATGGGAAGCGTAATATTCACTTCGTTGTACTCCATCGAAGAACTGTAGGGCTGCGACTCGCGCTTGTACAAGAGGTGAGCGTCATCGATCGTACAGTCCTCTTTGGACTCGGAAGCATACACGTACACGGACTAAATCACACAAAAATGAAAAAGCATACACAAGGAGCACCGTCCTTCAGAATTGGCAAATAACCCTTCCCCTTAATACCCTTGTTGACTGGCATCATTCCCTTCATCATTCCAAATATCGAAGAAACAGGATTTACGGGAGCGTCTTGCTCTACAGGCTTCTGTTCCTTGTACGTCTGGTTGTACTGTTCGATAATGGATGCCGGAGTCTGAGGCTTTGCAGGCTGTGTGAAACTGGACATCAAACTTCGAATCATAAAGAAGATCAGCATCATCGTTAAAAGGTTCATGCGAGGCTGCTCTTCCTCTTGCCCTGGCTGTTGCTGCTGTTGCTGCGGGTTTTGCATCTTGCTTAATGTATTTAGAAATACTTTGAAAGGCAAAATCGACCCGATTTTTGGAGTTTATTGTTCATACAAACAAATTGTACACATCAATCATAAATATAATATAGGAAAATAAAATCAAACGGAAAAGGTAGAGAATAGAGAGTTTGTTACATGGACATCAGAAAATTCTTGGGATTGATACGATGACGCATCCGCTTCTTCTTCACAATATTGATCTTCCCATCCAGGTACATATGTCCCTACAAATAATATACTATACACCAAAGCCGAACAGATTCCATTTGAATAACCGTCTTTTTCGCCTCATACTTCTTCACCATCTTAAAAGTATCTCTACACTTTCAAATCCACTCTTCATTTCTTACATCATTTTGCACAGTGTACGAGCTAGGGAGTCGTTTAGTTCCCAATAATGAAACTTTGAGTCCTTCATTTGAGAATTACCTTGGGACTGTGTTTCTCTCCGAGATACAATTCCAATTCCTCTATTCATCACCTTCCAAGCAAGTAGAGCATACGTTTGAGAACTGCGAGAATGTTGTGAACTTTGAGAATTAGAGGTGCTAATAGCCATTAACTTTGAGTTTGAACTTGGAAACACTTTGTAACTAACCGAAAGCGAGCTTCTTTTGGGACTTGCTTCCGGAGCAACGCTTCCCGAGGAATTATCGTCCATAAAGGAGAAATGAGTCGATTTACATGATCCGCTTTGGAACTGAAGCGCGGGTTCCAGCATGTCTGAAAAGCTCAGTTGGGCTGATGAGATACGCATCACCTCTTTGCAAACAAGAGAGTCAGACATTGCCGCCATAGACAATCAGAAATAATGAGGAGGCAAATTCTTTGCCGCCAAAAAAGATGGAAACATTTGGTCGCGGTTATAGTTTGAATCTGGCGGAACAGTATTTCATTACTAACATGCCTACGCGTGCTCTTGTACAGAGCCATACTTTTCCAGATGATAGAGAGGCGAGCGCTCTCCATCCACACACACTATGACGATGAAGAAATACAATTCCCCAGATTTTCTTTATTCTATGGAGGACAAATATTATGATTTTGTGCTAGACAACGAGGATAAGGAGCTCTCCGTATGCATATTGTAAAAAGACCATTTGTTATAGACTCAAGCGTACTTAAATCACGAGAATAAAATATATGTTTATGATGATTCTGTACATTCGAGAGATTGTGTTGAAAAGTAGGTTTTTGGAACCAATGTTCGGTCTGAGAGAAATGAAAGTGTCTTCGGGGTATTCCATGGCGTTCGGCACTTATGTCACAGATCGATAGAGAGGAATCGTATCTTGATGGTGAGATCGACGTAATGCAGACAACACAAAGTCCACCCTCGCGTATCTTTTTTAGTATTTCCTTTAGAATCCAGAGAGTTTATTAAAGAGATTATACGGATCGATCAAGAGACTAATTCGCTGTACAACCATTGAATGGGAGATTGTGCTTTATTTTTATTTCAGCTTTACCTCTAGGTGTTGTTTGTGTGTTTGACACTGCTCATCACCATTGTTGGAATTCGAACTTACATTTACGCCTGGTCATGGGAGCACAACGTAGCAATTACTATCATCGAAGTCACTCTTAACTTCGTCATTGTGATTGATTACATTCGCAATCTCATCGATGCTCCCGTAAAGTGCGAGTTCGTTATGTCAATGTGCACGTCATTCACTTTTATCACAATAGATACGGTCTCTTTAATTTCGCGGCCGGTCTTCCAGTGATCATCGTGACCATCGTTCCCAAGCCATATTTCTTGTATTATTTTTTCATTGTCGAGCATATCCCTTTCATTCATTCAATTATTCATCCATGATTCATTCACTCATTCACTCATTCACTCACTTATCATTCACTCATTCACTCACTCATCTCTTGCTTTCCTTCACCCACTTCGCACCTTCTTCTTCTTCCTACTCCTCCGAAACATGAAGCTCTGGAAAGAAGCCATCGAAGCGCGTCGAAACCGCGAAATCGTCATCACCATCGCCGAAATGGTTCTTTTCGTCTTCTCTTTCGGCTGTTTCCCTTCCCATTCCATCTCATTCTAGGCCTCTACACCAACACCGAGCGCGATGTCGTCGAGTACAGCATCCTCGATTCCCTGTTTCCACTTTTCTCCTGTTCCCATCCAGCTATTACGCCTTTGTCACCGTCACCACCGTCGGATATGGAGATATTACGCCCAAAACCCAGGCAGGGCGCTTCGCCACCACGTATTATATTGTTTCAATTCTGTTCTGGCTTCCTTCCAAAGTCCTAATTTTCCCCTTTTTTTCACTCACAGCTGAGCCGGCTTTTCGCGACTCCCGCGGTTCCTCGCGACCGATTTCGGAAGGAGAAACTGCGGAAGCGGAAAAACGCGGAGCACGTGGTGATCGTGGGGTATTTCAAAGAGATTCTGCCGTGTTTGATCTGCGAATTGAAAGAAGGGTCCAACGATTACCTCCAGGATACGGTCTGTGGGTGCAGAACCGCGGGGATCACGCGTAGTTGTGCTGATGACGCAGGAGAAAGTGGACGTGAACAGCATGCAGACGCTCTGCGGTCGCTACGCGTCGCACGTGCAGATCATCAACGGAACGCCGATCAGTTTGATATCCGCTCCGCACAGGCGTTTCATTGGGGTCTTAACGAAACGCAGCGTGCATCAACGCGTGCTTATTCGATGCATATTCGGTGTATATTCTCCCCTATCCCAATTGGAGGTAGCGTTGTGATCGGGTTTTGACGCAGTGATCAGCAGAAGCAAGCGTGGATCCGGCTGATGGTAAACGCTCTGGAGACGAACTTTTTCTTCTACCAGTCCAACATAAGTACCCCTCGACTTCTCCGCGCTGACTCCTTCTAGACACGGAGAACACGCGCTTCAACCGGCTCTACGCGATGAAAGCGTCCAGCACGTCGGCCTCCGTGTCTCCGATGCTCCCCGATTACGGAACCACGCGCGCGTTGTACATCAACACCTCCGGAGAGCGGCGCGACTACACGGCCACCAACGCCAGCTCGGGGCAGGCGACGACGGAGGGCGGCGGCGGGCTGCTGAGCATGAATTTCCCGTCGATCAGCGACGCGTTCCGGAACTCCGACGGCATGTCGCACGGACTGTTCGGAAGCTCCACGACGCTGGCCGGACTGGAGAGCAGTGGGAAAGCCGCGGAGAGCCAGTCGATGGAGTGGAGTCGGAGTGAGAGCCGTGGAGGGAAATGACGCGCAGACCGCGGGAAAACGAACCATATGATGTTCACGAAGGCGGAGATCGAGCGGAAGAGCGATGTGGTCCAAACGCTGATCTTGCTGCCGATTTGTCGCGTGTACTACGAGTCCAACAAGCAGTTCGGGTACTACAAGCAGTACAAGTACATTCACCACGATCGAGTGCGGCTTGGCCGGGCGTTTCATGTAGTTTATCGCGGAATTCATCCCGATTTCGCCGGTGGACTTGATGAATCGGATCATTTCCTATGAGTTGTGCTGCAAGGGATCGTGGTCCATTCTCTACAATCTCTTCATTAACAAAGAACACAGTTTCCTCGTTTCCACTTTTCTCGATTTCTCAGAGATAGCCGTCCAAAATGCCGATCGAAACGCATTCCGCGGAGTTTTCCGAGCTGTTTGCGAACTACAATGACTCGCTTCTGCTCTCCACTACGTTTATTCGCACGCCCAGTTATTTCATTGGAAAACGCTATCATTTGTTTGCTTGATTGCCGCTCTTTGAATCGTAGCCTTGTGTTCTGCCTCTACAAATACTGCGGGATTTTAACGCTGGGGATTTTGGTGGGTGCCGAAGGATCGCGTAATGCGTAGAAGTCGTCGTATGCGCGTCCGCTGAGTCGCGTACTGCTCAACACGAAGAAACACGACATGTTTGCGAGCGATGTGATCATGATTGTCTCGCGAAAGGGGTCGGAATGCTGGCTGGAATCGATCGTAGCTGCGGCTCCATCAACCGAACGCTGATGCAGAACAAGGAATCGCTCGATTTGGACTATCAGCAATTCAAGAAGATCGACGATTCCTGTTTTCTTTCTTTTCCGATTCGTTGAATTCGCAGTTACTTTCCCGGAAGGCGGGTTTTCCGCGTCGCTTTTCGCTGCCGATCGCTGCCTCTTTTCGCAGAATCGCTCGATGAGCAATCCGGATTCGCAGCTGGAGCATGTTCACCAGCTCTGCACATCGCATTTGCAAATCGCTTCGTCGGTGTCTCTTCGAAAACGAACGCGCCCCGCACCTTCGAGAGCGGTTTTGATGAGTTCCGAACCGAAGAAAGAAGTCGAAATGACGGAGCTTTCGCTGTCCACCTCCGAAGAAGCGAAGCTGTTAAAGCCTGTCATCGAGAGCTTGGGCAAATCGCTGACGTCGTCGGGAGACGCGGAGCCGAAGCCAGCGATGGAGTCGCAGCCAGCCGTGAAAGATTTGAACCGAAAACGTCCGATTCGCATGGCTCGAATCGTCGACTATGTGTTTTGTGTTTGTGTTTGTGCTGCTTTGTGTGATGCACAGGGAGATATTGACGAAGTGTACACTCGATTGCTCTCCGTGATCGACATCAACTTTTTATTCCATCGCCAAAATTGCATTGTGTGCGTATCCCTGTTTTGTGAAGCGCCGGACGACTGTTTCGATTCGAATTCGGCGTGATGTGTAGCGATCATTCAGTCGCTGCTCACGCTGCCGATTCTCCTCTATGTTTTCGATCAATCGCCGTATTACAAGCGGTCCTACACCAATCCGGCGCGTGACCACGTTTCTTCTTATTGCTCCAAAACGATCTCGAATTACTACGACGTTCCGAATGATTATTTGCAAGTCAATACCCCCAAAATCGTGCGATTATTGCGAGCCGAACGAATTGTGATCGGGACGTACACGTCTCCAGATCGCTTAGAAGTGCTTTCTTTTTTAGAATTTTTGTAAATCGCAGTGTATTTTTAGTCGCGACGACGAAGAAAACACGTCGATATCGATTATCGCTACGACGTTATTAGAGCTTTTTCAAGGTGAAATCGTTCCTCGCCTTTCAGAATAGACTACGAAGTGGAACTCAGCGGTTTATTCCAAAACCTCAAGCAGGTTTTCTCTCTCTCCATCGAATTGAATAGCAGATCGAATACATGTCCCACGTTCTGCTTCTCTACCCGGAATACGTCTCCACGGGCTCGGTGTTCACTCCATTGGCGTCGTACGTGGTCGAGAACGGACTGGTGGCGTCCAACGAGTTCTCCGGCATCTCCGATGCGCTCTGCACCTCGGTAAATCTCGGCACGTCTTCCCTGTTTCTCCCTTTCACGCACCTCCGCCCGCATCTCTTCGACGTTCTCACCGCCATCTTTCTCCCCAAGAACTACCGTTTCTCCTTTTAGCCGGCTGCGACGTAGGCAATTACCCCATTTTACCGTATGTCTTCCCGGACACGCCCGCGCTGCCCTTTGCGGAGGTGTTTCTCCGCGTGCTCACGGTGCACGGGATCGTTTGTCTCGGCGTGATTTCGAAGGCGAGCGGGCTCTCGATTAGGTGATTGTGCGGATAGAGAGTGATTGATAGCATCGCGTTCCCGCGGCCCGATCTGATGATCTGTCCGGGCGATGTGCTGCTCTGCTTACGCGTCAATCTGCGCAGCTGCAAGAACGGGGATTTCATTTCGTGTGTTTGTTCCTCAAACAGCAAAGCACTTTTTCACCACTTGTCTCGACGTGAAGTTCCGGCGCAGCTCGCGCTGGAACTGATCATACAGGCTCTGCATCGGAATCACGCGCGACTGCCCCGGCTCCAACTTCCCGTACAGCTGCTCCACAAACCGCGCCCAATGCCGCGAGCTACGCCTCAGGCCTCTCCCTCGAACGCACTGCGCGTGCGGAACGTCCACCGCGAAGCCGCGCGTCAAAACCTGGAAGTCGAAGCCGACCCAGCGCAGATGCTCCAGCCACTGCACTTTGTTGTACCCATAGTTGATGAACCGCTCATCGAACCGCGGGAGATGGGGCGACCGTTTCACCATCACGTATCTACCAATCAGATCGCGCGAAATCGAGGGAAACGGCTCTTGTTTGTCGCCTTTGAAGCACTTCACCGGCGTCAAAAGGGGTTCATAATTATCATTGTACCACTGTCGGAAGAAATAGTTCTACGATTCCCGCGGGGATGGGGTCCTACATGAAGCCGGTGCGAGGGACGGAACGTATCGCACTTCATCGCGTTGAGGCAATGGCGCAGCTCGCTCTTGTTCCGCGGTAAATTGCGCGACGCGCTGGGACTTAGCCGCTCTCCAATGGAATACTATTCCGCTACGATCCGGAACCGGACGTTTTTGTTCTTCGTGTGGAGTTCGAAGGCGGGAACAATGACCGCCAAATCTTCGCGCGCTAATTGGTCGTAGGGGAGCTCGATGAGCGCTTCGCGCAGACCGACTATCGATAAAACCCCGATCAGAACGAAACGGCTGGGCCACATGTCCATGTCGGTGAGCCAGAAGTGGGAGGTGCGGACATGATCGATGGCGAGGTTGCGGAGGTGGTTGATGGGGTAGACGCTGCGGTTGGTGGCGGTGAAGGGAATGACGCCGAGACGCGCGGGGAACGAAGACGTGCGAAGAAATTGGCGGTAGGTTCGTTCTTCGCTGGGTTTGAGACACACGGCGATCGAGAAGGCGCTGAGGATTAGTCATTCGTTTGGAAGAGAAGGTACCCGGTCCAGCGGTCGAGAAAATAGGAGAAGTAGACGGTTCGCTCGTAACTACGTGATGATGATGGGAGGAGCAGGGGAGAGCTACGTGGTTTGGGATGTGAAGGTGACATCGAATGGAGAGGAGGAAACGCTGGTAGGAGTACTGGGAATGGTTGTAGTGGGAGAGAGTTTGGTTGGGGAGGGGGGAGTCGGTTCCGACCGCCGTTCTGAAGCATGGTTCAATGCAACTTCATTTGATCGAAACTCTGCAGACTGAAAATTCGAAGCCGGTTCGAAAATCAACTTGGAACGAGGTTGATTGCTAGAATGAAATAAAATTCGATCCTTTATACGGCTGTGAAGATAAAGGAGGTAACGATTTTTCATTTTCGGATAAAACAACGAATCTCTACAACGATCACAGTAACACAGAGAGCGAGTGTACAATGTGACTCAACCGATTTGCTTCACCAAGAGTATGATTTGCGATGAATAAAAGACTACAATGTCCAAAAACAACAACAAAACCAACACAGTGAGTGCTGTAAGAAAGAGCGCCCACACCACGTACGGCAGATTCGACACAACCATGCAACGTGTGTGGAACAAAGAAACAAATATACAAACAACCTTTAATGATGCCCTAACATCATTCCCAACGCCGCAATCGCTGCAACTCCAACTCTACAATGATAAGAACCAATCAAGCGAAAGCCTACCCAACCGTCACACCCGTCGTCAGCATGTCGCTCTTGTTCTTTCGCGGCGAATACGATCTGTTTGAATACGGCGGACACGCCGAGTACGCTCCGTTCACATATTCATACCGATTGCGCTCCAGCAAAGCACGCGAGGCATCATCATCACATCCATCCAATCTCACTTTTCTCGGACCAGCCTGCGCAGGATTAAAGTACGGACTGCGCAAAACCTGCCCACAGACACACTTGAAGTATTCTGCACCGGGTGGAGGCGCCAAAAGCTTCCCACACGTTGGACATTGTACATGCTGAGCGGCACCCGGAGGTGGCGGATTCTGATACACTGGGTAGTTCGGAGGAACATAAGTAGGAGGATATCCAGCTCCATAATTAGGATTGTAGCCTGGGGCAGGAGCAGGAGCAGGAGCAGGAGCAACGTAATTAGGAGGATAACCTGCTGGATAGTTGGGATCATAGCCTGGAGGGGGAGGAGCCGCATAGGACACACCGGCTGGTTGGACAGAGGGGGTTGAAGAGTAGATGCTGGGAGTTGCGGAACATTGAGCAGAAGGACCCGTGAGAGGAGGTTCAGTCATCACAGGCTGGTTGATAGGTGGAAAAACAGCTCCGTTTGGAGAGGGCTGAGCTGTGGAACTGACATATGATACAGAGGATGGAGATATAGGTGTGACAGAAGGCATATTGGGTTGATAGTACTGAGAAGCAGTTTCGGGAGGAACCACAGTAACAGGAATCGTCTGTCCTCGCTGTTTCAACTCCTGTTCGGTGGGATAGCTGGTAGCCACTTCAGTAATCGGCTTTGGGGCATCGGATGGAACATCCGATGAAGGAATGTTCAAATTGTTAGCAACCGTTATGGGTTGACTATTTTGATTTACAGGCGGTACGCTCATTCACCGAAATCCAAAAAATAATTTCAAAAACGAAGTAAAAAATGAAGTGTAAAAGTATTGCGCACAATAGTTATTCGTTGGTAAGGGCGTTTCATCGTAGAAACGAGGTTTTGATCGAACTATCGAACAAAAAATTTACTGAAGTAGATTTCATTCATGTCCGCCTTCCAAGAAAAGGTAAGGGACAGTGTAGAAAAGGTCAGAATTAGTGTATTAACTCCATCCGTGTTCTCGCTGCGGAAACTGTCCAGAAAGCAAAGTCTGGACACCCGGGTGGATTTTCGCCAGTGCTGTAACATCTAGGAGCTCCTATGGGTTGTGCACCTATTGCGCACGCCTTGTGGGGATCTGTGATGAATTACGATCCCAAGAACCCCAAATGGGTATTCTTTGTTGCGATATCGTGCTCATATCTAGTATAATCGTGATCGTTTCATTCTGTCAAACGGCCACGCTAGCGCGCTTCTTTACTCCATGCTTTATCTTACTGGTTACGACGTGCGCTTTCTACGCTTCCCCTTATCCTTAGATGACCATTGATGATTTGAAATCCTTCCGCCAACTGGGCAGCCGCACGCCCGGCCATCCCGAGTCGGAGATGGTGGGCGTGGAGGTGTCCACCGGCCCTCTGGGCCAGGGCGTCTCGAACGCCGTGGGCATGGCGATCGCTGAGTCGCACCTGGCGGCGCTGTTCAACAAGCCTGACTTCCCAGTGATCGACAACTACATCTACGCGCTCTGCGGCGACGGCTGCCTGGAAGAGGGCATCAGCCACGAGTCCGCGAGCCTCGCCGGGCACCTCAAGCTTGGCCGTTTGATCGTTCTCTACGACGACAACTCCATCACCATCGACGGCCGCACCGACATCTCCTTCTCCGAGGACACGCTCAAGCGCTACGAGGCCTACGGCTGGGACGTCGCCCGCGTCCCCGACGGCGACCACGACGTCGCGGGCATCCTGGCGGCCATCGAGCGCGCCAAGAAGGTCGAGGACAAGCCCTCGATCATCGCCATCCGCACCACCATCGGGTTCGGCGCCGCCAAGCAGAACACTTCCGCGGTTCACGGATCCCCGCTCGGCTGGGAGGATATCGACCAGGTCCGCGCCCAGTTCGGATTCCCCGCGGGAGAGTACTTCTCCGTCGCCGAGGACGTGCTGCAGTACTACAGAACCGCGGGAGAGCGCGGGTCGGCGAAGGCGGCCGCGTGGGCGAAGCTGTTCGAGGCGTACGGCGCTGCGTTCCCCGCGGAACACGCGGAGTTGGTGCGTCGCATGGAGGGAAAGCTGAAGGGCGACATAACCGCGGTTCTTCCGGAGATGGGCGGGAAGGACGCGGCGACGCGGTCGAGCTCCGGCGTGGTGCTGAACGCGCTGGCGGCGCAGTACCCGGAACTGATGGGCGGATCGGCGGACTTGACGCCGTCGAACAACACGGCGCTGAAGGGAAGCGAGGACTTCTCGGCGACGAACCGCGCGGGAAGGTATCTGCGGTTCGGCGTGCGGGAGCACGGCATGGCCGCGATTTGTAACGGTATGTTCGCGTACGGAGGGTTCCTCCCGTTCTGCGCGACCTTTTTCGTGTTTGTTGGGTACTGCATGGGCGCGGTGCGCATCGCCGCGCTCTCTCACTACCGTGTTTTGTTTATTCTCACACACGACTCCATCGGCGTGGGCGAGGACGGACCCACCCACCAGCCCATCGAGCAGCTCTGGCAGCTCCGCAACATGCCGGGCATCACCGTGCTGCGCCCTGCCGACGGCCGCGAGGTCGCGGGAGCGTACCAGCAGTACATGGAGGGCTCGGGCCCCGTGGTGCTGGTGCTCTCGCGCCAGAATCTCCCCTACCTGGAGGGCAGCAGCGCTGCGAAGGTGGAGAAGGGCGCTTACGTGATTCGGGAAGTGGAGGGAACGCCCGATCTGGTGCTGCTGGGAACCGGATCGGAGGTGTCCATGTGTGTGGCGGCCGCGGAGAAGATGGAGGGAAAGAAGGTGCGCGTGGTGTCGATGCCTTCTGTCGAGCTCTTTGAGAAGCAGCCGCGCGAGTACCAGAAGGCGGTGCTGGGAGAGAATGTGCCGATCATGGGAGTGGAGGCGGGAGCCACGCACGGTTGGGAGAAGTTCACGCACTACCAGATGGGAATGACCACGTTCGGAGCCTCGGCCCCTGCGGCGAAGGTGTTCGAGCATTTCGGATTGACCGTGGAGAAGGTCGTGGAGAAGGGCGAGAAGCTGATGAACTACTACGCAACACACCCGATTCCTGCGAAGCTGGAGGATTTCGGATTCTAAGCGTGGTGAATGGCGCAGAATAATACTGTTTCGATTTTTTTGTTTGTGTAAAATACATGTAAGAGAACCGCGGTTAATCCAGGGATTCTATTTAACGGTGAAGAAAAAAAGAGTCTTCATCTTGTGATTCGAAACTTATCCGGTTCGGTTGGACTTACCATTTTCTACCCATTGACCTATTGCGCAACGCAACAAAGCGATATTTTCCACAATGGACATTCTGTTTACTCAGATAAAGCGTCGTGTAGGTTGTGAGGGTCTGGATGTCATTTTAGAAACTTATCAGGAAGAATAAGTGTTCTAATTGCTGTATCCCAATTGGGAAAACAATGGCTAGCCATGTATGTAAAGTGTGCAGTAGGTGTGCAGGAGTCGACTGAAGCGCAGACAGTGAAATTTGTGACAGCTGCAAAAGAGGCAAGATGATTCTCCCTGGCTACGAGAATCCGAAGACGGTTTGCAGCGCTTGTTGGAACCGCCTCTCCATTCCGCAAAAGGCACTCGATCTTCAGGATTTGGAGGATGGCAGCGTAGAATTAAGTATTGACGAGGAGTTTACTCTTTTGGCGACGATGGCGACGGAATTTCTCGCCCAGGACGGGTATTACTACTCCTGGGAATTAGTCCGCCATCTGATCATTAGCGGCTATGAAGTCTACAATCAAGTACTTTTTCTCCCCGATTTCTCTCCGTAGGTAACATCAGGCGCCCCCCTCGAAGAGAAGCAGAGTGTATGTGATCTTTGTTGGTACTTGTGGGCGCGATCGCTCGGCAAAGGTTGTCCATTTAAAAGCGGCACAATCTTCATCGAGGACGAGCACTACCTCCTCTTCAGCGCATTGAGCCGATTGGGCTATTCCCGGGTTCTCCTTCACGGCGTACTCCCGCGGTTTTTCCTCCATTCTAGGACCAAATCGCGGGTCAGAAAGTCCCGTACTCGATGCGTATCGGCAGCTCCCATCTCTCCGAATTCGTGGGATCCCCCAATCGTTGATAATCAGATCGAATTCTGCGAGAACAAGGCGCAGTGGCTGCTGCCCGAAGGCGAGACCGAGATCGTGATGTCCCGCGGTAAAATTGGCCGCGGGTATGAGCAGGTGGGGATGGATTTCGCGGTGCGGGAGACGGGGATCGTGCTTCCGTTCAATCGGCGGCATTTGCTGTTCGGGCGCGTGCCGCTGAAGCGGTACGAGCAGGCTTCGTTCACGTTTCTGAAGTTCGAGAATTACGGAACGGAGCAGCTGGGAGACATCGTGAGGCACGGAATTCAGTACGGATTGCACGTGATGAAGCGAGAGAGTCGGGAGAAGATGCCGTCGAGACGAGAGACGGTGGGGAAGCGGATCTCGCAGCGGTTCCAGGAGTTAGTGCAGATGATTTTCGAGTTTCCGTCGCTGAAGCCGATCATAAAGCACGATTCGATGGAGCAGGTGTTGGATCGCGCGTCGGTGAAGGGCGTGTCGTATATGTAGGGAAGAGAAGAGTGAGGGTGAAGAGTAGAATGCAGGTGGCGATGATGACGATGACGAAGTTGAATTCGTTTTTGGTGAATCCGAAGTCGAGTGGGAGAGAACGCCAGGCGATGATGGGTAGATCCGGGGCCGCTCTCCGCGATTCAGACGCTCTACGCGCAGGCGTATGATTTCGTCGCGTTTCTGACGCAGGATCCGACGATGGATCACTTGGACGTGCGGTTTGGGAGAGAAGTCATCTTTGCGAAGGAGGAACTGGAGTCGAGTCGGTTGATTGTGAAACCGCAGCACGTAGACATGGAGCAGATTTTGCCGGTGTCTGCGAGACCGAGAGGGTTGAGCGACTCTATGTTGCCTCGTGTGGAGGAGGACTTTGCGGCAAAGGAAGTGAATTATCAGTACGAAAGGATTTAGCGAAGTCTGTGTGTGTTTGTTGGAGACATGGAAGAAAGGGGAACGAAACTTTTGGATGTGTGATCTTTGAACTGAACGTTCCACTAGATGAAAAAGCAGAGGCTTAGGCAAATGCGGGTGAAGGGATAACGAATGAACTACTTGCGTAAATAGTCAATCTACTCAAATGAAAGAAGGAAGCTGATAGAAAGGCACGAATGAGTTCAAAGCGGAAGAAATGAAGATATTATGAAGTACAATTGTTCGAACGATCCTGAAGTATAAATGGAGAGTAATTAATATACAGTGAGGGCTTAGATTGTAGTCATTCTTGTAACGAGAAATACCATCGACTCTAAATGGTGGTCTTGTTGTATTGATGTGGAAATACTTTTACTCAATTGATTACTCTAATAATCACGAGAATGTTCCTTTTTTGAGTGTGTTCAAGAAGCCCAATCTGTCATGTTTCACTATGTACATTCAAATGATAATTGAATACTATTGTTCATTCAGATTGTATTTTGGAGGTCGACAGTCAACATTGTTTCCTTGACGTTTTACATTATTCAGACTATTATTAGAAGTAGGTAATAACTAAGAATACAAAAATATCATTAATCAAATAGAAGTATTTCTAAATAGTCTTTTCTTCATCGTTGAAATTCTTTGATCATTTCCAAAATATGAAATGATAAATGAAAACTGAAAATGAAATAGAATGAGCATGTTTTATTAGTATCAATTCTGTTACCGATTTTTGATAGAAAAAAGAACAAACAAGTTCACTATAGCATAACTAACAAGATAAGTATAGAATAAACTTGATTATACTAACAACATGAACAGATTTAAGAATAATGACGATTGTGTCTAAATCATTGAATAATACAGAAGCTTCCGAATGACATGGTAATAAACTTCAATTGAATATGTGGCACTAACAATAAATAATGAATGGCCATCAACAGCCATGATAACACTATGAAGAGCAAAAGAGAAAGGTATCACACAAACATATAAATAATCATTACGGTATTAATTTTACGTTCGTTAAATAGTGTAAATAGGTTCAACATAAATTACTGCTTAGTTTTGACAAATTTAGCGAGAATTGAAGCAACATCTGTAAATAACATCAAATCAATCCAACAATACTCGCAATTGCTTTTGATTGAACACACTGGAGTGAATAAGGTAGCTTGACACTATGGAGATTTGGAATATCTAAATCTATCAAAATTCAATATTCAGAAATACTTTCCAATGTCACTATACGAGGATATTTAAAACTATATCCTTCAGAATTGATGGATGTTAGATTTGGAAGATCTACAAAGCAAATCATTTACAATTATTTCATTATTACTTTTCATTATCAATGAACATGAATCAATCCCCGAAATTCCACCAAGTGCATTATAACCGAGTTGAATGGATTGTAATGATGGAAGATCTACATCAATCATTTCATTCAAATTCATTCAATACTTTCCATTATTGTTGAGAAGGAAACTTGAAATGCTTTATCACCTAATGTAATGGATTGTAGATTTGGAAGATCTATGCATTCAAACATTCAATATTATAGTAATACCTCGAATCATAAATGAACTATTATAGAAATTGTATGAAGTACTTCCAATTGTACCAATTTGAATGGATTGTAATTGTGGACAATTCTTCAATTCAAAGTCGCCTCCAAAATCACTGAAACTATATTCTCCAATTTCTATCGATTCCAATGATTCACAATTCAATATGTGGAATGATTTCGATTCATCTCTTCCACAACGACCATTCTTTTTCTGAGTGAATGAATTGTTTCCGATTTTGATAGTTTTCAATCGATTCAATCCATCGATTTCGAATCTTTGCACTGAGCCAAAGCAATTATCACCGATTTCGATTGTTTCTAATGAATCGAGATTATATAGACAGTATTCTTTACTCTTTCCAAATGTATTATTACCTAATGTAATGGATTGTAGATTTGGAAGATCTATGCATTCAAACATTCAATATTATATTAGTACCTCGAATCATAAATGAACTATTATAGAAATTGTATGATCTAAATCCGATTTTACCAATTTGAATGGATTGTAATTGTGGACAATTCTTCAATTCAAATTTGCCTCCAAAATCACTGAAACTATATTCTCCAATTTCTATCGATTCCAATGATTCACAATTCAATATGTGGAATGATTTTGAATAATCAATTCCAAAATCATTCTTTTTCTGAGTGAATGAATTGTTTCCGATTTTGATGGTTTTCAATCGATTCAATCCATCGATTCGGAATCTTTGTACAAATCTAAAACAATCATTACCGATTTCGATTGATTCAACATGAATTAACCCAGAGTAATCGAATGATATTAATTCTATATCATTTTTAGTCCCATTGCTAACAATTATTGAAGTAGCAGAATGATCAGTTGATTTCATCTCATCACTAGTAGCAGTACTTATTTTGAGAGAACAACATTTTGAGAGTGAATAAGGAATATCTAGAGTGTTATGTACGATGTAGTATATACTATTAACTCTTTTAATACTTGCACACTTAAATGAATAAGGTAGCTTGATATTGTGGAGATTTGGAATATCTAAATCTATCAAAATTCAATATTCAGAAATACTTTCCAATGTCACTATACGAGGATATTTAAAACTATATCCTTCAGAATTGATGGATGTTAGATTTGGAAGATCTACAAAGCAAATCATTTACAATTATTTCATTATTACTTTTCATTATCAATGAACATGAATCATCATCTCTTCCTACAAGTGCCCAATAACCGAGTTGAATGGATTGTAATGATGGAAGATCTACATCAATCATTTCATTCAAATTCATTCAATACTTTCCATTATTGTTGAGAAGGAACGTTCGAATACACAACCACCTAATGTAATGGATTGTAGATTTGGAAGATCTATGCATTCAAACATTCAATATTATATTAGTACCTCGAATTATAAATGAACTATTATAGAAATTGTATGATTTCCTTCTAATATTCCCAATTTGAATGGATTGTAATTGTGGACAATTCTTCAATTCAAAGTCGCCTCCAAAATCACTGAAACTATATTCTCCAATTTCTATCGATTCCAATGATTCACAATTCAATATGTGGAATGATTTCGATTCATCATTTCCAAAATCATTCTTTTTCTGAGTGAATGAATTGTTTCCGATTTTGATGGTTTTCAATCGATTCAATCCATCGATTTTGAATGTTTTCACTAATTCAAAACGTCCATCACCAATTTTAATTGTCTCTAATGAATCGAGATTATATAGACAGTATTCTTTACTCTTTCCAAATGTATTATTACCTAATGTAATGGATTGTAATTGTGGACAATTCTTCAATTCAAAGTCGCCTCCAAAATCACTGAAACTATATTCTCCAATTTCTATCGATTCCAATGATTCACAATTCAATATGTGGAATGATTTCGATTTATCATTTCCATACCAACTCTTTTTCTGAGTGAATGAATTGTTTCCGATTTTGATAGTTTTCAATCGATTCAATCCATCGATTTCGAATCTTTGCACTGAGCCAAAGCAATTATCACCGATTTCGATTGTTTCTAATGAATCGAGATTATATAGACAGTATTCTTTACTATTTCTAAATGTATTATTACCTAATGTAATGGATTGTAGATTTGGAAGATCTATGCATTCAAACATTCAATATTATATTAGTACCTCGAATCACAAATGAACTATTATAGAAATTGTATGAATCACTTCCAATTGTACCAATTTGAATGGATTGTAATTGTGGACAATTCTTCAATTCAAAGTCGCCTCCAAAATCACTGAAACTATATTCTCCAATTTCTATCGATTCCAATGATTCACAATTCAATATGTGGAATGATTTCGATTTATCAATTCCCCAATCATTCTTATTCTGAGTGAATGAATTGATTCCGATTTTGATAGTTTTCAATCGATTCAATCCATCGATTTCGAATCTTTGCACTTCAGAATAGCATTCATCTTCAAATATGATACATTGATTTTCATTTTCATATTTATACTTCTTACTCAATACTTTAGGTTCAAAATCTTTTGTTACTAAGTCCGCTTGATATAGTCTCTCACGAATATAATCATATAATACTAATCCACAAATCATTACTGCTATTATTATTAACCACTGCCAGTATCTTGGTATTGGTAAAATGAATGTCAATACAACAACACATAGCCCGAATATTACTGGAATTCCTGCAAATAACAGTATATACTTTGATTGTGAATATCCATTCACCCATTTTCCATCATATTCTATTTCATTGTTGTCATTATATGACGTTCCTAATCCACATCGTTTTCCATTCAGAAATTCACCTTCATAAATCACATTCTGGCCTTCTTCATCATATTCCTTCCCACATATCCGATAAAATCCTTTCTCAATTGAACCACTATAATATCCTTCAAAACACTTTACACCATCTTTGTATTCTATCATTTTATCATTTTCAAATCGATACAAAATCGATATTTCTTCATTGTTTTCCCAAATACTTACTCTTACAAGTAATCCCGATTCATAAAAGTAGCACAATCCTTCATTCATTCCATTTTCATTCTTTTGACATATCGAAATCACTTTTCCATTCCCATCCAATTCTTTCCAATAACCTTTCATTCCATCCATTCTTTCACAATGATTGCCTCTACTTCCTTTTTCATACCTACCTTCAAATATCACATTCCCATTCTTATCATACTCTTTTCCAAATCCTTGACGATATCCATCTTCAAGATTCCCTTCAAAATATAATTCGCCTGAATCATAATACAATTTACCTTGTCCCTTTATCTCATTACTTCGATACTCGAATTCTGCTATTATCGTATTGCTTATTGTTTTGATAATAGCTTTCCCATTTAATTTCCCATTTCTTATCTTCGTTTGAATTGTGTAACCTTGATGTGGAGAACCAATGTTCAGAATCACATTTTCACTATCAATCTTATCTATAGTACTAATAGGGAATTGATTGGTAATGCTCCAACTCCAAATATCTACCTCAAACCCAGATTCCTTTTCCAGGTCATGAGACACGTTCAATGGTTCTATTTCGATAATATAACTTGATTGAATTCCAGAATTCGTAGATGAGTCCATAAATAATGATATTATGGTCAAAACCTCGAAAATGAAACGAATCTCCTCTATTTGATTCCAGTATAATCCTTATTTCATTATCATACTAATATTGTGCATATTTCTACTATTTACTATCATTTTGTGGATTGATATGTAATATATGACTATTTTTGTAAAGATTACACTATTTTTGTGAGTAACGAGAATGACTATTGTTTTCCAACAAATTGAGTATTGAATAGAATGTAGATAATATGTAGATTGATAGAATTCGTTAAGATCGTCAAACTAGAACTGCATTGGCTCGATTTGTATCAAAATGGTTTTGTAAGTGTGTAATACTATTTTAAATATGGAAATAGACTTGTTAACAGTTATTCTAATAATATCTACTCTCAATGTTGTGTTTTAGATGTAAGAATGATGAGAGTGACAATTTCGTCATTCTAATATACAATCCATATTCGAATTGTCATCCATGAATCTATGCGATGTTGGAGATGTGTAAATAGTTTGTAATTCAATGATATTTGAATCAAAGAATAGGATACATGTTATTTCCAATTTTGATGTTGGATAATAGTCGAATCGATTCAAACTATCCAATATACATTATTGATAAGCTGTTGTTACTGTTGTTGTGAATATAATCATGAGTATCATACATTATACATTATGGTTTGAATGATTCAACATAGCTCAAATCCTAAGGGTGATGAAATGACATGTGATATTGACTATTCTTGAAATTTGATTGTATTGATGTCTATTTCGTTTCATGACTTGCTATACTTAGCATTCTTCTGTCATAACTCATTTGAAAATTATAAAAATGATTTCGAACTTATTAATCGATTGTGCACTTCATTTGATTGAACCAAACTAAGAATTCTAATTCAAAATGTATTGAAATCACACTTGATAGATATTCATTATGAATAATGACTTGATATCTCGAATATGAGTGATTGATTGTATGAATTGTGATGATGTTAATAATAATAGATGGATCGATTCAAATCAAAATGAAGGATACATGGCTATAAGTAGATTGATCTTCATTTCGACTAATAAGAACGAAATATTCTTATATTCGTATTGAACGGAATGGTTTGGAATAGGATGAATCCAAGAGACAATTGTAAATGATCAATGTTCAAAGAATGCCAAATGCTGATCATAATAACATTGAATTGATATAATAATTGTATTGGACTGTGATAATACTAAAGAATGAAGTATCATCTATTTCATGTAGTGAATTATAGGAATCAACAAACCAAGCAACCCATAATCAAATGTATGAATGTCACAAAATAGATATTTGCTAATATCATTGCAATTGAAATAATATATATATTATTTCTTTACATATTGGAACTTATATCCAACCAAATTATGAGAATCCATAATCACAATCGATTGAAATACATTGAAATATGATTCTTCCAGTTTTGAAATCATCTCAACAGATGGTTTAACAGGGTAACTCTTTTTTTTACTAAAAGCTTTTCAACGTCACTCATTTTGTGTATATATAGTATACTCTTATCTTGTTTATTCCAATATTTCCATATGCTCTTTTACTCGAAATATGATCCTATGTTACAATATGTTTCGTTGCAGTTACAAGAATCGAACATTTTTGAAAAACGACAGCTATTATTATCAGCATGATGTGCAATGGAATAATATCCATTCACTCTTTTTCTATATATTTTGATTCCACATCCGGCGTATATCTTGAGAATAAGTATATCGATTTATAAACGTAAGTTATCTACCTAATTCCGATCGAAACTCATTACTCTATCGGTTCAGTAGGATTTGCATTATTTTCGAAAAAATAGCTTATTAATCTTATCCCACACTCTGGGTTCTTTTATGAGCAATGTAAAAGCCCCTATTGTGATTATTGACAGTTTTTATTTTTAAAAATATCGTAGCGATATATATTTCAGTTGAATTGATTTATACAACGTATGGTTTCAGGCCACTCTATCTCTTTTACACTAATCTTTTGAATATAAAAGCAGATACTCTATAATCTTCTTATGTTAGACTTCCAAATACATTTTTCACTCCACATTGTTTGTAGTATTTTCATTACAGATTTCTTTTCAATAGTATTGATGTATTTTCCTTTTGTGTATGTATGAGGTAATGTTGGAAATTGTGAATTCTGGGATTCTTTATGACCATATCTCTAGCACTGAGTAGATTTCATTAATGATTTACTTAACTCTTTATTGGCAACCCTGATTTCCCCACTTTTCAGTTTGGAGCCTTATTCATCCTTATTGTATCCATTAACAATTCATTTTCAATGGGAAAACTTATAAGAAAGTTTCAGAATGCTAGTTATAGTGGTCGTTCTTTTGATGCAAACTAATTCATTGCCAACATCTATATGTTCCTATTGATATATGTCGGTTTTATGCATGCCTGTAGTACGAGATATGTCCCTTAGATGGTATGTAGATAATGATATAACTGTTTCTTCTATTCGACATAATATCAACTCTATTCCGATAAGTAGTATTTGCTTATGTGAGATACCGTTTACACATATGTGTAAATTAATACTTGTTTTGATTATAGAATCGATAATTATGTTGATAAAAGAAACAGTTCACTGTATTGTGTGCATGTATTGTCACATGGATATCACCCATATGCAATTCTTCAAATGTCTGTTGTTGTTCATATTCCTGACTCCTTTTGATTATCTATGTATACATTACATCTCAACACATTAGGTACATCAGACTTATTTTCGAGCAGTATTCTCTGTATCTCCCGTTACTATTTCTGCCTTGTCGATTATGGACAATACAGTTGGATAAACGGAATATATACGCAATTGTTACACCGTCATTTGATTCTTTAAGAAAACTAGAGTTAGCCTCTTTTATAGTTTGGTGATCTATAGAAATGTCTGCGACCATTATTCAGAAAGCAATGAAGCTGAGAGTGGGTCTTTGCCAAATGTTGGTATCTGGTGTATGAATTTGTTGTGTGTGGAGTAACATTTATAGAATAAGATGGAAAATCTGGAAAAGGCTAGAAAGATGATTACTCAAGCTGTATCGAAAGGAGCCGAGTTGGTCGTACTCCCCGAGTGCTTTAACAGGTATCCCGCTCATTAATTGCGCTAAATATGTAGTACCTATGACACGAAGCTTTTCCGGCAAAATTCTGAGGAAATACCTTCAGTTCTTTAATTGTCTGCTATTTACTTATAGAAAATATCAATGATAGACAAGAGTGTTCATCCCACTCTCGCCATGCTTGCGGAAGAGGTAAAACGTCACCGGATTACGCTTATCGGTGGTAGTATTCCAGAGATTAGCGACAATAAAGTGTTCAACACTTCTCCTATTTTGTCGTGGAAAAGTGACACGATTATAAAGCACCGCAAACTGCACCTCTTCGACGTAAATGTCCCCGGAGGGATCTGCTTCCAAGAAAGCGAAACGTTAACAGCAGGTGATCATTTCACCGTGTATCCCTATTCCTCTTCTTCGGCCGACTTTTTGATCGGTGTTGGGATCTGCTACGACGTTCGCTTTCCAGAATTAGCCTTGGTGTATGCGCAGCGAGGCTGCAAATTGCTTGCGTATCCCTCCGCTTTCAATATGACAACGGGACCTCTTCATTGGGATTTACTAGCGCGGGGAAGAGCCGTGGATACGCAGAGCTATGTGATGATGTGCTCACCCGCAAGAGATGAGCATGGATCCTATGTGGCGTATGGACATAGTGTGGTGGTGGATCCGTGGGGTAAAGTAGTCGCACAGTTGGACGAGAAGGAGGGAGTGCTGATGGCGGATATTGATCTGGGGAAGTGTGATCAAGTCAGGGCAGCCATTCCCACGAAGGATCAGAAGCGATTCGATTTGTATGAATTGAATACCATGCAGTAGTGTACTGTCCGTATTGTTATTCTTTTTTATTGCTATTTTCTCACTTGGGACGGGTGTTTGTTTGAATTGTGTGTTTTACCCTTATGAAGTAGCACTTCAGTCGTATCTCCTTATTTCGTATTCGATATTACCACTATCGCCTCCTTCCACGAACTTGATATGGTTTCGTTCCATGATCCAATCCATATGACATTTTTATATAGATAATTTTGATTACCCATACAGGAGTCGGGTTGGTGTAGTGGCTATCACGCTCGCTTCACACGCGAGAGGTCGCGAGTTCGAACCTCGCATCCGATATTTTTCTTTATTCTCAATCTCGCATACTATTATTTCGACTCTTTTATTCTCTTCATTTTTATGACTTCTCTACTTGATTTGGATTACGATGGTCGAAAACAATTCGTTTTTGACCGATTGAGGACTGTTCCCGAGTGGGCAGATGTTTGCACTTTGAGCGACTTTAGTATGGAGCAAAACAAGGGTTTGTACGTTCTTTATAGATTACTGTTTAGACGGACTTACGAATATCATCTATCGGGTGTACAAGAACAAATGTCCTGATGATTATCCAATTTTATTTCGTATTTATGGTGCTGGTATTCCTATCATGGAACTCATAACATGCAGAAAGTAACAAGTATCTTAATCGTGCTAAGGAACTCGAGTTCCTTTCAATCCTCTCTAAGCACAATTTCGGGGTTAAGCTAATTCAGCATTTCCCCGAAGGACGATTGGAGGTGTGGAGAGTTGGTTTTAAAGTCGTTTTTTTCTATTCTTGGCTTACGTCTAGTCACTAAATGATTGTGGATGTAGAGACCCATTGCTCTCTCGCCAAATCGCAGAGAAATTGGCCGATCTTCACAACATCCCAATTGAAGGCTCCATGTTCTGTTCTTTTACGGATATGTTGCGTTCATGGACTTCACTGTGTGAAAAGTGCCTATCTGCAGACGCATTTGAGGGTTTTTCTCTCAATAACCTTTCTCAAGAGATTTCGTTGAATGAAGAATTGATTCGCAACGAATGCCATGATTTTGTGTATGGACATCAGGATTTGCTTCGTGGCAACGTGTTACGAAATTCGAATGGTGATGTGTTACTTGTGGATTTCGAGTATTGCTGCATTCTCCCTGCGCCTCTCGATATTTGTCACCACTACTGCGAGTGGATGACGCGATACGATTCGGACTCCTACTGGATCGATTGGAGACTTCATCCAAATGAGGATGAAGAACGAAACTTCATCGCTGCATATCTTCATCGCAGACGTTTCGGTTCGCTGAGGAAGTGATGAATAGATGGAAAGGAACCTGAGGAGAAGGACATCTGCGACATGATTACCTCGGTTCATCGTTTGCAGTGTTTTTCGTTCTTTCTCTGGTTTGTTTGGGCTGTGATGCAGACGTTGATCGGTGTTGACTGGAATAGCCACGACTACGCAGTGAATCGATGGCATCTCTATAAGGAACTCAAGCAAAAGTATTACGGAATAGAAGCCCTACCCGTTATTTGCGAATAGTGGAACGGCTCCGATTTTCGGGGGCGGGCACACTAGATGGAGTTCGGTTTGTTTGTTTGTTGAAAAATGGGTAATGATTGGACTTTGCTTGCGATGGCAGTTGGAGGTTTTTTTATATCAACTCTGGACTGGAGATCGTTGTTGCAGTGATTGAACTATCTCTGGCAGTGTCATACGAAACTCTCCCTACACTTGACAATCTGTTTCCTTTTCTTTGTCGATTCGACTCGTTTCTCTTTCTCCTAGCAAAACGTTTATTTGATTGGTCCAGTCCAACGAGGATGGTCATATGAGAATAGAGGGAAAATACACATTGTTTGCCACTTTAAATGTTATTTCTCGGATTTCAATGCTAAATCGTTATCGGAGAATTGACACCATTGGAGAAGGCGCTTACGGAGTTGTGTAATCGTTTTCTTCGAGGATGAATTCTAGGTTTAAAGCGATGGATTGTTTGACTGGAGAAGTCGTTGCAATGAAGAAGGTGAAGGTGGAAGATAATAACGATGGCATTCCGAGCACCTCTCTGCGCGAAATCTCTGTGCTTCGGTCTTTAGACCACCCAAATATTGTCAAGTGGATCTTTTAAATCTGTTTCGAAGATAGATTAACCGACGTTGAGAACTGCGATGGTCGTATCCATCTCGTGTTCGAATGCATCGACATGTCCCTTGTAAAATATATTCAAGACAGCCAGAGTCGCGGCGGAATGACAATGGACGAAATCAAGGTAGTTGTGCATCTTGACTTCCATTCAAGTCCTTCTCCTACCAGCTCCTCCTGGCTCTCGACTACATCCACGGCGTTGGCATAATGCACCGTGATTTAAAGCCGGAGAACATTCTAATTCACAAAACCAAGGTATTAAAGTTGTGTGATTTTGGATTGGCTCGTACCTTCTCTCTCCCGATTAGCACGCTCACGCACGAAGTGATGACGCTGTGGTACCGCGCTCCGGAAATCCTTCTCAACCAGGAGAAATACTCCCCTGTGGTCGATATCTGGTCGGCGGGACACGTCATCGCGACCATGATTCAGGGCGATGCGATTTGGAGAGGAGAGAACGAGATCGATATGATTTTCAGGATTTTCAGCACCTTGGGAACACCGACGGAGGAGATGTGGCCGGGTGTCACAAAGCTTCCGTTTTACAACAAGGAATTCCCGAAATGGCCCAAGCGAAGCATTGGGAAGACGATTCCGAACCTAGATCCCCTGGCGGAGGACTTGCTGAATGTAGGGAAGATGGGCGTATGTGATGTAGAAAATGTTCTGCTATGACCCTTCGAAGAGAATCACCGCCTATGAGGCGCTTCACCATCCTTGGTTTGACTCTCTGGACAAATCACAGTTTCAAAATCCGGATGAGTAGTTTCGTTGCTTGTTTGTTTCAAAAAACAAATATGAATGTTACGAGTTTTAGATGATCTAGCTTATTCATAGACCCACTTCTCGTCATCCTTGGTCCACTCGACCAGACCCTCAGGGAACCAGAGGCTGATCTCACGCTGAGCAGACTCGACAGAGTCAGATCCGTGAATGACGTTGTGTCCCATATCGCAACCCAGATCACCACGGATGGTACCGGGGGCAGCGTCCAGAGGCTTGGTGGCACCCATCATCTTGCGGGCAATGGAGACCACGTTGTTTCCTTCCCAAACCATGGCAACAACGGCAGAAGAGCTCATGAAACCAGTGAGGCTGGGGTAGAAAGGCTTTCCCTTGTGCTCAGCGTAGTGCTGCTCCAGAAGCTCCATGGGAGGCACCATCATCTTCATTCCAACGAGCTTGAAGCCCTTTCTCTCAAAGCGGGAGATGATCTCACCGACGTGTCCACGCTGAACTCCGTCAGGCTTAATGGCAAGGAAAGTACGTTCACGAGGCATTGCAAAGGGTTTTATGGAGTTACAGCATGATAGACGCTTCCGCGGTTATTTGCCGATTCTCTCAACTGGGGGAGGAATGACCTGTAGCGGAATGAATCCAGACAGATACTGTGATTCGCGAGCTCACCTCCACCAAAGAAGAAAGTGCTGATATCGTCAAAAAAGCTTCCTCCATTGGAACGAATTTGGAAATTTTAGCAGTTTTACACTATGTCAAATCCGATTTCATTTTTCAAGTCTGTATATGATCGAGTGAATGTGAATTCGGTGGGAATCGGCATGGAGGATATAACTCTGTAGTCCGCATTGAGTGGAGCCTCTGATGTCATTATTGTGCGACACGAAGACGATACGCTACTCTGCTCTCTTTTTCGTGTGCGCTTTGGGAAAATGAGTGTATTAGTTGATGTATCTTGTGGTGACGTAACAGGTTTGGTCAAGAGCAAAAGGAAATCGGATGGTTAGCATTAAGGTGAACGGGACGCTCATTGAACAGAAGATGCGCGTTGGGAGTGATGGAGAAGCCTATTTCCTGAGCGAAATCCGCATGGATGAGAATGACGAAGTCATGTCTCCCATGGCCGGGTTATCCCCCGTTTCTAGCATGAGTGTATGATGTTGTGCGTGTATCCCATATAGAATTTCAATGATGCGATCGCCGAAGAGAAGGCAGCTTCTCCCAAAAAGCCCGAATCATCTTCTGATTCCTCTAAGAAGTATATTTTGTGGAATCCCATCCCTTCCATCATCAACAAGCAGCTCCGCGATGATATGATGAGTCGGCAACGTCTCATCCGCAACATGATCCTCACTCCGGAATGTACCTCTCTATTCGACTCTTCATCGCAGATGCGGACCATCCCGACGCCTCTCCTTTATCCCCCCGCTCCCTCGACGACTCCTCCGTGCTTTGGTACAAGAAACTGACCAAGTCAATTCTCCGCCAGACAAACTTCGAGTATTCCATCGCTCTCCAGCGCGGCCATTCCCTCGTTCTCCAGTTCTCCGTCTATCAGCACGATGTCGGATTCAGCGCCTATTTCAGCTCCCAAAGCGAAGGAGTCGCGATGTTTCCCCTCCTTGACTCCGCAGAACCAACCCAAAGTGGAAATGATCGAGCTCCAGCCCTACAAATACGTTCTCTCTTCCGCGGGGCACTGCAACTACGTCTTCACCGCGCCCTCCAACGGCTCCATCTCGCTCTGCTGGGACAATTCCTACAGCTACTTCACCAAGCAGCGCTTTCCTCGCTCTCTCATCTAGAAAAACCGTTGACATCTCCATGTTCGTCATCGCCAGCGACGTCCCCGCGGAAATCCAGATCCTCTACCCCACACGCTACGGCGATCTCCAACTCGAAGTCGAAATCGGGGCCTTTTCTGACATAGAACATTCGGGAAGACGGTATGGCGCGCCTGCAGTCGCACGGTGCTTCGCGTCTGACGCTCTACACGCCGATCAACACGCTCTCCAACCCCTCCATCAGCATCATTCCCTGTAGTAGTTTCCCGCGGTGAATGCGAGCTAGACTTCTCCCCGTCGGTGCTGTCGGAAGAGGCCGCGGAGGAGGACGAGGAGGTCGCGAGCGTGGGCGTTTGGGGAGCGGGTGAGGCGCAGGGAAGCCAGTCTCCGACCGCGCAGGCGGAAGCGGAGCACATCTCGGTGGTGGTGATTTCGCTGTGTCGCGACCAGTATCACGAGGGCATGAAGGAGAAGGCGCTGGACGAGATCATCCTGAAGAACCGCGTGAGCTTCTCGGACATCGCGGACAATCCGTCGCTGCTGGAGCATCCCAACGTGATGTTCTTCGCGGACCGCAAGCCGATTTCGCTCGAGGAGGCGGTGTCGTTGATCATGGACATGGCGCGCGAAGCGGACAAGCTGAACATGATCAGTTCGACCACGTCGCAGGTAGGGGAGGCAGCGAGGCGTGAGAGGAAGGAGCGGAAGCCGCTGAAAAGCTTCCGCGTTTCGTCGGAAGTGCTGCGGACCTGGCCGTTGAAAGAGGGCGAGAACGAGCTGCAGTTCATTCCGGACGCGGACGAGCGCTGCGCGGTGCAGTGCAAGGCGTAGATGCGGGAGAGAGGAGTAAAGAGCAGGTTCCTCCTGTCGAAGGACACGAAGATCATCATCAGCGACGTGGACGGAACGATCACGCGCGAGGACGTGATGGGGCATGTGATGTACGCGATCCATCAGGACTACACGCAGAGCGGAATCGTCCGCATGTACAACCGACTGAGCGTAGAAGTGGGGGAGAGGTGCGATGCAGGACAACGGATATTTGATTCTGTATCTCACCGCGCGCGCTGTCGGACAGATGAAAGACACGCGGAATTATCTGGAAGGGATCGTGCAGGAGGGAAAGCATATGCCGCGGGGACCGATTATCTGCTCTCCGAATCGCACATTCGCTAGTTTAATTCGCGAGGTGGTGCGGCGAAAGCCGCAGGAGTTCAAAATTCCGGTGCTGTTGTCGATCGCCGATACGTTTGCGCCTGAGAACCCGTTCGTTGGAGGGTTCGGCAATCGACCGACGGATGCACAGAGCTACATTGTGGGAGAGAGGAGAGGGAGTGGATGATTCGTAGAGAGCTGGCGTGGACAAATCGAAGATTTTCATTATCAATACGAAGGGAGAAATTAGGTATGAAGCGAAGGATGGCGAGCATTGCACGGACTTTATTCGTTTGGAAGAGATGTGTGATCAGTTCTTCCCGAATTTGTTTTCTTTGCAGCGACAGGACGCAGTCGAGGACGAGTCGAAAGATGCTATTTCGTGTGTTTGTTACAAACAGGCCATTTCTTTAAACACTGCTCGATCACAGGATTTACATCTACATGTAACGCAAAACAATAGCTTTGGTACTTTCAATGAACAATTGACGACATTTTTTGAACCCTTCCGGGAGATTAAACAGAGTACAATTGGGAATATCTAATGCGAATCGATTGGCTGGTCGTACCTTCGAAACACGCTCTTGAAATCATCGAAAAACTATTCCCGTCTGACTGAACGGAGCGCAATACAGGAAGATCTGTGTGGAATTCGAATCGAAACGCATACTTCGCATCACCAACGAGCTTGATTTCGTTGCGCCTTTCACTGAGGACATGCCCAGCGTAATCGTTTCGAGACAAGGCAAATCTACTCTTATTCATTCCATCCACGAATCTACTAGAAAAGGTAATGCTCGATGCATTTCGGAATGATCTGCGACCCAAAACGACTTCACTCAGAGCCGGAAGATCTACAATGAAAAAAGAAGCTCCATTTCTACCAGATAATTCCAATGAAACGTTCTGGAAACACATCGATTCGTGTGTGAGCTTGCCGATCTTTAGCGATCTGAGTTTATCACAGCGTTCAATCTGGAACTTTTCGTATCGATAGAAGCAGGCGTGGCCAATGTCGATCGATTCAAGGCTCGGGCAGTCGGAAATGCTGAAGTTTCCGCCTTGCTTAGTATTGGAAATGAAACAGTTCTTTTCGATAGTGAGGACTTTGAGGCTGGGGAGCGAGCAGAGCTGGAATTCTGTCACTAAGCTGCAGGCTCGTTCTGCAATGGTGAGCTCCTTCACATGGAATGAAGTCAGATTGAATGTCTCTTCTTGATAGCTGTAAGGTTGAATCTCAATGATCGACGCACTTGTTGCTGCTTTCAATTGTTTCGCGTTGGAAACTTCCACTTTCGTGGGTTGAAAGAGAGAAGAATCTCCAAATAGATCATTGAAGAAAGGATCATCGTCGATCCCTGAAGAGACTTTGGGTTCATTGGAGGAAATTGTAAGATTGTCTGGAGAGGGAACTACGTCAGAAGTGAGTGTGATGAGATTTTCTTGGTTTTCTTCTTGACTCTTTGATTTTTTTGTTCTTCTTCTGTTCTTCTGTGCTGGTTGTTGTTCAGGCTCTTGGATGGATTCGTTTTCTACTAGGATTTGAGACTGAGTGTCTGATTCTTTATTCGAAAATAGATCAAAGAAAATGCCAGACAGCACGTCTGATGCTTTTTCAGTTTCGTCTGGGGCTGGGGATTCTGGTATTGTTGATGGAGATTCAACAGTCGGGAAACACTCTACAAAGGATGTAGTTTCCTCTTCTAAAGCTTTCTTTTTTGCTTGCTCCTTCTTGGCTTGCTCTTTCTTGGCTTGCTCTTGCTTAGCTTGTTCTTGCTTAGCTTGTTCTTGCTTAGCTTGTTCTTGCTTAGCTTGTTCTTGCTTTGCTAGTTTTTTCCTTTGTTTTTTTGATAATGTATTCACTTCTGGTTTAGATTCAGACTCTTTCTTTGCTTCAGCTTGTGGTTGAGGTTCAGACTTTTCCTCCTTCTTCACTTCTGCCTTAGCTTCAAGCCCTTTCTTCTTCACTTCTGTCTTAGCTTCAGATTCTTTCTCCTCCTCCTTCACTTCTGTCTTAGCTTCACGCTCTTTCTCCTCCTCCTTTACTTCTGCCTTAGCTTTAGGCTCTTCCTCCTCTTTCACTTCTGGTTTCGTCTTTGCCACAGGCTCCTTCTTGGTGTTGCTCGTCGCTGATACATCATACCACCCATTATCCAAATCAACAGATGACACCTTCTTACCAAACTCCCAAACGCCTTCCTGAGTAGCATATCCAGTATCACTTGATATCTCATACCCAACACCATGCCTCAAAAATACTCCAGTTGACTCCACAAAAGAATATCCTCCATAGTACATTGTCTTTTTCAAAATAGGAGTTAGATTGCTCGAACTATTCGAATACTCTATCATTTTACCTCCAATAAACTCTTTAAGACATTTCATCTTCTTTCCGTTTTGCCACAGACACTCACCTATCAAATCTCCTGAATCCTTATTATACTCCATTCCCAAACCATGGCGAAGCAAGCTTTTCGTATAACCACCGCGGTAAACAACGATCCCATTTTTCCGATTGATTATCTCAAGGATCTTTCCTTTTTTCAGATTTACAATATGTGGAACTTCTGCAGCATTGTTTAGACTTTCCCATTTTCCCATATACTTCGCATATCCAAACTCAAAAACTGTGTATGTACCCGTCTTTTTGCCTCCCACTTCAGTCCATTCCATTTGGATCATTCCATTATTGAATAGCCTGTGTCTTCCATCATTATACACAATCTCAAATTCAGATTTGTTGCTACCTCCGAAATAATGTATTTCACATAGCACACCATCCACTTTAGTTTTGAATCTTGTTTCAGGTGAATAACTGTCAATGCGAAATTCTAAAAGATCTTCAACTCGTTTCATACCTACGATTCACTCAATATTTCATTTTCTTACAGTTACTAGATTTTTATAAAGTGTCAAAAGAACATGATCAAACATTTCTTAAAGGACATTCCGAATTATGTGGTCCATTTCTTGTTACTTTAGCTCAGTTGGTATTGACTCATCTCATGTTGTGACATGGCCGTAACCTAGCAATTGGTTCGAGTCAGATTTCGATACCCTTTGTTTTTTGTCGTCATTTACTATTTTCTCCTTCACTTTTTGAAATGAAGATCACTGTTCCCGAGGGACCGAAGTCAAACCTTATTCATGCTATTTGCCGTTTCATCAATTTCAATGATGAGGGTGTTATTGAGACTGGAGCTGTATGAACCATTCATCTTGGCTCACCTGAAAGGAGTATTCTTTCGACGACGGAAAGACTACTGTTACGGGGTTAAAGGCTGTGATTGAGGCAATCGTCTCCAAGGATAAGAAGACCGCTGTTCTGCTTGGAGGAGGTGCTGCAGATAAGAAGCTTGTATGTTTTTTGCGCTTCCTGTGACCTAGGTCTCTGACGCTCTTGACATCGTCGAGGAAGTCATGAACGGCACCTTGGCCGACCGTGTCTTCCTGATCCGATTGAGCCACATTCTGCAGAACCAGACGTTTGTCGCTCTCCCCACTGCTTTGTCTGTTGCGGATTATGCCTGCTTCTACCTCGCGTCTCTCACCTTCGTTCGCCTTTTCCGTCTCATTTCATCCCTAGAGTACCTTCAAGGGTTACAACGGATTCGTGAACGTGGTTCGCTGGTATTCGTACATGCAGTTCACCGCGGCTGCTGCCTGCGCCGATCTCTCCGTGCCTCACATCGACTTCGACTACGACGCGATTAACATCCATATGCCCATTCCCCGCCTCGCGGAGGTGAAGAAACCCGCCAAAAAGGCCGCCAAGGAAGAAGCTCCCAAGGAAAAGGCCTCTGCCCCCGCGGCAGCCCCCGAAGGAGATGCGGACGCGATCAGCAAGCTGGACATCCGTGTGGGTCGCATTATCCGTGCGTGGAACCACCCCGAATCCGAGAAGTATCCTTGTTAAACCTTGTTAACATACCCAGGTTGTACTGCGAAGAGGTCGACGTGGGCGAAGCAGAACCCCGCCAAATTGGTTCTGGAATCCGTGCCTTCCACACCTTCGAAGAGATGCAGGGCCACCGCGTGTGCGTTCTGTGCAATCTGAAGCCGCGTAAGCTGGGCGGCTTCCCGTCGAACGGCATGCTGCTGTGCGCTTCGACCGGGGACCACGAGCACGGAGCGCTGATCGACCCTCCGGAAGGAGCGAAGATCGGCGAGCGCGTGACCTTTGCGGGGTTCGAGGGCGAGCCGGCGACGCCTGCGCAGGTGCAGAAGAAGAAGTATTTGGAGGCGGTGCTGCCGGTAGGGGAGAAAGAGAGAGAGAGGTGAGGCGTAGTTCCTGAAGACGAACGCGGAGGGAGTGTGCTGCTTCAAGGACGTGCCGTTCATGACGTCGGCGGGTGTGGTGACGTGCACGAAGTTCCCGAATGAAGGAATCTCATAGAGAGGATTTGTGAATGAATGAGTGAATGAGTGAATGAATGGAAAGGGGATTGATTGATTGATTGATTGAGCAATTGGTGAAACATGGCTAGCTTGTTTGTTAAGAAAAAACAGATCATCGGTGACTAAAGTGAGCGAGGTGGATCTTGTTCATGTTCATGCCCGTTCGCAATCGCTCGTAGATCGCGTATTTATTCAGCCGCTCCGTCTGCTTCTCCTTCACCACGATCTCCTTCGGCTTCTTGTCGGGACGCGCCAGCACCATACTATCGTACTCGGCCTTTCTCTCTTCCAGCATGGGAAGCAAATCTACATCGCACCGTTCCCCCACTTCTACTCATCTTTTCCAGCAGAGCGATCGACTTGTTCTGCTTATAATATCGCCGGAACTCGCGCGATCCCAGAATGGTTCCGTCCTCCAGCATCAACTCGCCCGTGTGCAGCAGCGTGATGTCTGCTGAGGGCTTTTCGTTCTCCTCCGAATAGTCGTAGAACTCTTCAAACTCTTCGTAATCTTCAGTCTAGAAAGCCAATAGAGCGTGGATCGTACGGTGTTGTACGCGATGGAAGTGTGGCCTTTGTCCAACATATGTGCCCGAACCGCGATGGGGCTTTTGAAGCCATGGTTGCAGGTCAGGCAGATGCAACCCACAGAGATCTACGGTTGAGAGAGAGAGAGGGAGAGTGCTACCTTCTGGCCCAAATAGTCTAAGAGACCTTCCAGGTCGATTACACAGTGACGATCGGGAATGATCATGCCATGCTTCTGGAACATGTGGGTGATGTTACTATGGGTCACGGAATGAAAATACAAGTACTCCTCCATCGTGTCGCTGATCTGACGGCAAAACAAACACTTTTCAGGAATGAACTCATACTCTTCTGGAGTAAACTCACCACTTCCCATAGCGTTCTCTTCTTTATCACTGCCATCTTCTTCTCTAAGCTCGGCAGGCTGGCTGGCCTTTTCAAGTTCCTCTTGTTTTGCTTTTTCCTGTTTCTCTTGCGCTTCTGCCATTTTCTTTTCGTGAAGCTTACTTTTTAAATGTTGATCCAAGGTCTTTTGAGACGAGAAAGACTTGCGGCAAACATTGCAGTATAATTTTTCAACAACTTTCTCCTTATTTCGCAGTGAATTCACTAATCGTTAGAAACTACAAAAACAAGTCACGATGCTTCTGTCTTTCTTCAAACAAGGCCAATGAGATAGGCTCCAGTTGAGACACTTTTCGCTTCACATTGTAGCAGTGCCAGTCGGACCTAAAGTGAGTACACGCATGAAGGAACTCAAAACGTGCCCAAAAGGATGAAAGGATATTTCTCTCGCTCTTCGTTATTCTCGAAAGTCGCCTTACAAGTTAAACAATTGTAGGTGGACATCCAGAAAAATAATGGACAAAAAAGTCAAAATTTATGGTAGACGTTTGTAACAAACAAAGTACTCGGTATCATATTCAATGGTTGTGGTATATCTGCGTGTTACCCTGCACTGTAAGCGTACCTTGCTTCTTGACCCTCTATTTCGGACACTCCGATCGTCATTTCAAAAATCCCTCGCTCCTACAATGTCTGCACCATCTACATACATACCTTTAATACTGGTTTGCCAATTTGCTCAATAAGCTGCCCCACCTACTCTTCACACTTCCCAACAGAGACGTACAAGATAGCGCGCTAGCTCTTCAGCAGACGAATGAACGAGAGGTAAGCAGCAGCAGTCCTTCTTGGGAAAACTAAACAATCACAATAGTTTCCGAAACGAACGAGAAAAAGCTTCCATCTTCCGTTGTGAACTCCATATTCGATCCATTTTCCGAAATCTACATTCATCGAGTAGAAACCAATTCTACAGCAAGAACATCACTTAACATGGGAAGCAGGAATTTCTGATTTAACTTCTTGCACTCTACGCGCACGTACTAGGTCACAATATACACACATTGCTACGTTTTTCACATCACCAAAGTCCATAACATATCCATCCGGATTGAGTCTTCCTTTCATCGCAATCTACTCCTCACAGAAAAGCCATGGGCCAACCGTCACATGATAGTTGTGTCCATGCAAAGGCTCTCGAAATCCCTTTCCTTGCAAATATTCTCAATATCTACCTTATACGCAATGAAATGCCCTGAGCTGAATTTAAAGTCCTGTTTATTCAGAAAGAGGTGAAACAGCTTTCTAGGTCATATCAACCACTGAAATTCGCAAATACATCTTCCCCTTATCTTCAATCGTCGTCTCCATGAAATTGAAAGAAATAACTACAGATCTTCTTCTTTAGTATATTTTTGTTTCGACGATGGCTAATTTTGCGGAGTGGCTGAGTACACTAAGTCCTATCAGCATTGTTCTTCTTGGTGCCCTTGTTGGCTTCATTATGTTTGCCGCTGAATACGGAGTGGGCCTGCTCGTGAAGAAGTACTTCCCCGAAGAAGAAGAGAATCCCGCTCTCGGTGCCCCGAAACCTGCCGATATTCCCTCGTACCTTGCTTCTTGTTGAAAACGCTTATTTGTAGCAGCAGCGATAAACCTAAAGCGGAGTAACACCATAATATGAAGGATTGTAGTTCGGTATTTGAATGATAATGATTTGTTTGTTTTAAGAGCCTTGAACAGAAGCAGATTGAATACCCCAAATCATACAGTAAATTAGTGATGAACACATCGAACTACGATATTAGACAGGGAAACGAGCTTCGAATTCAATGCGACAAAGGAGAACCTGTCACAATTGAGGTATTCGCCGTTTTCGTCGATTTAACTCTCTAGGCGATCCAAGGGTCTGTGGAAGTAAATGGATGTAAATTGCTACATAAACAAGTGTTCGCTAATCTCTCTGTAGGGAATTGGTTGCTTTTCGTAATTCTTAGTTTGGTATATATGCTTGGGACGATTCGAAGGTTTCAATTCAAGGGTCAATCAAAAAGTCCTATTTAGCAACTTCAAGCCTTGTTCCTTACTGCGTAGATGTTCACCAAAAGGTAAAGGCGCTTTTCCTGTATTCATTCTAGTTACAAGCCGAACGAGAAAAGGTTTCTCCCTATACTGCGCGCAAAGCTCCTCGCGTCCGAATGTTCACTCTCTTTCATCGCTAGGTGCTTATTTTAGGCCCCCAATTAGTTGACATTTTCTCGATTGCGCGCACGCTTGTGGAATACGCTGTACTCCTCCTACGTTCCCCACATGTAGGTTCGATGCGGCGAATCGCTGCTCTACCTGGATTTCGATGTCCGCAAAGGCAACATCACCGTTCCGGGCTGCATGTCCGCCACGGTATGCACGCGCGAAGCGCACTTGGCGACCGTACCTAATCATCATGTCTCTCCTAACCTCCAGAACGCGCAGAACTACGTTCTGTCCCCAACCGTGGAGTTCTTCGGATTCCAGAAGTGCATGGACAACTACCAGCTGTAGGGCAGGGCAGGGAGGCGTGAGGCCAAGGTTCCGGAGCTGCATGAACGCGCTGCTGGATCGCGTGGAGGAGCGAATGCGCGTCGACGAAGCGGTCCAACACGGCGGAATCATCGTGAACGGAGGGTCCTGGTACTCGGAGGACGGCTCTCTCCCGCTTCTCAAAGAGCTGATGGATCGACTGCAGTTCGATCTGGTGTTGATTCTGCAGGACTCGCCGATCAAAGTGGGGTCGGGCGTGTCCGATCACGTGTAGGCGGAGATCGAAGAGCGATTCCCGTCGCTGAGCGTGAAGATGTTCCCTCCGGTGGACCATCTGTGGAGCAAGCCGGAGCAGGACATGCTGGAGTGCAACATGGCGATCGATTGGTACTTCTACGGCGTCGCGGAGGAGAACTTCTATCTGGCCAATCCCAACCAGTTAACGCGGCCCATGGACGAGCTGACCATCGTGTCCTTCGCGGACCAGCGCGAGATGGAGGAGACCAATAAAGTGGGGTCGTGGATGGACGCTTGATCGCGTAGATCGCTCCGGAGGCGCGAAGCACGGAGGCCTGGCTGAAGCCGATGCCAGTGCCCATTGAGAAGCTGCCCAATCAGATTTTGGCGGTAACGGATGCGAAGAGGTAGGGAGAAAGGGAGGGGAGTGATGGAAAGTGTGGATGAAGTGCGGAAGGCGTCCGTTCTGGGATTCGTGTTTGTGGCCGGAGTGGATTTGTCTAGAAAGATGCTGAAGTTGGTTACACCGGCGGGAGGAGACTTGCCGGGAACGATTTTGGTGAAAGGAAGGATTGAGTGGTCGAATTCTTAACTTGTATTCTGTTGTTGATTCTTGCTGTTTGTTTTCAAAAGGGATGCCTTGCGTGGGTGTGAGAGGCAGACACGTACAAAATTGAAAATGATAAGTTAACATAATGTGGATTCTTCAAATTCGATCATGATCATTTTCCTATTTTTTCCTTCAACCTTGCCAATGAACGCTGTTTTTGGAAAGCTGGTTCTTGATCGCATCATTGCAAAGCTTGTGGAGGGGAGGGCGCGAGATAAACAGTGGAGAGTACGATTTGGCTTGTTCGCCTTACAATATAGCCCCACATTAAAGAAGAAACTATTCGCTTGCTGATTATTAAAACGAAAGAAATTTTACTGTCGGAACCTTCATTATTACGAATTGAAGCTCCCGTTGTAATTGTTGGCGACGTGCATGGCCAATTCCTTGATTTGCTAGAGTACAAATCTGCTTTCTCGCATTTACCCCTAGAATTCTCCATGTTGGTGGCGACCCATCCAAAAGTCGCTATCTCTTCTTAGGAGATTATGTAGATAGATCCGATCGCGGAATTCAAATTTTGTGCTTGCTTATGGCTTACAAATTAAAATATCCTCGTAATGTGTATCTATTGCGTGGAAATCACGAGTCATCGGAGATGAACGAGGATGGAGGCTTTAAAGACGAGTGTATTAAGTTCTACTCGGAGAGTCTCTACCGTGATTTCCAAATGCTGTTTAACTGTCTCCCTCCTGCCGCCATTGTATCAAATAAAATATTGTACGATCCTTTCTCTTCCTTCTCACGCCCAGTTGCGTCCACGGCGGCCTCTCTCCGGACATGACCTCGATGCAGGCCATTCGCGACATTAAACGTCCCTGTACGATCCCAGCAGATGGCCTGCTCTGTGATATGCTCTGGTCGGACCCCTGCGCGGACATCCAAGGCTACGTTCCATCCCCGCGGGACTGCTCGTATCTATTCGGCGCGGACATCGTGGAGGAGTTCATGAAGCGATTCGACTTCGATCTGATCGTTCGAGGCCACGAGTGTTGCGATGGGTACTGCTTCGCGTTCAATCGAAGACTGGTGACGGTATTCTCCGCTCCGAATTATTGCGGGTGTGAGAAGAACGCTGCGGGCGTGATGTTCGTGGACGAGAAATTGTCGGTGCGGTTTGTGTTGATTCGCGAGACGAAGCCGCTGCGACGCGGATCCATCGTGAATCCGGATACATTAGCCATTATCAATTGATTTAGCGTTTTTCCTTGCGTTCTGTTTTGTTTTCTGCAACAAACACGCTACTGCTTCTCCTCCTCCTGCAGCACGCTCGCGCGCACCGCGCTCACCACTTCCTCCACCTTCTCTCCGTTCTTCTCTTCCTTCACTCCCTTCATTCCGGTGGTTCCATTCATTCCGGTGGTTCCATTCACTGCATTCATAGCATTCATAGCATTCATAGCATTCATTCCGGTGGGTCCATTCACTGCATTCACTGCATTCACTCCCTTCGCCTTCTTGCCCGTGGAGGGAGGCGGGGGCACCGTGCCCTTGTCGCCTCTCCCCGAGGGCAGCCAGCTTCGCAGCTGCTTGCGCGCCGCGGGGTCGATCGCCAGGGTCTGGCAGCACGCGAGGATCGAGTTCACCGTCCAGTAGAAGCACAGCCCCTACCTTACACACACCACCCAATCCCTACCGCGGGGAGCTTCGCGGCGATGAACACCATGAAGAGCGACATGCCGCGCATCATGTATTTCATCCCCACTTGCCCGTTCCCGTTCATTCCGTCCGCGCCCAGCTCCGTCATAAACAGCGTCGACAGGCCCGTGACCACGGGCAGCACGAAGTACGGGTCCGCGGCGGCGAGGTTCGTGAACCAGCTGAGGCCTCCCGTCGCTGAATTGAAGGCAAACCGAAGCGCCTACTCACTGCGGGGACCGTTTCGCAGAGCTTGCGAACCCCCATGAAACACGAGATTACCACCGGAATTTGAATAAAGGCTCCGAAAAGAGGAGAGAAGGGAGAGACGCCGGCGTTCTTGTACAAGGACTGGACATGAGCGATTCACAACACGAAGACAAGCATTTCGTCGCGCATTCCCTGAGCGTCCGCGGCCATTCCCATCGATTGCGATAAACGCGCGCGCTCGAGCAGCTTGTTCAGCTCGGGTTGGATTTCCGCGAGTTTTGCACGCTGGCGCGTCGATTTGATGGTGAGAGGGAGGAGAACCAGACGCAGCCCCAGAGTAACGCCGGCGATGGCTCCCCACCACGGAATACCCATCGAATTTACCCACGTGAGCAGCGACACAACCCAGGTCGTAGGAGTTCCTTAGATGACAGAAATACAATACTCATACCAATCGTCACTCCAAACAATCCATACTTCAGTGCCGCATCATTTAAACCAGTCATATACAACGCACGGTTATCCCAAAATTCTTTAATACGCTCCCGAATAGGAGAAGTGTGGAACTCTCTCATCTGACAAAAAGTACTACTCTGATTTGTCAGCACCGAGCCATAGCTTGCTGACGAAGCTCTTACCAAAAGTCTAGGAGCTGATCTACCAACTCATTTCGCAAGACAAACAATACCTAATAAACACTGATTGACGTCCGATCAGATGTCTCGAAAACTGGAGAGCCATATTGAGAGTAGTAGAGAATAGTGAGTTCCTTAAATCGGTACTATTTTTGCATGAAACTCCCTTCAAGCGAACATCAAATATCGCAATGTTTACAGTTAGAAATGCAATGGTTATGGCGAGGAGCATCTGCTGCTCACGACCAGTCTTTGCAGTTGGTTCTAGACTGTTTTCTGAAACCTCTTCATCGCCAGATCCTTCTACGCAGCAACCTCAGGAGCAAGGAGATCCAGAAGTAATCGATTTTATCAAGAAGGTGTGATTTGGAAGAGAAACTTGTAATGTTCTAGATCGTGAAAGAAAACAAGGTAATGCTATTCATGAAGGGAACTCCGTCCAATCCAGTGTGCGGATTCAGTTTACGTGTTGTACAAATTCTAAAACACTTGGGTAGCGGCTTGAATTGAAACTTATATGCAGGTTGCGACTTTGCTAGTGCTAACATTCTTACCAGCAAATCCGTAGTCAAAAACCTGAAGTATGTGAGGTAATGCTTTTGGAATTTTCCTTTATTGTAGTGACTGGAAAACCTACCCGCAGCTATTCATTAACGGAGAGTTTGTTGGTGGCTGCGATGTAGTGACGGAGCTTTTTGAGTCTGGAGAGTTGAAGAAAATGCTGGAAAAGGCGGGCGCTTTCTCGGAGCCTGAAGAGGCAGAAAAGCCTGCTTCGACTGTTTCAAAGTGATGTTTCTTTAGAGTTTTGTTTGTTGAGATAGAGTGTTAGAGAATTACCACCTTATGCAATGTTCACAGCAATTACACCAAAACCTTCAGAAAGATGTAATGTCTGTGAGACATGGCGAGCAGTATTTGGAGTAATGCTTCTCGTGAGCTGTTGAACATTAGAAGAATATTTAAATATGAAAAGGAGCTGGGGAAAACAGATGATCGAGAACTTTTGAAAACGATTCGTCGAAGGTAACACACAGAGTTTCTTATCAAATGTAGACTGGTAGCACTTGGGTTTGCGCTTGTTCAGTGTGATCCCTTGGTTTACAGGGAAAAAGACATCGATACCCTCATTTGGAATCAATGCTATTATAAAGAAATATCAAAACAAAGGAAAATGAGACACATGAATACTGAGGAGTATTTAAGTTTTCTGAAGGAGGGAATAAACAACTATGAATACATGGTGATGAAATTAAAGAAATCCGTCTCATCGGAGCATGTTCTGTGTTCCTATTCGTTTCTTATTCACATGGGAGATCTGTTTCGGTATATTTACTTGGAGGAGCCAAAAAACAGCGAGTCCTTTGCTTCTTCCCAGGAGTGTTATTTGAAGGCCATTCGGTGTGATCCAACCCAAGGAAATGCGTATCACCAACTGGCCGTTTTGGCCTCCTATAAGAGATCCTATTGTCAAGCACTCTACTACTGCATTCGTGCGATTACCTGTCCTTCTCCGTTCTCCACGGCATTCAGCAACATTCCATACCATTTTGCCGAAAATGAGAAAAATCTAGCAAAAGCACAATCCATGTATCCAGTTTTGAATAAACATCATTGTAACGAAGTATTATTTTCCCGCCATTTTTACCAACGTTTTAGAAATTGCTTCTCCAGTTCGTCGATTGTTGTAGCCACCTCTACCACTCTTCTCCACACCCATCCTTTGCTGCTTCGCTCAGCCAGTTCGCCTCCACCCTGAATTGGTGTTTGGAGCAGGACAAGCCTTCTTCCACAGTGATGATCCGCATGCTGGCCATTGCTATCTTCAGTGCGGAGGATCTTTGGAGTTGCTTCCACCAAGAAGGTATTTTTGATGAGGATGAGCGGTCTACCCTGAAGAAGCGAATTGCTATTTCCTCACATTGCCGATTCTGGACGGATGGTCACTGCTTCTCACTCTCATGACGAATGTGATTCGCTATACAGCCATTCCTGCGCGACCCTCGAAGCAGTGTTGTTCTTCTGTGGATGGCTGAAGACTAGGCAAACTGGTATTGACCCACATTGCCTCGGTTTCTCTCTTCCTGCAGTGGCTCTCTTTGAAAAAAGAGCAGCATTACCGACCTCCTGTATTCCACGCGATTTGTCTTTTCAAAATAGTTCTTTGAGTCATCGAACAATCCTGTGATGGCCTTCTTGCCCATCGCTGAGTTCTTGGAGCTGGAAGCTGCGTTCTGGAAGCAGCTCGGCTTGCTGCGAAGTCGTCTTCCGCCTGTCAACGTGGAGGATCCGTCGAGCCAGCCTCTTCTCGAGTATGAAGCGGATTTCGTTACATTTTCGCCACTCTCAGATTGCTTTCGGAACGCACACACAAACCCCGATCTTCCAAACTCGCACGATGCGTCCCATGTGTCCATCCAACCCCACGATCAAACGCTGATTCTCTACAAAATCCATCGATGCATCCAAGACCTGAAATCTCATCTGCAGTCTTCCAAGCGCGACGTTTCGTCCACTCCTCTCTCCCCCAAGCGCATTCACTTCTAATCTGTTTGAATCAAACACAAAAATCGGAATCTTCATAGTAGTTTTTCACACTGTGCTTGCGAGGCAGGAAGAAAGGCATCTTCGCTCCTTCAGGCTCTCCCTCGCTCAGACTCGCGGAGAGCTCAGCGATCTCCTGGTTCTTCTTCTTCAATTCTTCCTCCTTAATACGATCTCCCACTCCCTTTCCCATCAGACACACACTGCGCGGTCATACTAACAAAAGCAATCACCTACGCGCAAGGAGCGTTCGACAGAACGTAAGAACTGCAGCTACCGTTAAGAAGACGATCCACATTCGAGATTCCACGTCTTCCCATCACAATCGTATCGATCTTCTTCTCAATCGCGCAGTTGCACACCACGTTCTGTTAAGAAAGCCTTAGAATTTGAAAAAAAGATATCTTAGCGGGATCACCACGTACACAGCTAGTTTCGTAGAAACGGAATCCCATATCCGAGATTCTCTTTGCAATTTCCTCCAGCTTTTCACTACTCTCTCTTTTCATGACTTCGTTTCTGACAATATCATGTGTATAAGCTACAAATGACGTGACTCATCCAAAGTTACTAGGCGCTTTCAAATTCAAAACGTTCAAGACAATCAAATAGTCTTCGGGTTTCATAACAGACAATACCCAATCAAGAGCAGCTTTTGCTTGCACAGAGAAGTCCATAGGGACCAACCAACGCAAACCCTAACAAAAAGACCCTGGTTAATTCAGTACGGTAGGTTTCGCTTCAACTTCACCTTCAAAGGTATCAGCAGCAGACATTATTCGTTAATATTTTGAAAGAATTCAATAATTCTCAGATAGTAGAAACAGAGAATCGAACTACTATACAAACGAACACACTTGGTTATCAAGAATTCTATCAAATCTCTGCAATGACTTTCCAAAATGAATAGAATAAATATCGCCGACGAGTTGTTTTGTCGCAAACCCTCGCACCGTTGCATTGTAATAACGAGAAAGAGCGTATATGTGTCACATTCTCTAGAAGTTTCGATTTCTGCGTAGCTGCACACGGTTCGGAATTGGAGGAATCAGTTTGCAGATTGAAGAATAGGTGGCACGAAAATCACAAATGATCGTACAAAACAAAGGGTTCGTAGAACAACTGCAGTAAAACAAACAATTGCTAGCTCCTTGCAATACACTTACTCCAAAACAATTAGTTTAGCATGCATAATACACTACTGCTTCGTTCGTGACAAACAGTTTTTGATCCATGAGCTTTTTATCTCCAATTTCCGGAATCATAATGCATCTAGATGGTATTTGCTATCCATATTTGATATTTCGCAGAACGAATCATGGTTGTTCTTCTTGATGGTTCTCACATATTTGGGACTCTTCGGTCTATCGATCAATACGGTATGTAATTTGATTGCGATTGCTGGTTTCTGACAGCGTATAGAAAACATTATCTTAGAAGACAGTTTTGAGCGCGTCTTTTGTGACAACATATATGCGGATATTGAATTGGGAACACAGATGATTCAGGGCCATAGTGTAATGCTCGTTGGCGCATTAGTTCGACTTTTGAAAGGATTTGATGGATAGAGCGATGCTGCTGATAATAGCTCTATTGAAGGGCTAAAAAAGGTATCAGTAGAAGAGTATTACGAGTACTTGTCTCTAAGTGAAGAAAAGAAGTGTAAGTATGGCCTCCCTCTATCATATTGTAGTGGAGTACACTGGTGGAAAGGTAAATATAGCATCAAAAAGCGACTATGTGATTTCTCTTGCCTAAAAAAACCTTCGCTCATGTTTATTCCAACAAACAATATACGCGCGATAACCTACCAACCAACCTTGCCAACTCTACAACAAATTAGTTTATGTTGCAAAATGAGTAATCACTGCCTAACAGTCAAGCAGCAGTCCTCACACCGCTTGTTTTGCCACCCTTGTTTCCCAGAAAACAGATGGACGTCGGTAACTGGGCTTATTCCATATCATGGCATAAACACAAAATACAAATCAGTAAAGATATGTTGTAACCATTGCTGCTACGCTCTTCCCCGAAAGATGTACCATCATGTTGTATTTCAAGATAGGGTCAGATTGCAGTTAAAAGACCATGGTTGAGTCTCAAATAACAGTGTTCTTCCTTCCCCCACAAAACCAAATCAAACTACGCAACATACCTTCTATTAACTTGCGAATTCAAAGAAAATCTATGGTTCTTATTTGGACCCAATTTATGATTGTCCCTTTTAATTATGTGACATATGTCCCCTATTCTAAAGATACTGCAAAATATCAATCTGTACATCATGGCTGAAAGACTTTCTATTACTGCGAACGGAGCTAAGCTCAACGAGGCTATCCAGGCCCAGCTGGACGACATTAAGAAGGCTGGAACCTTCAAGGAGGAGCGTGTGATCACCAGCGAGCAGGCCGCTGAGATCAATGTCTCTGGACGTGACGACAAGGTGTTGAACTTCTGCGCTAACAATTACCTTGGTCTGGCTAACAGCAAGGAGCTGATTGAGGCCGCGAAGGAGGCTCTGGATACCCATGGATTTGGTCTTGCTTCCGTGCGTTTCATTTGCGGAACCACCGATATCCATAAGCAGTTGGAGGCCCTGATTGCGAAGTTCCACGGAATGGAGGACTGTATCCTGTACTCGAGCTGCTTCGATGCTAACGGCGGTTTCTTCGAGGCTCTGTTCAATGCTGAGGATGCTGTGATTTCCGATCAGCTGAACCACGCTTCGATCATCGACGGTATTCGTCTGTGCAAGGCGAAGCGCTACCGCTACAACCACTGCGACCTGGTCGACCTGGAGCGCATTTTGCAGGAGACTCAGGATTGCCGTTACCGCTGCATTGTGACGGACGGTGTGTTCTCCATGGACGGAGATGTGGCTCCTCTGAAGGAGATCTGCGACCTTGCCGACAAGTACAACGCTCTGGTCTGGATCGATGAGTCCCACTCTGCTGGATTCTTCGGCAAGACGGGTCGTGGTACTCCCGAGTACTGCGGCGTGCAGGGCCGTATTGATTTCATCAACTCCACGATGGGCAAGGCCATGGGAGGCGCTTCTGGAGGTTACACTTGCGCTTCGAAGGAGGTGGTGACTCTGCTTCGTCAGAAGTCTCGTCCTTACCTGTTCTCGAACACTCTGGCTCCTTCTCTGGTGGGAGCTGCCATCAAGACCTACTCGATGCTGATGGAGTCGGCCACTCTGCCCGAGCGTGTGCTGGCCAACACCCATCTGTTCCGTGACCGCATGACTGCTGCCGGATTCACTCTGACCGGTGCTTACGACCATCCCATCTGCCCTGTGATGCTGGGAGATGCGGCTCTGGCCTGCAAGTTCGCCGATAAGATGCTGGAGAAGGGCATCTATGTGATTGGATTCAGCTATCCTGTGGTGCCTCTGGGCAAGGCTCGTATTCGAACTCAGATGAGCGGAGCTCACACTCTGGAGCAGGTGAACCGCTGCGTGGATGCGTTCATTGAGGTTGGAAAGGAGCTGGGCGTGATTGCTTAAGAAGAAGAAGAAGAAGAAGTCTAAGTTTTCTATTTGCTTGCTATATCTTTGTTTGTTTTGAAGAAAAAGAATTGTTTCTTTGACGAAGTGTGGTAGTTAGGCAGAAAGGATGAATCTGTTGAATGAAACAGGAATAGGAGGTATATCAAATAATGTTATTGTAATGGAACAGCCATCCATTAAAAGAAAGTATCCTGAGGAGTTGATTGTCATCATAAGTAAGTATATCCATATCAACAATTGGTACAATACTAATAAAGGAGACACCAAAAGCAACAACAGTACAACAATAGAATCCAAAACTGTTCCAATCTACAACTGCAAGGTCTGTCCAACAAACAACGACGGCGTTCATATCTTCATCACAGAGCTTACTTCGCCTTGTCCAGAATGATTCCATCGTACGTCTTCTTGAACCACTCCATGGCCTCCTCGCGAGTCACCTTGTGAGAATAGCCAATACGGCTGCGCTGAGCCTTACGCTTGCTCACACGGCCACCAGGACGAGCCAGCTGCACGTAGAAATCCATACCGAAAATACCGGTGTTAGGATCGTACTTGATACCCAGATCGATGTGCTCCTGAATACCAAAGCCAAAATTGCCAGAGTCGGAGAAATTTCTCTTCACCAGCTCGTACTCCTTCACCTTCAGTCCGCGCTCCAGAATCTCCAGAGCCTTCTCACCACGGATCGTAGCATGCACAGAGATCTTCTCATTACGACGAATGGAGAAGGAACGAATGGTAAAGCGAGCTATAAAATTAGCAACTCAGAAAACACCCCTACCCTTTCCATAAATAGGCTCCTGTCCCGAAATCTGCTGCAAAACACGAGCAGCCTTAGAAACAGCATCTCCAGATTCTCCGACGCAAATGTTAATAACGAGCTTCTCCACTCGGATATTTCTCATAACATTCGACTTTTCGCTCTAGAATAATTAGAACCGATTTTTCAGCAACGTACCATCCTGATGAAAATACAATTACGCCTCGAATTGAATTCCTTAACAAGAAAAGACAGATGTCACTACGGAATCTCATTCGTATGCTCAATTCGACCAAGGTGCATGAAAACAAACAATAAAGCATACAGACGACTCTGTCTCATTAATAAAAATCCCAACGGGTCCATTCCACAACTTCCTAAACTGGTGTTGCCTAAAAGCCCTCGTAAGGACAGGAACAAGGCAACACGGAACAAGATAGAGTAGTGCAGGCTACAAATCATTTTTGAGGAAAAAGAAACGACCTGCGGCTTGCTAAACAGGATGACTGCAAGGAAACTGCAAAACAGCCCCAAAGCGTTTCCCATAATAACGTCAGTGACATAATTTCTTTCCAGCAGCAGCTGAATAAACTGCGAGAAAGCTACATCACGAGGCTCCATGAACGACTACTAGGTGGCATATACAAATTCAATCCCTGGTCGATCAGCTTTTTCGACTCCTCGTCTCCTGTCCGATCACTCATTTCGGCCAAACTCCCTGATTCCACGTCATTTAATACAAAAGTGTTTTCTTTTCTACATTCCAAAACCTCTCCAAAACTACAAGAACCGCTGCGAATACTGGTAGATGAAGAAAAAGACGAAGAGCAGTCCTGGGATGAAGATATCACCCAATCCCAAATAGAACACATTCTGGCCTCCTAGCGTGGAAAGCACAAGTTTTCCCTGCTGATGACTAGTAAAAAGTACAAGATACAGGGAAATCAAGGTGATAGGAAGAGCTGACATTGCGACCCAGAGAAGCAGAAACTACACAGATGGAGAGAGAACGTGAAGGATACTAGTTTTGACAGGCTCCGTGAAGTTCTGCTGCGCTACGGTGACCATGACGTTTTTTCCGAATAAAGACTCGGAAAAGAACACCCAAAAGATGTCGTAAAAGAAGAGTAAACAGAACGCCACTACAATCACTTTTAAACTCTGGGCACGCATTAACGACAGGGCGCTGATTGTGATGCAGATACCGATAATATTATTGAACAAGGATCCACCTCGAATGATCCAACACACTACAATTAGAAATCTAAAAAAAATAGATTTTCCGAGTAAGTAACTACGAGACAAAGATCGAAATAAAAGTAATAAAGCGCTTTTGACTAACGTAGGGAGAGAGAAGAGAAACAATGACGGGCTCAACGACTTGTGCTAGCACTCAATAAACAATTGGAGTTATTACCAATACAAAATACAGCAGATATAGAAATGTAGAGAATTAAAAAGCTTTGAACATATGAATAGAGATAGTACATCGATAGCAGTACGACCGATGCAATAACAGGATAGAAGAGAGCTGCACTACATTGACAACAAACTTTTCACACTACCTGAGCGTAATTTCTGCAGTTTCTGGTGTAACTGTGTGGTCGCGAACCATGTCATTGTGCTTTTCAACATCTGACTTTACTGCCAAGCAAGAGGCTGTAAAAGCAATAAGCGTACTGACCAGAGTAATCTCTACAAGAATAGAGAGTATTACTAGCATCCTAGAGAATTTGTGACATGTTTGTCAAACTTAAAATTCGGGTTGATTATGCTATATTGAATGGATTTCTTTGGGTCACAGTGGAATTCACTCCAAAATCTACAAGGTGTTTAAGTGTGGTTCGCACTATAGGATACTACCACAATTTCACAAAGATCACAAGGTTTTAACTACATCAAATCATGTGGGAGTTTCATCCATCGAATAGGTGCTTTACAAATATTCTATTTTCTGATATCAGAATATGAGAGAAATTATCCATCTTCAAGTGGGTCAGTGTGGTAACCAGGTGAGAGGGCGTTTGTGTGTTTTTGATAAGATAGATCGGTACCAAGTTCTGGGAGGTTATCAACAAGGAACATCATATCGACAGCATGGGTCAGACGAAAGTCGAGCCAAACGAGGACTTGAACGTGTTTTACAGCCAAGCTTTGAATGGTCGCTTTGTTCCTCGTGCTCTGCTTATCGATTTGTATTTGTCTCTCCCTCCCTCTTAATTTTAGGGAACCCGGAACGATGGATGCTATTCGCTCCACTGAAGTGGGTCAGCTGTTCAAGCCTGACAATTTCGTCTTTGCCCAGAACGGCGCTGGCAACAACTGGGCGAAGGGTCACTACACGGAGGGAGCCGAGCTGGTGGACCAAGTGATGGATGTTCTCCGTCGCGAAGCGGAGGCGTGCGAATGCCTGCAGGGCTTCCAGCTGACGCACTCTCTGGGAGGAGGCACGGGTTCGGGTATGGGCACGCTGCTGCTGTCGAAGATCAAGGAGGAGTTCCCTGACCGCATGGTGATGTCGTACTCGGTGTTCCCGTCTGCGAACGTGTCGGACACGGTGACGGAGCCGTACAACACGACGCTGTCTGTGAACCAGCTGCTGGAGAACGTGGACGAGGTGGTGGTTCTGGACAACGAGGCGCTGTACCAGATCTGCTCGCAGTCGCTGAACATCAAGACGCCGTCGTTCGCGGACATGAACGAGCTGGTCTCGCGCGCGATGTCGGGGATCACGGCGTGTCTGCGGTACCCCGGTCAGCTGAACAGCGATCTGCGGAAGCTGGCGGTGAACCTGATTCCGTTCCCGCGTCTGCACTTCTTCCTGACGGGCTACGCGCCGCTGACGAACAGCGCGAACAGCGCGTTCCGGCAGTACACGGTGGCGGAGCTGACCTCGCAGCAGTTCGACTCGAAGAACATGATGTGCGCCTGCGACCCGCGCCGCGGCCGCTATCTGACCGCGGCGGCGATCTTCCGCGGCAAGGTGGCGACGCGCGACGTGGACGAGTGCATGCGCGAGATCCACCAGCGCTACGCGCCGTACTTCGTGGAGTGGATCCCGAACAACATCACGACGAGCGTGAGCAGCGTGGCCCCCGCGGGGTCGCCGATGGCGACGACGTTCCTGGGCAACAACACGGCCATCCAGGAAGTGTTCGCGCGCGTCTCCGAGCAGTTCGAGACCATGTTCCGACGACGCGCCTATCTGCACTGGTTCACCAGCGAGGGAATGGACGAGATGGAGTTCACCGAGGCTTCCAGCAACCTCGCGGACCTCATCACCGAGTATCAGCAGTACCAGGAGGCGTCGGTCGAGGACGAAGTGGCCTATGGCGACGAGGAAGTCCCCCAGGAGATGGAGATGGAGCACGGACAGGAGCTCGGGGAGAACGCTTAATCTCTGTAGTGTATTTGAATTTTCCATATCCGTGTTTGTTACGAGAAAGGAAGGAAAGGGATGGAGGCGGATGTATATCCCATGGAGGCGTTTCAGACACGAACATCCATTTCGTGTTGCGTCAATGATCCGGTCTTCTCATTAATTTTTTGAATATGAAATATTCTAATTGTAATAATAGTATTAGCATTTTTGCTATTTTGTTGCTGCTTCTTCAGATGGGATTGGGAGAAGAAGCCAACGATAACCGGGGCCAGTGCGTCCCTGGATTTTCTGGAATAGTCTGCTATCCCATTGACTGCTGTCATCGATTTGTGCAGTGTGTAAATGGAGTGATATATCCGCCGCAGGTAGATACGAATTCGTTTTTCAAAATAGTCTGTTGCTCCAGGTACTAACTGTAAAAACAACGAAATCGTTTTAGCAAGTGAATGCGGTAATGTTGAATGTCCCTCGGAACTACCTGACTGGGGAAGCGGTACTGGTGGGTCAGGAGGTTCTGGAGGTTCTGGGGATAATGGTAACAATGGTGGTGGAGACGGCAATTCTGGAGAAAACCCAGGAGCCGGAACAGATCCCTCAACAGGACAGTTTAACCTAAATACGACGAATCATGGAAAGTAAAACTAGTAAATCGCCTTTCAATTCTAGCTTTGCGCTTAATCTTAACCCTAATAACCTTATTAATGATGTTCAAAATGTGATGAGAGAAGCATCCTACGACGATGAATCCGCACATTCGCCCCTTTACAAAATGGGATGTAGCTTCCACCCACAATGGAGAAATCAGGTACTCGTCAAAATACACGATTGACAACCAGAACACTCAGATGTTTATTGGCCGTCCTGAAGGAACCTGTACTGTTAGCGTCACGACAGTGAAAATCCGATTACCAGATAAATACTTTGGTATGTTTTTAGCCTATGGCCAAGACCAATACGGAATATCGCCTCACACTATGATCGCTCTCGCGGCTAAGGAAACATTTGCTACCGCTTTATACCCGAATAACGACAACAGTTACTTTATTGTTGATGGTGAAGATGATTTTTTCGATACGCTTTCGAATGACAGTCTATTTATTGATGGAAATAAAGATGGCCCCTTCCAGGTGGAAACGCCAGCCATGGCAACCGATGTTTCTGTTCTTCCTCAGCGATTCTATTTTGGAGACTCCTCAACCCCCGAATCGCAGAGAAAGCCACAGTAATCAAGCATCGTGATAGTGATGACTAGATATCTCTCAGATAACGAACTCCTCGTAGACTATAATAAGTTCAGAGAATACCACGACAGTGTTACGGGAGATTTCTATAAAGCTATCGTGTTATCCTGTCTGGATCTTCACTTCCGTCATAATATCATTATGCAGATGACGAAGCAGGGAATGCGGCCAGGATGGGATCTTCGAAAAGGAAATGAAGAGAGCGAAGATGCACTCGAATTCGCAGCTGCAATGTATACCTACAACCGAGGCCTCTGGAGCCAAATGGATATGTCGTCATGCACACCTGAAATGAATCCTATTACGGATTGCAAACTGGATGGATATGGTGGCCACAGTACCGATATCAATGCTGCTTGTCAACTGCTCAATCAGGCGACAGAGGTTTACGATTTTTCAATTAGTTTGAATGATGTGATGTGGTTTATCGAGAAACTGAAAGAAACATATCCCTATTCTTCTGTAGAAGGAATTCATGGAGCAATTCCTTGGGATACCATTCGCCAGAATGTCAGATCCATTTATCCCATCATTTTGAACCACCGAAAACAAAAATCACCCTCTGCTTCAGGAATTTCTTTCCGTTACGACTGGAGATTGATGCTTGCTGTAATCCGAGCGCACTTGCCGAAGAAGGAAGAATTTTACGGACCTACGCTTGAGTAAGAGAGAGAGAAATCAATCTAACAAATAGGAACATGGTGAGGTGGTCATTTATGAATCAGATTTCTCCAGAGCCTCATGATTGGTCTTCGCTACCATCTAGTCAGCTGCGGAACTATTTAAAGCGATATGGAACGGTTTACAGCGATGATGATTCTTCTCAAACTCCTGCACCTACATCACCTCCTACATCAAAACCCACTACGGCGCCTCCTACATCAAAACCCACTACGGCGCCTCCTACATCAAAACCCACTACGGCACCTCCTACATCAAAACCCACTACGGCGCCTCCTACATCAAAACCCACTACGGCACCTCCTACATCAAAACCCACTACGGCACCTCCTACATCAAAACCCACTACGGCACCTCCTACATCAAAGCCCACTACGGCACCTCCTACATTGCCTCCGCTTCCATATTGCGGAGATGGTAAATGCGATGAAGGAGAGACAGTATTCAATTGTCCCCAAGACTGTAAGAGTTACCCAGAAATGGAATTGCCTGCTCCTTCTTGTGAGGGGTTAGCAAATGGAGTCCACTGCTATCCACAAAATTGCTGCGACCGTTATTTCAGTTGTCTCAATGGAAGACTATTTGGACCAGTAGATCTACCAGCTGGCTACATTTGTTATGAGGGCTCTGAAATCGAAGCAAACGATGCGCGCTGCAAGGGTGTCAGTTGTCCCAATGTGATTCCTGCCTCTTGCGGAGATGGCGTTTGTGAGATATATGAGAGTTGTAGCAGCTGTCCTGAAGATTGTGGACCTTGTAACACAGATCCACCCCAGCCCGAACTTGAAGAATGCGGTCCGAATGATATCGGTTTTATTTGCTATCCTCACAACTGCTGCGGCTTTGTTCGTCAGTGTGTATATGGGGAGACATCTCCTGTTTATGCTGTTTTGGATGGAGGACTGTGCTACAATGGAAATATTATCGATAAGAATGCTGATGTTTGCAAGGGAATCAGCTGTGATATTGCTCCAGGAGCGTATTGTGGGAATGGAATATGCGACGAAAATGAAAATTGCTGGAATTGTCCTGAAGATTGCGGAGTTTGCCCTACTTCAGCTCCTACCTCAAAGCCCACTACGCCTCCTACTTCAAAGCCCACTACGCCTCCTACTTCAAAGCCCACTTCACCACCTACCTCTAAACCCACAACAGCTCCCACGACTTCACCCACGACTCCACCATCTAATCGCGTGTTTTTGGGTTACTACACAAATTGGTCGCAGTATCGCGCTGGAACTTCCCAGTACTTCCCTGAAAATATCGATCCCACCAAGTTTACGCATCTTGTTTATGCTTTTGCTTACATCAAACGAGGAACCTGGGAGGTGGAGCAAGTGGAATGGAATGACGTGAATGAATGGCAGCCAACACAAGGTCTCTACTACCGATTCAACAGACACGTTCACTCCAGAAACCCCTCTTGCAAAACGTTATTGGCTTTCGGAGGATGGAATTTCAACTTCAAGGACGAATACAAAGATATCTTCACAACGATGGCCGAATCGGCTGAAAACCGAGCAAAGTGTATTAGTTCCATCATTAGCTGGGTGCGAAAGCATGAATTTGACGGAATTGATATCGATTGGGAATACCCAGCCAATGAACCCTTGGGAGGAAGACCCCAAGATTATGAAAACTATGTATACTTCATTCGGGAATTGAGAGCAGCGATTGAAGCGGAGGCTGCCCGTACGGGAAAGCCGCGATTGCTACTGATTCTCGCGGTTGCTGCTGGATATGATAAAATCGAAGCTGGATACGATGTTCCGAATCTGGTGAATGAGGTTGATTTTGTGGATGTGATGGCTTATGATCTTCATGGACAGTGGGAGATGAAGACAGGAGCAGCGAGCGGTTTGTATCCTCCTTCCAACTACGAGCCGGGAACGTTGGAAGAGTACTACACGGGAGACTATGCCATCCAGACCTGGATTGCGAAAGGAATGCCTCGAAACAAGATCGTCATGGGATTGGCTGCCTATGGACGAGGCTGGACACTTGCTAGTAGTGCTCCTGGTCAGGGAATCGGCGCAGAAGCAATTCGAGGATGTGAACCCATGAAAGACACACAGCAGGAGGGTGTGCTCAACTATATTGAAGCGCTAACGGTCATCGCTGCAGGAGGCCAGGTGACTTATGACGAAGCAACGACAACGATGTATGTGCAGAAAGGAGATCAATGGTACTCTTATGAAGATCCCTATTCCATTGTAAAGAAGGTTGACTACATCAAGGAGCAAGGATTGCTGGGAGCTATGATCTGGGCTGTGGACAATGACGAATTCTATAACGGAAACCCGATCATTAGCGCCATCTATAACAATCTGTTTACTGCTACAGCTAGAGCAGGCGATGAGAATGGAAACAATGCATCGAAACCTTCTGTTTTTGGAATTGTCATGATGGTCATCGCGGTGGTTGCAGTGGTTGCAGTGGTGGCTATGGGATACTTTATTTATCGAAGTCGGCATGTTGAACTGCCTATCGAAAAGAAACCCAAGGCGTTGAAACGCACAACCAGTATTTAACGTAACCTAATATTTAATTTCTTCATCGAAAGTATGTAAATATGTATTATTATTTCCATACCAGCATTGTTTGTTATGTCATAACAACTGAATCATTACAGCAAAAACATAAAAGTATTCAGAGGGTTTTGATGGCAATTATCAAATACTGATGATTTATAAAAGAAATTCTATCAAGTGAATTACGTCGATAAAACAAACAAATGATAATATCCATTATACGCAATAGGATGCAATGAAACTCAATGAATAACATTTAAAATGAAATGACCCTGTTATTCCAATTCTTGGTAATAACCGCAACACCAAAAACGCTATTTATGTAATAAAATTTGATTAATCAGTCTATTTGAATATACATAAATACCGTAATAGATGTATAATTATCAAACTTGTGTAAAAACAATGCAACTAATTTACAGATTGATTTTGATAAGATCAGCAAAGATGGAAGAAACATCTGTGAATCAAATCAAATGTAAAAATATATACTCGAAATTGATTTCGATCGAACTTCTCTGAATGAATCAGGTAGAACAGCATTTTGAAGATTTGGAATATCTAAATATAAATAGTATTCATGATTTAAAACTACTTTCCAATATCACTACAACATAATGTTTAAAGCTATTACCTATAGAATTGAGGGATGCTAAATCTGGAAGATCTACATAGTAATTCTTTTCGAATCATTTCTTCCCTACTTTTCATTTTCAACGAACATAAGTAATTATTCTCTATTCCACAAAGCGCCCATTTACCGAGTTGAATGGATTGTAATGATGGAAGATCTACATCAATCATTTCATTCGAATTCATTCAATACTTTCCATTATTGTTGATAAAGGAGCACAGAATGTAAAACACCCAAATGTAATGGATTGTAGATTTGGAAGATCTAGGCATTCAAACATTTAATATTATATTAGTACCTCGAATCACAAATGAACTAAAACAGAAATTGTATGATTTCCTTCTAATATTCCCAATTTGAATGGATTGTAATTGTGGTAGATTCTTCAATTCAAAGTCTCCAGCAAAATCACTGAAACTATATTCACCAATTTGAATGGATTCCAATGATTCACAATTCAATATGTGGAATGATTTTAATCTGCTACATCTTTTGGCAGATTTATCGTATTCTTTGGATTTCCAATCGATGATTTTCATTTCAGTAAATGAATTGATTCCGATTTTGATAGTTTTCAATCGATTCAATCCATCGATTTCGAATCTTTGCACTGAGCCAAAACGGCCATCACCGATTTCGATTGTTTCTAATGAATCGAGATTATATAGACAGTATTCTTTACTATTTCTAAATGCAAAATCACCTAATGTAATGGATTGTAGATTTGGAAGATCTATACATCATTCAAATATTCAATATCATATCAATACCTCGAATCACAAATGAACTAAAACAGAAATTGTATGATTTCCTTCTAATATTCCCAATTTGAATGGATTGTAATTGTGGTAGATTCTTCAATTCAAAGTCTCCAGCATAATCACTGAAACTATATTCACCAATTTCTATTGATTCCAATGATTCACAATTCAATATGTGGAATGATTTCCATTTATCATCTCCCCAATCATTCTTATTCTGAGTGAATGAATTGATTCCGATTTTGATAGTTTTCAATCGATTCAATCCATCGATTTCGAATCTTTGCACTGAGCCAAAACGTTCATCACCGATTTCGATTGTTTCTAATGAATCGAGATTATATAGACAGTATTCTTTACTCTTTCCAAATGTATTATTACCTAATGTAATGGATTGTAGATTTGGAAGATCTATGCATTCAAACATTTAATATTATAGTAGTACCTCGAATCACAAATGAACTAAAACAGAAATTGTATGAATCACTTCCAATTGTCCCAATTTGAATGGATTGTAATTGTGGACAATTCTTCAATTCAAAGTCTCCTCCAAAATCACTGAAACTATATTCACCAATTTCTATTGATTCCAATGATTCACAATTCAATATGTGGAATGATTTCCATTTATCACTTCCAAAATCATTCTTATTCTGAGTGAATGAATTGATTCCGATTTTGATAGTTTTCAATCGATTCAATCCATCGATTTTGAATCTTTGCACTTCAGAATAGCATTCATCTTCAAATATGATACATTGATTTTCATTTTCATATTTATACTTCTTACTCAATACTTTAGGTTCAAAATCTTTTGTTACTAAGTCCGCTTGATATAGTCTCCCACGAATATAATCATATAATACTAATCCACAAATCATTACTGCTATTATTATTAACCACTGCCAGTATCTTGGTATTGGTAAAATGAATGTCAATACAACAACACATAGCCCGAATATTACTGGAATTCCTGCAAATAACAATATATACTTTGATTGTGAATATCCATTCACCCATTTTCCATCATATTCTATTTCATTGTTGTCATTATATGACGTTCCTAATCCATGTCGTTTTCCATTCAGAAATTCACCTTCATAAATCACATTCTGGCTTTCTTCATCATATTCCTTCCCATATTGTCGAGAAAATCCTTTCTCAATTGAACCACTATAATATCCTTCAAAACACTTTACACCATCTTTGTATTCTATCATTTTATCATTTTCAAATCGATACAAAATCGATATTTCTTCATTGTTTTCCCAAATACTTACTCTTACAAGTAATCCCGATTCATAAAAGTAGCACAATCCTTCATTCATTCCATTTTCATTCTTTTGACATATCGAAATCACTTTTCCATTCCCATCCAATTCTTTCCAATAACCTTTCATTCCATCCATTCTTTCACAATGATTGCCTCTACTTCCTTTTTCATACCTACCTTCAAATATCACATTCCCATTCTTATCATACTCTTTTCCTAGTCCCTGACGATATCCATCTTCAAGATTCCCTTCAAAATATAATTCGCCTGAATCATAATACAATTTACATTGTCCCTTTATCTCATTACTTCGATACTCGAATTCTGCTATTATCGTATTGTTTATTGTTTTGATAATAGCTTTCCCATTCAATTTCCCATTTCTTATCTTCGTTTGAATAGTATAACCTTGATGTGGAGAACCAATGTTCAGAATCACATTTTCACTATCAATCTTTTCTATAGTACTAATGGGAAATTGATTAGTAATGCTCCAACTCCAAATATCTACCTCAAACCCCGATTCCTTTTCCAGGTCATGAGACACGTTCAATGGTTCTATTTCGATAATATAACTTGATTGAATTCCAGAATTCGTAGATGAGTCCATAAATAATGATATTATGGCCAAAACCTCGAAAATGAAACGAATCTCCTCTATTTGATTCCAGTATAATCCTTATTTCATTATCATACTCAAATTGTGCATATTTCTACTATTTACTATCATTTTGTGGATTGATATGTAATATATGACTATTTTTGTAAAGATTACACTATTTTTGTGAGTAACGAGAATGACTATTGTTTTCCAACAAATTGAGTATTGAATAGAATGTAGATAATATGTAGATTGATAGAATTCGTTAAGATCGTCAAACTAGAACTACATTTGCTCGATTTGTATCAAAATGGTTTTGTAAGTGTGTAATACTATAATAAATATGGAAATAGACTTGTTGACAGTTATTCTAATAATATCTACTCTCAGTGTTGTGTTTTAGATGTAAGAATGCTGAGAGTGACAATTTCGTCATTCTAATATACAATCCATATTCGAATTGTCATCCATGAATCTATGCTATGTTGGAGATGTGTAAATAGTTTGTAATTCAATGATATTTGAATCAAAGAATAGGATACATGTTATTTCCAATTTTGATGTTGGATAATAGTCGAATCGATTCAAACTATCCAATATACATTATTGATAAGCTGTTGTTACTGTTGTTGTCAATATTATCATGAGTATCATATATTATACATTATGGTGTGAATGATTCAACATAGCTCAAATCCTAAGGGTGATAAAATGACATGTGATATTGACTATTCTTGAAATTTGATTGTATTGATGTCTATTTCGTTTCATGACTTGCTATACTTAGCGTTCTTCTGTCATAACTCATTTGAAAATAATAAAAATGATTTCGAACTTATTAATCGATTGTTCACTTCATTTGTATGAACCAACCTAAGAATTCTAATTCAAAATGTACTGAAATCACACTTGATAGATATTCATTATGAATAATGACTTGATATCTAAATATGAGTGATTGATTGTATGAATTGTGATGATGCTAATAATAATAGATGGATCGATTCAAATCAAAATGAAGGATACATGGATATAAGTAGATTGATCTTCATTTCGACTAATAAGAACGAAGTATTCTTATATTCGTATTGAACAGAATGGTTTGAAATAGGATGAATCCAAGAGACAATTGTAAATGATCAATGTTCAAAGAATGCCAAATGCTGATCATAATAACACTGAATTGATATAATAATTGTATTGGACTGTGATAATACTAAAGAATGAAGTATCATCTATTTCATGTAGTGAATCAATTGAAAACTATCAATATCAATAATAATTCGTTCACTCAGAAAAAGAATTGATTTGGAAATGATAAATCGAAATCATTCCACACACTGAATACTTAATCATTGGAATCCATTCACATTGGTACAATCGAAAGTGCTTCGTTCGATGTCTATTCTATATCTTTTGTGATCAGAAGTATTGATATGATACAGAATACATAATAATTAGATCTTCCAAATCCGTGATTCATTACATGTGGTAATTATGCGTTTGCTGCTTCCTCGTCAACTATTTTCAAAAGTATTGAATGAGCATGAATAAAATGATATTCTAAATCTTCCATCATTACAATCCATTCAACTCGGTCTTGCAGTATTTTGTGGACAAAATAAAGATGGCTCAAGTTCATCATGTGTGCCTAATAATAATAATAAGAAGAAGAAGAAGAAGAAGATTATAATGATTTGAAATGATTGTATGCCGATCTTCCAATGCTAACAACGAATGATTCAAAAGATAAAGACACATTATCCATTCTTGTCGTTCAGTGACATTGGAAAGAAGTACTATATAGCGCGTGTTTATATCTTCATAAACTTTAAGTGTTAATTTGCCATGCCTGTTCAAGAAGTTCGATTGAAATTTCTCTAAATAGTATTGTTAGATTGATTTCTATTCATTTTCGGATGTTTCTCTCATCCTCGTTGATCTTGCTCATATCAGGTAGTACTCCATCGTATTTCCATGTGATACAACTCCCACATTACTGAATTGTATTATATATATATATTATTTCCATTTCCCAGTTTGATACTCTCAGATCCAAGATTGTACTCGTTGATTCCATTCTATCATCTCTCGAATCTTTTCTTTCCTATCTACACCCTTTACCCAAATTCAAGCTCTTTTCTATCATTCAAATCACCACTCCTTTCTCTACCATTTCATTCATAACAAACAATCCACGCCTTTTCTATAGTTACAGGATCACGATGATATTTGTTCTCAATTACATACAATCGAGCTTCCCACAAGTATTTTATTCCGTCATTCACACTCATATTAAAGTTCCGATCTCGGATTCCTTTATACTGGCATTCCGCACTTTTATCCTCTGCATCCTTACACTCCGGACCTCTCTCTCCTCTGGACTTGAATACCACGCCCTTCACTCCAATCGCCCTCGCGAATCGCTGATAGCACGACCAATACCAGTGAGGTGGATACGCTTCAATGAAGTAGCTGTGTCTTGTCATGAAAAGCATGTTCGCCACGCCCGTTCCGTGAACCGCGAACAGCACATCCGTTCCGATCATTTGCTTGATTCGCTGATCGACCGGTAGCTCTTCCAGCACAATATCGTCGTACGTGTACTACATCCCATGCACTCCAATCCGCCTACATAGTCCAGCAGCTTCTGATTGATTCGCTGAACGAACTTGTCGTGGTTCTCGATCAACCGAATCGTCGGTCGCCGAACCAAAGTCAGCTTAAGCTTGCTGATTCGCGAAGTGGGAGGGAAATAGTTCGCATAAACGTACGCAGAGGCGCGGAAGAAATCGGCGGACAGTTCCGTTCCGATGAACGAGCCGCTTCCTTTGGGCTCCCAGTTCCGAATAAACGTCTATCCATGATTCATTCGACGCATTCTGACGATGATTCGATCGCAGAGCAGGTTGTGATTCGCACTGAGCTCCGGATCGGTGTAAGGATGCAGCAGCGTGGGTCGATAATGCGACGGAAACATGCGGAGCAAAATGTCCAGCACTTGCCGATTCCACGCCGTAGGCACTTTTTCGCGCTGATTCGCCACAACCAGCAGGCGCTTGAACTAGAGACACACAGAGGGAGGAAGGAGTACGGCAGGGAATTGCTCTGGGTGGAGGGCGATAGAAGCGAGATAGGAAGTGCCCTCCAGAAACTGGTAAGCGTTCCAGACAGAGCGAGGATGAGCCACTAGCAAACCCAGCGGTGTGGAGGGGAATTGCTTGTGGGGAATGGTCTGCTGAACCAGTTTGTATGCATTGACTAGGATGCAGACCAACCAAAACCCGTACAATAAAAGTCTTTCCACTTGTATTTCGTTAGAAGGTCCGTGATTTGCTTCTCTGACTTCATGTACAACGTCACCTGACCGTTGCGGACATTGACACACGCGTTCGACACAAACACATAGTTCTTTGTATCCATAAATCGACTGTACCCGTTCGACCTACCTTTCAGTCCTCGCCAACTTCGAAATACTCCTTCCAAAACTTCTCCAACTCACTTTCCAGCGTCCTAGGCCTTATTTACACTCCCTGAACAAACTTGGAGGCATTCGCGTAGATTCGACTTTGGATCTCAGAAATATCGTCGTACCAATCTTCCTTCAGAAAGTCAATCCCCATTTTATCCTCCCACAACTCCCCTGTTTCATTATACACAAACTCCACCGGTTCATGCACTTTCTCGTCAAAGGCGTAGTCATAGGCCCAATTTGCAAACCGAGATTTCGCTATATCTGGAACAACGTCTTCATGGGGCGTCTCTGTACTCGGGACGGAAAATAGCACTTCTTTCTTCGTATCAAACCCCTTCGTAGAGTAAAAAACAACAGGAACGTCATGTTTGCTAAACGCTCACCACTTTCCAGAATCCTATACACAAACACACCTTCCACTCTTTCTGGAGGCGCTGCCCATCTTTTGATCGTTTCCAGCGCTTTCTCCTCCACTTGTCCATAAATGAACAGCTTGAACTGATAAACCCAGAGAGCAGAGAGGATGGTGAAGATCACCAAGAAAAGAACCTGGTGAATTTGCATGACTTTAAAAATCTGCCAACTCCAGTTCAAACAAACACAAAAATCTTTCCTTAATTCCATTACTTCTCTCTCGATCCCGTGAGCAGTTACCGTCAGAATCTCCAACTGATCGCCTGTGTCCTTTTCTCTCTATCTCTCACACAGTCCAAAAGCACAGTACCTCCGTTCCCGCAGTAAACACTTCCTTCATCAGATTCAGGGCTTCCTCGCGATCCAAGTCCACGTAGGGCTCGTTTCGGTTCTTCTTTGCTACACAGCTGTCAAGAATGGGAATAATGTGGCTTTGTGCAGATCCCTGAACTGCGTACTTCATTAACTCGAACGAACCGATAGCGTCGTAGCTGTAAATAACCCCTTGACCTACTCTTGAGTTCAACCAGAGTGAATACCGTTTTCATCCAATCCACAAAGAACGTTGAACGCATAGATCGGGAAAAAACGGCGATTGTATAGCGTGTTACTCAGAAGAGCAGCTACGGCGCTTGTTGATATTTCTTCGCGATGATTATATTTGTATCTGATTATTAAACACAATTCTATTAGCAACTCTTTAATATCGTATTCCAGAGTTCGAAGTAAGGTTGTCATATCTGTCCAGCACCCAGCATTTCCCAATACACACACACTTGTGAGGGGATGCAAACGAGACACATTTCGACTCAGTATCTCATATCCTTGTGTTAGACGAGTATCAGCTGCAATTATTACATAATCTTTCCCAGCGATTGCTGCTACCGTACTGTACGATTATCCACTAGCAAAACCTTCTTACCCACCATTCATGTCATAAGGCTCAAATTCGTTTCTTCTTACTTCGTGAATAGCTTTATTGCTCCTAAAGAATTACAGAACAATATTCAAATAACGTACATCTTTGTAGTTTATGAAGAAGAAAGAATTGAATAGAAAAGCAGCCAAATTATGGAATTCCGAGAATGGAGAATGCGTTTGGAAAGTAAGGAATAGATAGTTTAAGGAAGAGTAGAGGGGAGTGATGAGTTTTGGACATTATGAATTTTACATTTATCGAGTATATATAAGTGATGAGTGATACACGTACTGTTTAAACCACTGATCCTATGCAAATGGTAATTAACGAACGAAGCAGTGATAAGTAAGCGCATATATGAGTGAACAGTGAAAACTGAGACACAATTCCTGTCTTCCAATCATCCCATTCCTCGCCATGAAAATGGGATAACAAACTAGTGCGAATGGCATGAGAACCAGGTCGAATGGATTTGGAATTTGCTTCCAAAAACCCAGCATTTCAATCCTTCAATTCTGCGAATTCCCGTGATTCTCTCAGTCTCACTTATTCAGATTGAAATTCTTGATAAAAGAATATCAACCCTTGACTCAAAGAGTTGAACTAATTCCAGCAATTTGAATTCAATATTTTGTAAGGGTGATGTCTTTCGAGAGCAGTTTAGAAAGTCAAATAGAGAAGGTAAATTCTTGTTGTCGTGAATTTTCTGACATGCTAGTTACGCCGCTGCGAGCTGATTAGCGAGAAAGAGGTGGAGGAGCTTTGTGCGAAAGCAAAAGAAATCTTATTAAGCGAAGGAAATATCCGTGAGGTCCATACACCAATTACCGTAGGTGGTGAGTGAGTAGGTTGTTTGAAGGTCTGCGGAGATATTCATGGCCAGTTTTATGATCTGCGCGAATTGTTCTTTATTGGAGGCGACAGTCCTGATACGAATTACCTGTTTATGGGTGATTACGTTGATCGAGGCTATTATAGTATCGAGACGTTTTTGTTGCTTCTGGCTCTAAAAGTGCGTTATCCAGACCGTGTGACTCTTCTTCGTGGCAATCATGAAAGTCGTCAGATAACCCAAGTGTACAGTTTTTACGACGAGTGTATGCGGAAGTATGGTACTGTGAATGTATGGAAGCAGTGTGTGGACGTATTCGATTGTCTGAACCTTGGCGCGTTGATCGATGATCGCATTTTCTGTGTGCATGGCGGTCTTTCTCCCTCGATCACGACTCTGGACGCGGTATGCGAGTGTGTTCGATGTGATGGATAGGCCCGCTCGATCAACCGCGTGCAGGAAGTACCCCTGGAGGGAGGGATCTGCGATCTGCTGTGGTCGGACCCGGAAGAAGATGTGTCTGGATGGCGCGTGAGCTCGCGCGGATGCGGATACATCTTCGGAAGCGACGTGGTGAGCAAGGTAGGCGTGGCGTGGGGGGAGGAAAGGAGTAGTTCAACGCGGAAAACAACCTGAATCTGCTGTGCCGATCGCATCAGCTGGTGATGGAGGGATTCAAGTGGATGTTCAACAACCAGCTCGTGGCGGTGTGGTCCGCGCCCAACTATTGCTATCGCTGCGGAAACATTGCGTCTATCATGGAGGTCGACGAGTATCTGCAGAGCACTTTCAAAACGTTCGACGCTGCGCCACAGAGCGAGCGGAAGGAGCCTTCAAAGAACTTGCCGCCAGATTACTTCTTATAAGGATGGAGAGGCTCGCTGGGTGTACTTGTGTTTGTATGGATTGTTTGTTGTCAGAACAATTACATTAATACTAATAAAAATAGGAGTAGTAGCTAACAAAATAGTGAGATGAAGCAAGTGGTCGTAGCATCGAAGAACCCATGCAAGGTAGAAGCATGCAAGAAGGCGTTTGAACGTGTAAGAAAACGATCGCAGGTGGTAATTGACTAGGTTTTCCCAAACGAGACATTTGAGTTTGTACCGTGCTCTTCAGATAGTGGTGTTAGTGATCAGCCATTTAGTGAAGAAGAAACAGAAGATATATATCAGCTATAGTCGTTTTTCCTTCATCTTTTCCTTCAATCCTTAACACCTAAATCGGTGAGCGGACCCAAAATCGTGTGAATAACAAACACGGAGTGATTAGGGATCAAACAATCAGCTTTGCAATGCCATAAATCACAGCAACAATAGCAACAAATACTGAAAACAGAATAAGAACTCGCTTGTTATTGGTCTGGTAAGCATGCGTTTCATTCTCCGGAATTCCAGGCAATGGAAGACCACACTCGACGTATTCTTTACTTTCGAACACATCATCCAGCGTTTTGTTCCAGGTACTTCGCACAGCGTCGAACCATTCCTCCTTCGTCTGGTAGTTCTCAGGGTGAAGAACCTCTGAGATGGATGTATAGATATCCACGTCGTAGTTGAAGGAGAGCTTCTTCTCGTTGAGAATAAACTCCTTGTTCTTTGACAGAACGCACTGGCACGGAACTTTGAGATTCCAGGCGACTTCCAGAACGCCCGTCTTTATGGGTAGCGAACCCTCGCCAGTGTAACGATGACCTTCAGGGTACACAACGACGCCATCAAGAGGACTAGAGTCAAGAGGCAAAAAGAGAAATACCGTAACTCCCAGTTATGTCGGAAAAACTCGGTAAACCAAACTCTGTTAATGTTTCTCCTTCTTCTAAACAGCCAAATGTAGTTATGGATCCAGGCAGTAAATGCCATGCCAGGAACACCCACGCAAACCATGAGACGTGCAACATAGCTCGAACCACCACAGAGAGTCCTAATAATAAAATCAATTCCTAGACCCTAACCCATCCACAAAGAAATCGGCCCATGAACGATGATTTGAAAAGTACATTGTTTTTCCGCCGTTAAGCTCTTTCGAATTTTTGGTAACATGAGGGTGAATACGTAAAACTTCGCAAAACTAAACGTAAACAACCAACACCATACCCCACATAGCGAGTCTTTTCAAAGCAGGACATTCTCTGGTCCCAAATGGACTTTATTCCAAACCTAGGCTAAAGTACGTAAAGATGTAGTACCAGAAAGCTTTTACATTAATAAACCAAATTAAAATGATCGAACTCAAGTATGACAGGTAGAGTTTAATACGCTCCAACATTCCAAAAAAAAAGTAATTACGTAGTATGTAAACAAACAGGAGAAATCTACTGAAAATCAAGATCCCATCGTATTAACAAATGGCGATTGCAGCTAATCATCATCTCATCACTCACTTTGGAAGTCACCTCCGTTTCCTTCCTGCTCCGGACATGGAAGTGTATAATAGACTTCATATTTGTCCATAATTCCATTGCAGCCTGCGTGGCAGGATACGAAAGAAACATCAGCGCTATCGAGCTGAGAGTTGGGTATTGAAACTTCCCCACAGTCGTCCAATACTCAACCAGAGGCATCGTTCCAAAGATAGGATCTTCGTTTCTACAAAACAAATCGAATTCTGCTTGCAGCTGCGTCGACTCGACTCCAGTTGCTTTCAGTTTATCGAGCGCTTTCAAAGCAGACTCGCGAGAATAGCAAGACGATTCGGCCGTCGACTCGCTCTGCGACGGCGCTTTATCATGCAGAAGATAATAGTAAAGCGAAATCAAATCGTGATTGAAATAGCGAGTGAGAAAGTGCGAAATGGCGTCAGTGCAGTGTGTGATGAAGTCGCTCCCAAATGAGCTTTGCTTGACCGCGTTCAAGCTCTCTACCAGCGATTGGTAGACAAAGAACAGATCCAATGCTTTGGGGGATTGGCTGCTCGTACAGCTGGCGATTCGTCGAAAGAGAGAAGTCGCTTCGGTTAGTGATTCCAGCCATTCTGCGTTTAGATTGAAGGACAACAGCGGGTTCTGTCCGATGATTTGTCCCGAGTTGATGCCCGCTTGGCGAGCCGCCACGAACACCTGAAACGAAGCGATCTCGAATTCGAACGCGTTGAAGATCGAACTCCATTGGTCCTCGCTCACAGACGGCAGTTTGATGTCTCTAACTCTCAAAGAAGGAAGCTGTTATCACTTGTTAAAGAGAGCTCGGTATTGCTCTTTGAATAATTCGGTGAGGGAAGCGTTTTTTAGAAAGCTCGTATAGACCGCCATCGCCTAAGCCAACAGAATGAACGCGTAAATGTACGCTTTGCTTGATGCCCATTAAAAGGGGAAAGGAGAAAAGGGTGTTTAGCAAATCTTGACACCATTCGATCGTGTTTCCAAGAATCGGGAAATGACCAACCTGTGGATCCAACACCAAAACTTCTTTGATCTGGTCAAACAGCAAGCAGTCGTCGAGATAAAACTGCGAGACGTTGACATTCTGGCTGCGAAGCAGACTGACGACCTGTTGAATCTGCTCTATGATGAAGAACTGGTTCCAATTATCGGCTTTGCTGGTGGTGTGGGAGAGAAAGAGAAGCTGGTTGGAAGGCGTGCAAGCAACGAACGAAAGAGAGCTTCGCTTGTTGATGTCTACCCAAGGATAAACGATTAGAGTGATCGCAGATTGCTGACGAATGTATTCTAAAGAGGTTTCAGAGAGCCGATTGCTGATTTCTGCGATTTTCTTTTGGATCACATAGAGCGAAGGCGCTTGCCAGTGCAATGTGAAGCACAGATTCTTGAGAAAATCATTGTCGAAGATATTTTTTGTGACGGTCGAAGAGCAGACAAACCCTGCTGCGAGCATGACCAAATAGTCATCATATTCGAAAGAAACAAGGCTTTCTTGCTGCACACGCTACAGGAGAAGAGAGAGCTTTCCACTACTTTTTGATCCGGAAGTAACAAATTTGAAGACTGAGCCATACGCTTGTTTTTTCGCTGCATTACCTCAAACTCGGTGTTGATCGGATGTTGAGCAAAATACTATATTAACAATGCAATTGCAAATCGCGTACATCTTGAGCACGTTCACAACGATCAAGATGCCGGCAAAATTTGTCCTTCCATCCGCACATGACCGAATTACAAAAGCTTAGATCATGACAAGTCCAATATCACTACTTGCATTTCATTTTGCGATGCTTTTTGTTCGATACATGGGGGTCTGGAGTAAACAATCCTGCAGAACACAACTCATTGGAGGTACGAAAGCGATGGTAAAACATTTGGTCAAGGAAATTGAAGGAAACAGGAATTTCTAGTAATTAGCCATATTCCGGCGAAAAAGAGTTCCTACCGAATGGCTTATCTCCGGGTTTCTCTGTCTCGGTGTTGCCTTCAATCCTCATGCGCTTTCTAGTAAGATAGAGAAAAAGATGGGACACCACAAATTGTTATTACTGCTCACAAAATCAAAGGTTTTCAAAACAAACAATCCAATTTAATCTACCTTGGGTACCTCGCAAAATAATCCTCTTGTAGCCTTCTTCACTTAGATGCAATGTATCGTTTTTGCAATTCAAAAGCAGTAGTCATGATGGCAAACATAGGAGCTTGGACGGCCATACGCATGGAGGCTCCCTTAAACAAGGCAGTTACGCCTTCCGATTTCAGAGTAGACAAAAACATTTTCAAAAACGAGCTTCCCATCGATGATCCCTTCGCAGCCTGCACACGCGTCTTGATCACATCCATTGGCGTCACTACATAACATACTGTTTCCCACACATACTCAAGAACGCGGACGTCATGCCAGCACCACAACCGGCTAAGAGAAGGCCTCCGAGTCCACAAACACCATTCGAAGGAGTAAACATCTCCACTAAAAAGTGATTCAGTGGGAAGAAAATCATAAAATAGGGAATGTCACGCATAAGAGTAATCGTGCTTCCCTTGTACAATCCCCTGACACCTAATTCACGTACAACTAGATATCAACACGAAAACGAAGCTGTACCTCCAACTATGTTCTTCTGTTCTTCCTTCGGAAGAGTAGACTGGATTTGCAGACGAATCTTGGTGATTTCCATCGGATTCGACGCGATCACCTGAACTGTTCCAGCTCCGGCACCAGCAAGAATGGCAGACATAAAGGATACGTTACCATCCTTGTCTGCTAACAAATCACGGAACAAGTCATTTCCAGCCAATTTCAAGGCTTGGACTGGGAATACACCAATTAAATTGGCACCCACCCCACTATAACTCACAATTAATTTATAAACTAATACCGATAGAGACCGCGAACCCCATCCAACGCGACGATGCCCTTAAAAGCTTGAAAGGGGTTCTTGTATAACATATTCTGTCCGGCCACTTGTCTCTAGAGCTCAATACTGAACTATTAAACATTACCTGCATTGTAGTCTTCACTATATCAAGGGGATAAACCATAGATGTAGCCAATACACCTGAAGTTCCACCAACGAATAGTTTACTCAGAAAAGAAACCTAATTTCAAAGAGATTCTTAATTTCGACCTTATGCGTCTCCTGAGGCTTCTTCATTAATGGTACATTCGCAGATTTCTGTTCCTTAGCTGAGTACATATTCAAAGACACAAGCAAAAAAAAGAATGACAAATTGGGGGAAATCGCGGTTATTAAGAATATGCTGAGGGACCATTTGCAACGATCAAATGATTGCCTGAATCATTTTTTGTTATTCTTTTTGAGAACTTAGCTGCATGTCAAGTCCGAATTTATGCATATTGCTATTGTCGTGTTTGAGATTTTATCCTCTCCACAGTTGGTAACTACAACAGTACTATAAATATAACTTTTTCATTTTATATTATTACGGAAATGTAAATACGATATTAACCCCTCTTCTTTCGAACTTTACTTCATTTCGAAAATCAACGTATAGCCTTGTAAAAGGATTTCCTCCAATATTTTGAGGATGGTAATAAACAATGAGGGATTGAGAACAAACACTGTCAATCTTCTCTGCTGGTTCTACAAACAGGTAGTACAAGCGGCGTTCCATTCAAGAGACTAGAATTTGTGTCGAGTAATGAAAAGTACGATTTCACATAGTAGTACACATATTCTCCCATTAATACGATCTGGATGCATTGGGATAGCAGAATCGATACTCCTGCGTAGCGACTTCCAAGCCAGCGAGTGCCCGCGTTGAGTTCTCTCCAGCAACTTGCCCAGAAGAGCAGAGCGAAGAGTCTGGAGATCGCCAGGGAGAAAACAAAGTGTGAAGTTAGCCCCTCAATCTCTCCGTGCTGGGACTAACTCGATTCTTTGAATCCTACTCGAGACCTGCTGAATAGTGTGAGTTGTGGATAAACGGCAATCGCTTCGACATAGTGCGAAAAGCTCCACAACACGTCGATACTCTGCTTTTGGGACAATCCTGGATGGATTATCTAGGTGGTGGGACATGTTCAACGTGCGTACAATCGAGAGGCAAAGCAGCGAAAACAGAAGAAGCCCGATCGTGATACAGCTCTTCTTCCTGTTTTCTCCTGCAAACGAATCCTAGCTTTGAGAGATTCAGTGAGTGGTTCACAATGAACGAGTAGTATGTGTATTTGTATCGGTAAGAGAAGTAAAGAAGAAAGGCGATTGCAATCACCTCGACTCCTTCTGTGCAACGATACACCCAATCTCCCGAACGGTCATAGGGAAGATAGGAATCGGAGAAAAGGATGGAGAAAAAACGAGACAGACTCACAACACCATAGAGGATCAGTGATTTGACTGATAGTCCTAGCAGTGAGTGCCACAATATCGCAAGCACCCTGAACAGATCGAGAGGATACGACCTTGTACAAACCCAGCAGAAAGCCGAATGACCCAACAATCGAACTCAGTGTCTAGAATTGAAAGGTCCAAAGGACAAGAACAAGCAAAAAAGAAAAATCCCTATCAGAGAGATAGTGGAAAGTCAACAGAACGAATATAGCAAACAATAACCAGACGGAAAGGTTCTTCCGATCAGGTGAAAGAGCGTTCTTTAGAGACGAAGATTGAAAGAAACGCAGAGGCAACTTGATAGAACTGCCTTCTAATACTGTTGTTCTTGGAGGGTACATAGAAAATGTAATGGTCGCTATTTACTATATCCTCGGGGATATTCTTACACACATTTGATCCCTTTCAACAAACAAATGCCAAACACAAAGCAAATACAAAAACGATCATTAGGACGATTGAATCAATGGAAGTTTATTTGAAATGCTCGTTGGGTCACAGCGAAGCGGTTCACTTCCTGATGGGAAGCTGGGAGGTTGCGGCTGCAGGGGCTTCCTCCCACTCTTCTTCTTCACTGTATGAATCATAATTATCATCATCGCCGTCTTCAATCGGACCGTTCTTTTCGTCCTCATAGCTGCTATATTCATAGTCTTCTCCACTGGGATCATTCGCTCCATTCGCTTCTACAAAAGCTTCTTCATCTTCATCATATTCGTCATCATCATCATAATAGTAATAGTCGTCGTATTCTTCATTCTTGTTCACTTCATTCACATTTGGAACCTGGAGAGGTTCGCTGGTTCCAGCAGGTTCTACAAAAGTCTTTTGATCTTTTTCTTCTCCTCCTTCTTCTTCATTATACTCATAATCATCATATTCATAATCGTCATAGTCTCCTTCTTCATCCTCTTTCTCCTTCTCTCCTTCTCGATTCTTGCTATTTGATTCATTCAATACATTGGACTGTGGGTATTCTTCATACGAATCTGAAGAGTAATAATATGATTCATCCGAGTCATATTCTGCATTCTCATTTGATTCTTCCGAGTCATATTCATCATATTCTTCACTCTCATCACTACACTCAACAAAACGCAGTAAACCTACTCATTGCCCAAATTCTTATCCACTCCAACTATATTGGATCGTGAAAAACGAGAACGCATCAACAGCAGATACTTCTTATTCTCAGAGGCAATCGAAGCTAATCGATTCATAGTATTCACTAAGCCTTCATTCATAAAAACCAATAGTACATCGCATCACCGCCACTTCTTCCTCTTCCATCAACATGTTCCAAGTACTCGCAAATGATTCATTTCTAAACAACTGGTTATTATCCTCCGCCTTAGCCAATGGGAATGACGCCAATATCGCTTTCACATCCCTACTATTCAAGCACCATCCAAAACAAGTACTTTCCCTGGTCCGTGAAATAGTTTGAAATTGACTTTTCCTCCACAGAATCAATCGTTGGACTTTTAAACACCCCAAAACTGCGAGAAATGCTCTGTTGAGCTATTCGCTGCAGAGAAACGGTATCCATGTTGTATATTCAAAATAGTAATGTGGAGAATCTTTCTCCTCGGTAAATAATAGTGTGAAATAGAATGAGTGAAGAAATAGATGGGTGTGATATAATGATAATAAGGAAGGTAAACAGGTGCCTCAATAGCTCAGTCGGTAGAGCACTCGCTTAGTAAGCGAAAGGTCAGGAGTTCGATCCTCCTTTGAGGCTTTTTTCTTTTGTATTATGGTGATCTATTTCATTCCATTTCATTCCATCTTTATTATTATTATTATTATTATCATGTTTTACTACTTACTACTCAGTGTCCTATCCTATTTTATCCTATCCTATCACTCGACTCTTTCATTCTTGTTTCCAACAAACACACAGACAACCATTTGATATCCCTGTTATATCACAAAACAAGTAGTTCTGTAAAACAGTTTTCCTACCATTTGCTTATCCCCAAATCCCTACTTTCCCTCACTGTATAGAATCAACCTACTCCTCGTCACTGCTCTCCCAACCATCATCTCCTTCCTGATTCAACATCTATTCCTCACCCCATCTCACCTCTCCTACATCCATGAATCCCTTCTTCTTATCCAAATCAAGATCCTTTTGATTGACCTCCACTTTCGGCTTCATCGACTCAGGCTTGGCTACCAGCGTCGCAGTCACGGTGAAATCCAGTCCCATGTACACAGGACACATGAAGTGCAAGTGGAATACGGTCTTTCCATCCTTCTGCACCTGGAATCGAGCGATTTTTCTATATTTTACAATGGTTAATAGCAACCGTGTTGCTATTATTTGGTAATCCAGTTTCTTGCTATTTGGATTACTGTGTCTTATATCGTCCGCCCTATAATGGTTGTGTTCCTAGTGTACTGTATTTTGCCATTGAATCATGATGGGAATTGTTAGGCAATTAAACAAACAACTTAACTGATCTCAGTATTCAGTGTTACTACCACCTGATTCTATTCTATTCTTTTAACCATGATTAATGGGCTTATTTTACCAAATCTGCGAGAATAGAGGAAACATTACCTAGGATGATAAAACAAATCTTATAGGAATACTTGAAATTGATTTCAGTTGAACTTGTTTAAATGAATGAGGTAAATTAACACTTTTAAGGTTTGGAATATCTATTTGCTATTAATATTCTATACCTAGATATCTACTTTTCAGGGTCACTCTACGAGGTAGATGGAAACTCCATCCCCCTGAATTGGTAATAGACATTAGATTGGGAAGATCTACATTTTACTAGTACTTATCATTTCATTCATACTTCGCATTAACAGCGAACAGGATTCATCACTGCTTCCGCAAAGTGCATATTCCCCAAGTTGAATGGTTTGTAGTGACGGAAGATCTAGATCAATCATTTCATTCGCTATTTTAGTACTTTTTACCGTTGTAGATATGGACCAACAAAATGCATGATTTCCTAATGTAATGGAATGCAGATTTGGAAGATCTAATCATTAGAAGTATTTAATATTAATATATGTTAATACCTCGAATCGTGAAAGAACTGCCATAAAAATTGTACGATTCTGTTCCAATTATACCAATTTTGATTTCTTGTAGCTTTGGTAAACTATTCAGATCAAAATCGCCTCCAAAATCACTGAAACTATATTCTCCAATTTCAAGCCATTCCAATGATTCACAATTCATTAAGTGGAATGATTTCGATTCATCATTTCCATAACTGTTTTTCTCCTGAGTGAATGAATTGATTCCGATTTTCAGTTTTTTTAACTGATTCAATCCATCGATTTTGAATGTTTGCACTGATTCAAAGCAATCATTGCCGATTTCAATGGATTGTAGCAACTTGAATTTGCTTAGATCCACTGCATTCAAATCCTTGCAATAATTAGACGAAATTGTCAAATCGGTCACCTGCGTACTTATTTCATTCAGTTTCATAGATCCAGTGACATATATTTTACTAGGATCAGAACTTGGCGTATAAATAGGTCTAAAAGTAAATTCAGGCTCAGCTATTGGCTTTGTCGAGCGAGTGTACCATCCATCATACAGATCTCTTCCACTCACTTCCACTCCATCTTTCCATACACTTTCTCTCGTAGCAATTCGAGTTTCTTCATCGATCCAGTATCCTCGACCATTTCGAAGAAACGATTCTTTCGATTCATCATACGCAAATTCACCCACATAAACGGGAATTCGATTGGATACAATCGTATTGTCTCCGTTTCGTTTAAATTCTGTCATAATGGTCCCCTCGATTTTACGAATGATCTCCTTCAGTTTATTTTTCTTCCAGATGCCTTCTAGTATCATATCTCCTGATTTCTCGTCAAACTCGATCCCCCATCCCTCTCGTTCTCGATATTCATTGAACTCTCCATGGTAGAGCCTATTCCCGCTTTCATAGGAATAGATTTCCAACCTCTCTCCTTGAATATGGTTGACAATACGATAGCAGTTACGGTTATCCCATATGTCATCGAATGACTGTACGAACGCAACGCAACCATTTTCGAATTGAGTGAAATCGCCTATCTGAGTTTCATTTTCTTCTTCTTCTTGATAGTACATTTTGAGTATTCCATTATGGAATAAGCAAACGTTGCCATCTTTCTTCACGATGTATTCATCTGCGTGATCCCCTTGAAAACACTGGAAGGAATAGTTTGAACCATCCTTCGTTATTCTTTTTGGTGTTTTATACGTTATATAGCCATCCAATAGATATTCTCCACCCTTAAGCGGTTGCAGCCTACCTATTTGTGAACATTCATTCGTTATCCTTACTTTCTGAATTCATTGCCAATTCAGTTTTTATATTTGTTTTTTGTTATTGTTGTTTATTTTTCTGTTATGTTTCTCTGTTAATTATTATCACCATGCATTTTCAGCCTTATTAATAATCATTACATAATAGCTGTATGACATGTTGATAATAGATTTTTTAATATGTTTCTATTAGTCGTAACGTTTGTTGTACATACTTTTTCTTTCCTCATATATCTTTTTATACTTATTACTATTTTTGTATACGTAACCTATTCCTTGTATCTTTTAATTGGTATGATTTTTGCGGGTCAGTTAATCATCATTCCTGTAACAACGTCATATCGCTAACAAATAGCACAAATATACTTTTTTCTACCCTATGTCATGAAATATCCTTTTGAAATATAATAAACACTTCTCAAACAAACATTCAACATTTCAAGGTATCGAAGCACTTAATTCTTCGACTTCCAACTCTTTAGACGCTCCCACATCGACTGTCGAATTTCTCCCCGACTCGCCTGCTCTGTAGAAGATCGATGAGACACAGGCTTCACAGTAGGAAGTGGAGGAGCTTTTCTCGTAGGTGGAGGAGGAGGGGATTGAAGAGAAGGAGGCTGAGAAGTGGGACGAACATCGGACTCAGATTGAGGTTTGGCTTTCGGATTGAGTCGAATTGTCTGCCAGTCCTGAGCCACCTTCTTGAGTTTTTCTTCGGCCTGAACGTCGAGATAATGCTTATGGCTCGCTTTTATCGCAGTGATAAAAGAGACAATATAGCTGAAGAATTCCGTGGACTTCAGAGAAGCCGGGTTTTCTCCAAATTGCTTACACAGAGAATTATAACAATCAACAGAAGCTTTGTAATAATCCCGAAGCTTTTGCAAATCTTCGTTTGCCTTGTTGTAAAACGGAGTGATCTGAGACACGAAATAGTCGTGATCATGCAGCGGAGGAACTGCGATCTGCGCTTTCAAGTTGTTGACGTCCTTCGCTATGGAGCCAATGTTTTTATTGATGTCATCCAAGGATAAATCGGTTCGACGCTCCAAAACGGCCATTTCTGAGATCACCTTCAGCACTTCTGGCTTTTCCGCCATCATTTCCTTCACAATAAAGCTACCAATCACAAAGACACACTATCGCCTACTCAATCAGCGAAACCGCATTATCGTTTGATTTGGTTCGCTCTAATTGACACAAGATCTCTAGATGGAATCCACACGCTCCTCCTCTTGTCGACGATCCGTTCAGATAGTTTCCGAGATCCAACACATAGCCCAACAAATAGAAAAAGTGCGGATTCTCCAGTACCAAGCGACAGTCACTTTGGAAACTCGTCAAATCCGATCGGATCTTTTCGACTTCTTCTTTGAAATTCGACTTAAACAGCAGACAATGCGCTCGCTCATGACAGTTGGGGATTTCTGAGACGGAGTACAAAAAGAGATTCACGAGAGAGAGTTTGTCGAGATCTCCCTTATATCCTCGAATGGCTACGCATTCCTCTTCCTTGGGAAGGATTTCACACATGACTAATAGGGATTCAGACGATAAAGAGAAATTATCAATGTTCAACAGGATCTTTTTTACCTCTTCTCCGCTGTAGCGAAGCTTCCGAACTCCAATTCCGATATTCGTTTCGCGCTTTGCGTCCACGAAGGACGTGTGCTCTTCCTCGGACTGGGTCGAACTCATTCCACTCAACGACATTGACGGCCCCTGCTTTTTCAGCTCGAAGAGATCTTCGATTTCCGTACTGTTGAACTTTCTAGGCGAGGGCATTTTCTCCCAGATTGTGTCTTTCAGCCACCGACCCGACACTACCGACCAATAGACTTGGCGAAGCGGAACAGATGGATTGTACTTAGCACGGCTGGGCGGTACATACGTGTCTTCTGGTTCTGTTGGTGTTTGTGGCTGTGTTTGTGTTTGTGGATGTAGCTGCGACTGCGGCTGCGATTGTGGTTGGGACTGCGGGTGGGACAGAGGATTTCGCTGCAATTTCTCTTCGAGAGAAGGCTCCTTCTTCTCAGAAACAGGTCGAAGGGCAACCGGAGCCAATTTGGCTGCCAGAAGCGCTGCTAATGCGGGACGTCCGCCTTCGTTCTCGTTCGATTCCTGCTGGGGCTCTTCTTCGTCCCACTCAGGTTCCTCTTGGTCAATCACCGAAGGATCCAGACCCTCATTCTGCATTTTCATCTTCAAATTCTCGATCGGCATGTGCATCTTCTTCAGTTTAAAGTACTTTTTGTACACAGAATCGATCGGACATTTCTTGGCCTTTGGTCCCTCGTTTGAAGAAGCCTCTGGCTTGATCGGAGAGTCCTCGCTCTGTGGTTGCTGCTGCGCAGGAGCAGAGTGTTGTTGTTGCTCAGGAGCAGGCTGCGGTTTGGCAGGAGGCGATGAAAGTGGTTTAATAGGAGGCGATGAAAGTGGCTTCGCAGAAGGCGATGAAAGTGGTCTGGGAGGAGGGGTTTTCAGCTTGCTTGGTGGTGGTGGTGGTGGAGGAGGAGGAGGAGGAGGAGGAGGAGGAAGCGAAGACTTGGCTGTTGAACTAGAAGACGAAGAAGAAGAAGCTGCTGCCTGAGGTCGCGAAGAAGGAGGAGATGGAGGCACTTTGCTTGGAGTCGAATTCCGCAGTTGGGAGTTGAGTGATTCCATCTGCTTCGCCTACGACAATCAATCTCTTTTTGCTCACTCTTACCATCGTACGAATCTTTTCTTCCATCTCCTTCTTCTCCTTCTGCGCAACTTTGCTCTGCTCGATGAGCTCTTGCTCATGACAACGACTTTTGTTATAAGTAAACTGAAGCTCATCATAACTCGACTTCATTTCTGCGATTTGCTTCGTTAAACTCTCTACCTTCTCCTCCAGCGATTTCTCGTTCTTCTTCTTCTTCAGCATCTACCACTCACCCTCCTTCTCCAAGCCCACAGTCAACCCCAAGTTCCGCTCATTCCACTGCGCAGAAACCAAGACCAAATTCTCCGAAAACTCGATGAGAGATTGCCAGAGATCATGTCCCAGCGTTCCCTCCGCAGGCAATTCAAGCAGATTCCGCAGCAGCTGAAGGTAAAGCGACTGCGTCGTTTCGTCTGTACAGTGGCTTCCCACAATCTCTATCTCTGAGGTTGATTCGAAGCAGAGTACGAGCGATGGGAGAAGCGTCTTCGATCGAAACCATCTCCAAATCTTCTTCCGTGATCGTTACATCCATGACATCGCGCGTGATCTCGAGGATCTTTTGCAGTTCTGTATTCGAACTCAGCGCCTTGTCAGACTCCAAAGAGTGACAAATGGAAAGGAAATTCAGATTGTGATACTCGGAAATCAACTAAAGAGAATCGACAAACAGAGAGCGAAGCATACAGCCACTTTCTTCGAGAGGGTTTTCGCAGAATACACCAACACGGCCAAAAACTTCAGGATCGTCATTTTCAAATCGACTTCTGCAGAACTCGATAGAATAGACATCAAAATCGATAAGGTCGATTCGTTGAACGGGGACGAATAGCTCGTCTCTTCTCCACAGAAATACTGTGCCACAATATCTGCACTTCCTTCCACATCTTCACACTTCTGCGATATCATGGCCACTGTTTCGCGAATCAACGAGAGATCTTTGCAGTGAAGCACATCACACAAAGTCCGGAAAAAGAGAGACGAAGAAACAATCGCAGAGGCAGCTTCGTCGATTCCTGTTATCTCGTTCAAAACGTTCAAATAACTAGATATAATCGACTTGATTTGTGGAGATAGATGTTGTGATAACACTTTGGATAAACACTACGAATGGAGAATAAATCTAGTAGCAACACAACAGAGAAACGAAATGCCGTCTAACTGGACGAATAACGTCGATGCAACGGGATAATCAAGCACCATTTTAGGATACGAAAGGATTGATTCGCTGGATGGATCTGCGTTCAGCGTTTCAAACATTTTGTGAACAATGATCTCTCCTTCGGCCACCATGGAGTTGCAATTGGCTACAAACTTCTTCTTCTTTTCAAGGGTAAACTCGGAAACATCGTCGACAAGATCTTCCACCTGGATGTTGTTTATCATCATGTAGTAGTCAACACTATGATATCAGACACAGGGGAAGGAGTACAGCATATCAATCGTGTCTAGATCCGTTTGCTTGCAATCATCAGCCGGAAGGTAGGATAGACATTGTTGGATCTATTTCACATAATCGAATCACAACTACTTTCTCCACAAGGGCTTGATTCTCCTCTTGTTCGGAATTATTACATACAACAGACAGAGTTCTGTGAAACAACTGAATATCAAAGGACATTTTGTTCGTGGAAAATGCAGAAGGAAACGTGCAACGCTCAACTGCGCGCAAATTGACAACACTATGCGTGATACAGTGTGTTCATTCAAACGATGGAAGGTTCATATCACGATGGAACGAAAATGCCAAGACAAATCTTTCTAAAGATATTTCGCTTTCAATATAGTTAAGCTACGTGAGTGACGCTATTCCCAAATGTCACACCTCTCCCAGACAGCGAGTCGAACTATCAGCGACCAAAGCACGGTATAATGTCATAGCGCTCAGCGACAGGACAAAAGACAATTAAAACCAATAATGGAGAGCTACCTCTTTCCCTTTTGGAAAATCTATCAACGTGTATGACTTTTGGAATTCCAACAAACATGACTATTTCATCTGATCCTTCTCTCTGATCTCTTTCAAGGAATACTCCAGGGACTCCAAGGAAGCTTCCACTCGGTCCGTTAGCTCTTTGTATATAACGTACATCATCCGGTCTCGTTCTTCTTGAGTCTTACATTCAGCTAGCATTTGTTCACTGCGATCCATAATATCCGATACATCAATCGGCTCTCCAAACTACGTCAAACCACAAGTTCAAACGCTACCTTGCAATACACATCCACATTTTTCCCCGGAATGATGCTAATCACACTCAAATCTTCCGCTTCTGGAAGTACTTTTTCCATATTCAAATGGTAGAACGGCAAAATGATCAGTTTTCCATTGTTTACACCATTAGCAAACGTGTTCGTCTTTTCCCCTTCTCGCTTTGCAGTCTCGTAAATTACGCGCCCCACTCCCCATTTCATGGGTCCAAGACTTCGTCCTGGAGGCCCGGTGCGACCGCTGGCTCGAATTCGGCAGCCTTCGCTATTCCAGCACGATTTCAATTGATCCTAAACACTCAGATTGAACAACCACTCACTCCTACTTGATAAGTACGGCCCTCTGGGAAGATGTGGCACCATTCCCCGTTCCGCAGACGAGCGATGAAATTGGTGACGGCCGTTTGGTACACGCCACCGCCTCGCCAGACTGGCATGATCTTTACAGTTGCTACGATCATAGCTTTCAGGGTGGTTTCCGAGGTCTGGTCCTCGCGAGCCAAGTTCCAAAACCCACAGTTGTGGGGATTCAACATATCACGAAAGGAGACGACAGGAGAGGGGAGACTCGCACTGTCGATCGTCGACACATGATTTGACACAGTAAGCAAACCGACGCCATCAGGCCTTTCTAAAACAGTTCTTAAATTCTCGACGCCATAATAGTGGGTCGAATTGCGACGGGTGAGTAAATAGGTCATCACCTCTTTCACTGCAAAAATGTTTATAAAACGGACCTACGAGGAACTAGTAGAAATCACACCCTACACACTTCAAAGGAAAGCTCTCCTCGGTACAGGGCTTTATTCGAGGATCCACCACATTCTGGTACTCCTGTGGGCGATTTTCGTGGGTAAAATCACGGTTCTTATATCTGCAATCTTAAACATGGTTTAGGAGGAAACCCGTAATAACCTTCCAGCGCAAGAAACCCACCCAAGCCTGTAGCCACAAGTTTCCCCACTCGATTCATGCGATAGGGAATCAGAAAAAATGGTTTGAGAAAACCGGGACGCACTAGTTCGTACGGAAACAAACAGATTAAAGATGCATACAGTTCACATACTCGTCGAAGTACAAATAGAACTCCTTCGCTTTCGCTGTGAATTTCTGCAATAGTTCACCCGATGCCCCCAATCGCTTCAGTGCAGCGTAGCACTCTCCATACTTCTCCAGCGAGCTTCTTCCCGCCTTCTCCAGCATTTCCTCCACTTCTTCCGCTCCCTTCAACTCCGCCAGGTACATGATCGTGCTCACATCGCTCCAGTCCGCCTTCTCCATGTCTTCTCCTTCTCCCTCTTCGCTCACCTCCTCGCACGCCATATTGCAATGCTTCATCCGCTTCGCCGCAGCACGAGCAGCCAATGGAGCGAGTCCCTGCAGAATCTTCAGCGCCTGCGCTGCGATTTCCCCGTTTTTCGCGGCAATTCCGAACTGAATCACCGCCTGCATGCACTCCGCGCAGCCTTTCCCGACCTCCAGCAGCCGCTTCGCGACCGGGAGCGCGGCTTCCAGCGGGTCCTTGACAGCAGCCAGCTAGACATGAAGCGAAAAGGCCTCGCGAACCTCGAAGCCATCGACGTCGGTATCCTTGGCGTTGGCTTCCGCCTTTCCCTTCTGCGGAACGACGACGGAGGGGAACTGCTTCAGATAGGCCTGCTTGTTGATGGGTCTAGAATGGAGAGGAGAGAAAAGACGGACTGTTTCGCGAGTTGGATGGCGCAGCGAAGATAGCCGGCGGCCGCGATGCGGTAGTAGGGATGATCGTAGATGGAGTCGACGTAGCGAAGGAAGCGGAAATAGGACTGGAGCGTGACCTTGCGAAGCACGTAGGGATGGAAGTCGAATTGGTCCAACACGAACGTATCGAAGTGAGACACGACGTTGTGGTACATTTTGTTCGCGTGCACCACGTCGCCCGCTCGCTCGTGGCTCAATCCGCATTCGATTTCGAACCAGCACGCCTGCATCTCGCGAAGATCCACGCGCGGCATGATGTTGCGCTTCGTCCAGTAGCCCGCTAAGCGATCCGCCTCCTCAATGTTCCCAGCACGCAGCAAGTATTTCACGTGTTTCGAGTTCATGAAGCGGTCGCCCCGATCCAGCGAGGACGCGAAACCGATCGCTTCCGCCGCTTCTTTCAAAGCGCCCGCGTGCTTCAGCACCTTCCCCTTGAGGATGTAGAGATCGTAGCACGTGGGAGTGTGTTCCAACGCCTTCTCGATGTAGCTCAACGCAGCCTCGGTGTGATGCTCGAAGTCCTCCAACTCGGCGAGCAGATACAACAACCAAAGCTTCGCCTGGGGCTCTTCTTCTTTTTCTTCGCTGTTGCTGCTATTGCTATTGCTGTTGCTATTGCTATTGCTATTGCTGTTGCTATTGCAGGTGTTCTGAGTCGCAGAGTCATCGAAATGGCCGGTCTGCTCGAGCTTGGCCAATTGCTGGGTGCACAGCTCGCGGAAAATCGAAAGCTACGCTGGAATCATTGCTCCGAATGTACCTTTCTCGGACTCTTCACGAACAAGGGACGCAGGCTTCGGAAGAAGGACGGGACTCCCTTTCTAGGCCTCAATTCTCCATGCAGATTCCAACCTCGACGCCTCAATGATCATCTCCTTGCACAACGGAACGAACTCCGACTCATCGCGCAGATGCAGCTGCACGTGGCGAACCACCAGACAGCTCGGGAGTTTCTCGTAGAGAGCGTCGTAAAAGGCGCGAAGACGCTGAGTCTGCTCCGGCGAAAGAGCGAGCGAGGTGCTGGGAAGCTGCAGCCGCGTCAAGCGATCGAACGACGAGAAGTCTCGCAGCTCGCAGCACTCCAGTCCCCGCAGATACAGATAGTTCATCCGGTTGTCTGGGTGTGAGAACACTAAGAGAAAACGGGTACGCTCGAAGAGATCGGACCAGATCTTCCGGCTTTCCTCGATTCCGTCGCGCGACACACCGTCCACTTCGAACGTTCCGGCTTTGCCGAGCAGAGTCGCCAGTTTCTCCTTGGCCTGCAGCTCGTTCAGCACGTCCGACATACCCTTTTCGAGCGTCGTGATGGCTTTGACACTCTCGTTTTGGCGGAGATAGCAGTCGACTTCGAGGAAGAGAAGCTCCTGACGCGTGTAGGAAGCGCCCTCCTTGAGACTGCCTCGATACGCATCGATCGCCTCCAGGCATTTGGCGTAGTTCTCTTCGAGGAAGTAGCCGACGATCAAACCAATCCAAAAATTCTCGCGACCAGAGAGTTTGTTCACCAACTTTTGATAGCACTCCCGATAGATAGCAAAATTGCGTGTCTGAGCAGACAATGCTGCCAGATCTAAGAACAGCTGGAGATTGGACGAATCTCGCTTTGTAGCAAAGTAAAATGCCTTTCTGGCTTCCTCATAGTTTCTATTTGGCAGAAAAGAAACCTCCCGTACTTGCAATGACGATAAAATAAACCCAAAATTTGCCAGCAGATCCCGTTACGCATATCGAGGCGTAGAGAGTTTCGAATCTCGGTTTCTGCGACCTTCTCATCGTCTTTGTTCATCAGATAGAGGAGGAGGTGTTTCATGCAGAGAGTTTCTTGTTCTTTAGAAATTGCCGCTTTTCCTACTTGCATTCTTGGGGTACTCGCTCAAGATCGTGTTTGCAATTTTCAACCCCTTTTTATATTCCTTTTCCTCGTACGATTTCTAATCGTTACTAAACCCTCAAACTGTTCACAATGAGAGTGCTAAACTGATTCTCTTTCGCCTTCGAAAGCGTCTGATCGTCTGAGCTCATTATTCAACCTTTTGTTGAACAAACAAATAACCCAAAACCAAACTGTCGACTCTACTTGCTATTGCCCTTCGCCTTCTTCACCATCTCCTCCACAATTCCCTTAGGGACCTGACTCATCGTCTTGAACTCCATCGTGAACTCTCCCTGACCCTGCGTGTTGGATCTCAGCTCGGTACTGTATCCGAACATGCTCGACAGCGGAACCTCCGCCTCCACCGACACAAAGCCGCGGTCGTCGCTGTTCGTGGCGAGAATGGCTCCCTTACGACGATTGATGCCTCCGATAATCGCGCCCTGGAACTCCTGCGGAATGTCGATCTCCACCGACATCAGCGGCTCTACAATAAAAAACGACTACAGCGCAGTACCCAGCAGAAGAGGGTTGGCTTTCATCATCGACTCCAGCACGGCCATCTTCGCAGCGGTGCGGAAGGCGATTTCGTTCGAATCCACGGAGTGGCTCTGACCATCTCTACATGTCACTGCGCTTTTTCTCCCTCCTCCTACAAAAGCACAAAACGAATTCCGGTGACCGGATATCCCAGCAGGCGACCCTTCTCGATGGCCTCATAGAATCCCTTCTCGATGGCCGGCAAAAACTCGGGCGGGATGTTGTTGCCCACCATGTTGTTCACGAACTCGTGCTTCACAGGACCCTCATAATCCATCGGCTCGATGTACCCAATCACACGACCGAACTGACCCGAACCTCCGGACTGTTTCTTGTGCAGGTAGTTGAACTCGCACTTCTTGCTGATCGTCTCGCGGTAGTTGACGCGCGGATAGCCAACGTCCACAGCGCAGTTGTACTCGCGCTTCATTCGCTCGATGTAGATCTGGAGATGCAGCTCGCCCATTCCCTTGATGATCGTCTCCTTGCTCTCCTTGTCGTAATCCACTTGGAACGTCGGGTCCTCCTTCGTGAAGCGCTGCAGCGCCTTCGAGAAGTTCACTTCCCCGTCGTGGTTGTGCGGCTTCACAGCGAGCGAAATCACCGTATCCGGCACGAACATCGAAGACATCGCGTAGTGCACTTTGTTGTTCGTAAATGTATCGCCACTCGCGCAGTCGATTCCGAAGATCGCGGCAATCTCGCCAGCGCCCACCTCCTGGATGTCCTCCATCGAGTTCGCGTGCATTCGGACCAAACGCGACACCTTCACCGGGCGGCGAGTGCGCATGTTCGTGATCATGTCTCCGCGCGCGAGCTTTCCCTGGTACATTCGCAAGTATCTTTCGATCACCCAGCCTCCAATCGCCTACGTCAACTGGCCGTATTTGTTCTCCTCCAGCTTGAACGCCAGTGCCACCATGTTGTCGTTCACCTTGTTCGACAGCGTGACCTTCTTCTCGTTCTGATCCAGATCCAGCGCGGTGTTCTCCACTTCGTTCGGAGCCGGCAGGTAATCGTTCACGCCGTCCAGCAGCAGCTGAACTCCCTTGTTCTTGAACGCCGATCCCATGAACACGGGGACAAACGTGCGAGCCAGCGTGCAGCGACGAATGCACGCCACCAACTGCTCCTGCGTGGGCTTCTGCTCCATCAGGAACATCTCGCCCATTTCCTCATCCACCTCCGACAAACGCTCGATCAGCGTGTTCTTCGCCTGGGCTGCTTGCTCCTTCAACTCCGCAGGAATCTCGCTGATCTCTATGTCGTCTCCGTTCGGTCCGTTGAAAACAACGGCGCGGTCCCGCACCAAATCCACCACACCCCGATGCTTGTCTTCCAGGCCGATCGGAATCACCACGGCAGAGGCATTCAGATGAAGCTTGTCGCGGAGCTGGCCGATCACACGGGTCGGATTCGCACCCTGCCGGTCCAGCTTGTTGATAAACGCCAGACGGGGAATGTTGTAGCGCTTCATTTGACGATCCACAGTGATCGACTGAGACTGCACACCACCTACTCCGCACAGCACTAAAATAGCGCCGTCCAGGACACGCAGGGCACGCTCTACTTCCACCGTGAAGTCCACATGTCCAGGAGTATCGATGATGTTGAGCTCGTAGTCTTTCCAGACACAGTGCGTTGCCGCAGACTGGATTGTGATTCCCTTCTCACGTTCCAGGTCCATAGAGTCCATAGTTGCTCCCACTCCGTCCTTTCCTTTCACCTATTCGGAATAGACATTTCGTTGCCAACTACCTCATGGATCGCACGAATTTTCTTTGTGTAATAAAGAATACGCTCAGTGAGAGTGGTTTTACCAGAATCGATGTGAGCAGAGATTCCGAAATTTCGGATTCGTGCAATTCTGTCGTCGTCAGAAACAGGCGCGGCAAAACAACGGCTGAATGCAGAAGTTGCAGCAACGGCCTTAGCAGCCATCAACCCCGAAATTGCATGACGAAAGTAGCAACTAGATCCACGAGCAAGACCAGAGAGCATATTATCCGATCTGGAAAACAAGAAAGTGATTTCTGAAGTGTTGCCTTCTGAGAAATGTAGATGCAAGTAGACTTCTACGTAATCGTTCTATGCATTTTCACATTCTTCTATGGAATGGAGGGAACGGTTATTCCCCAAACAATCGTCCCAGTGTTAAAAGAAACAAGTGTTCAAATATGTATATATATTAATTAATTTATTACAAAACTATAATGATATGGCTTGAGAAGCTGGCATGAATTCCAGGGCACGTTTCTCACTGCTGCATGTCTCTAATAATGTTACAGTAACCGGGTTTTGAGAAATTGCTTTGAGAAAAATCAGGGAAGTCTTCACCTCATTGATAAACTCCCTCGCACAACGAATTATCATATATCCCGATTCCTTGTCCCACACAACAACTAAAAATGAATAGTTTTCGGCAACATCTCACTTCGTAGTTGTGCTACTTGTTTGCCAAGAGCAATGAGCCCAAAATTCGCTTCAATACTTCTCTATATTGTGAATCCAGCAAGAATTCCTCGAACTTTGAGTTCCCCGAGAATGTCGCCAAACTTGAGTTGGCTGACCCGCTTTAGATGGTCCTCTTGAAGTTTGCACACAATATACCTGGACTTAACTCTCATATGGAACAAACATATATAAATAAATAACCAGAGGAAAACTCAAAACTGTAAACCCTGATCAGAGAAAAGCTGTATGTATTCATCATTTGTAATATCAATATCTTGCAAAACCGCTTCAAGTTGTTTCAAGCGCTCAGCACCCCACATTCTATCAACTTCATCCTCAGAAAGAGAAAAGACTACAAGTGAAACAAGCAAACACTCCCAAACTGTTACAAATCATTTGTTTTACAGACTGAAGCTTCGCTTGTCCTTCTTCAAGATAGCGATCCGAATGAGTTTCTCGCACGACATAGTCCTCAGCAAAATCTACAGGGGAAAGCACAGAGGATGAGCATAGGTTCTGCATTCGAATAAGATCACACTCTCCTAAGCTCAGATTTCGATACAAAGCATTACTGGACACGAAATAAGGATAGTCAATCGTTAAAAAGCCATTTTGATTGCTTTTCTGAGTGCGCTCTTTCAACACTTGCTCTAGCAAAAATCCTTTGCCTTGGGTCTGGAAAAGCAATTCATCGCTACTATCGTTTTCCAACTCTGAAGTTCCATATGCTAACCCATACCATAAAGACTTTGCCTGTTCCTCCGAAAGAGCAATGTTGTGGTTCTGACGGAGGCATTGGCATAAAGTATTCCAGTCAATATGATCTACAGATCAAGTCGTCTACAAACACCCACAATCACCCGACCAGCTAATAATACAATACAGTGTTTTTAAAAATATAATTTGATCGGATGAACTCAACAATTTTGATGCAGTTGGAGAAGGAGAGGGAGGATGAAAGAGTTTGTCATGTTCAATGTGGTGCATACTCATAAAGGGAATTCATTCAGAATTTTTTGAACGTAAACTTGAAAATTTCGCTTTGCTGTAATCATCTACCTAGAAACAGAAATCCATGGACTCACCTCTTTTTCGAAAATATGCTTGTATTTTCGCTGAATTCCTGAATCATTTCGAAAGTATTCCAACATTCTACCTTTGAAATTATCACCCTATGGATACACTTGGTTTATCTCCGATGGACTCAGGTTTGAATACTGGCGTTGAAAGGAAGAGTATTCAGAGTTTCGGAAAAGCAAAAAAGGACTAATACAGGACTTCTAACATTAATACAGCTCAAATGGTATACTGTGCTGCTAGGAGATTCGAAATAATGCGGAAACGACTTGGTACTACTTGACTCACAGAATTGTGGTTCACCTGGTTTTTGCTCCATGCTGTACAAAAATTAGCCAGGCAGGTAAGCGTAAATACAAATAAGTAGAAATCAAACAAACAAATACACTAAATATAAACTACAGAACTCAACCATAAAGGTCTTAAATATGTTCGCTCTTTATGTATAAACTCCCATTTTGCAATTGGAATTTCATCTCATTGCCTGCTTTTCGAAACTCCTGGAAGCGAGAGTGCTGTAAATCATAGGTCGACACGCCAAAAGAATCGACTGAGAGAGGATAGTTCATGCCTTGCTTCCATGCAAGAATATCTTTACGAATATCTAAACTCAATGAATCGTCATCATTATCTGCTCTCTTTAATTCATCTGGGTCAGCTCTCCGGGACGGGCAGCTTCGAGGACAGTTTTGCATAAACTAGAAACAAATGTGAACAAGGAACGAAATCACAGATCCTTAACGAAGAGCTGTGCCCTTTATAAATGATTCTAAACAAACAATTATTAAATAAATAAACAAGTACACAAGCTTTATGACAAAAGAGGATGGTAAGCCTTCTTTATCATTACATCATTCTCCTGTATCAGGGATTTTATTTGGTTCACGAGAACCATAAAATCTTCACGACATAGGTTTTCAGGGATTAGTATGTTACAGATTAAAGGAATTGCATCCTGGGCAATACTAAGCTAGATCAAACAGGAAATGCCTACACAGGAGCCGAAGCGATTTGCTTGATAAGCAACTCATACTGGAGGGATAATACTCCGATCAACGGATGAATTGTAAATTGAATGAGCGGATTATCTCCCAACTTTGAGTGAGGAATGTACTGAGCCTAAGACTAACCACTCTTCTGCAGCAGTACACAAACTCCAGGTTTCCCATTTGATGTTACAATGATGTGAAGCAGATTTGAGTAAATGCTCAATCCCACGTAATATGATTGAGTACCTGCTTTCTATTCATCATCAACGCTTTGCGTTAAATACTATAGTGCGATGTACATAGGGAACTGGAATTCGAGTACTCATTTACAAAAAAATATGAACATTGATGAAAGTACTCCTCCATATGACTACACTTCAATGAAATATTGGGATGAACGATATGCAGCCGATGAAACTGTGTATGAGTGGTAGGAACTTGACCACTAAAGTAATAAGTAGGGTGATGGACTACAAAGTATTTAAGGAGTTCGACATTGACAGATTTGTAAAGAAAAGTGATTCCATATTGTTTACGGGCTGCGGGAATTCTAGTGACAATATGCTTTCTAACTAATCAATAGATATCACAAGAGATATGTATATAGATGGATATCACTCTCTCTCTGCAATTGACTATTCGAAAGTAGTCATCCAGCAATTAAAAAAGAGGGACAGCGACTTGCCTGGAATTAAATGTAGTAATGACGGAAGTCGATTACTGATAGACAGCGTCATGGATTGTTTTGACATCACTTTTCCCTGCGAATCTTATGATGTCGTAATCGACAAGAGCATGCTCGACACTTTCCTCTGCTCAGAAGAGACTTGCAATAACATTCCTAGCTATTTGAATGGTGTAAGAAGAGTATTAAAGCCTGGAGGTGTTCTGCTCGTAGCTTCTTTCAACTCTCCTGATATGGTGATCGCCACTATCCTGTTTGATTGTAGATCAGCGCAGTGTTCTCTCTAACCGATGGACTCGACTATCAAATGGCTATGCGCCATTATGAAGAGATTGAAGGTCTGGAATCACTGAGAGATACTTATTCTGGACTATCGGAGGAAGAGTTGCGAGGACAGTACAGCTATTTGTATGTATTACGGAAGGTCGATGATAACTAATATGTTTACAAACAACACATGACAAAAAGCAGAAAGTTAAACCTCATTCTCACTATCACTCTTTAATAAGTCCTCGTCACTCAGGTTCGGTTCTAAGTCTCCCGTAGGTGGCTACAAATGAATTGGAAAACATTACAATACAATAGGCACCACAGTCGTTACATCATTAGGGTTGATTATAGGAATAGAAGATGAAGCAACAGACGACGCCAAAACAGGATTTTCGTTGCGCTTTCTTTCGCGCCTGTCAATTAAACAAAATAAACACAAAAATTACTCTCTTAAAAGATTTTCATATTCTGCAAGCTCTTCCTATACCTAAAGAAACATAAAGAGAGTTACATCAATAGAAGCAGGTTTCCACGACAAATAAATCACAGCCAGCAACCCAATAAAAAAAGTAGTACAGACAATAAACAACACAGTTAAAACGATCATCAGCAATGACAAAATAATTCTATGGGAAAAATGAGGGATAATTTGGAATTCACAAAAAAGTATTATGTAAGTTTTGGTCTGATCTAAGTCTTTTGATAAACAGGGTTGGACGATAGATAAGGTGAAATGACAAATTAGAGCAAAATGAGGACTGTATTGTTGTAATCAAGCAATGAGCCAAAGAAGGAAGGTATGAGAGATGGAAAAGAACACAATATCAAGCAGAAGGAATGCTACAAATTGTTAGGATGCAAGCAGAAAAGATGGAATGAGGAAACGTACGTATGTTACAATATGATGTAGCCTAAGTCAATTCGTTGAACTTGGGTGTTAGAAAGTTTTGAAAATACGAAATTGCTCGCATGATACTTAATATGGTTTCTTGTTAAGTGGAGTATAATATTTCCAATTCGTTCACAAATACTGGTGAATAATACATGTAGTTAAGTAAAAGAGTGATTGTTGGCAAGATTGTTTCGATATGAGCTGTATTTGTGTAACAGTATCACTAAGCTATTTACGAAATAATGGAGTAATATGGAAATGGGTAGAAGTAATCTTTTGGATCCTAGATAAGAAATGCCATCAATAGGAATAAAAATCTGTAGAAAGATGAATTGGGTAATACAATGCATCAGATACTCCATAAGATACGACAGAAGCCCATGAAGAGTGAGAACACTTGGTAAAAATATAATTATACATCCTATTGACTAAACAAGTAATGTATATTTAAGTAGTATGATATGGACCGTGTTTTGGACCATGAGAAAACACAAGCTCAACGTCTTTTTTGTTGGATTTCAGTAGTCGTTACTACAGATGAAATATCAATGAACACAGAAGGTAGAACGACCATACGACCAGAAAGAAAGGTATAGAGGTCAGCTATTTCAAATGAATAGTAGAGAATACATGTATAAAATAGCATAACGTAAAACTTTTATAGTGCCTAAAAAGCAATGTGTTATATCATGTTGTAGAAACAGAGTTTGTGGTACGACTGAGTCCATAACACGATAATAACATATACATGGAATAAAGGTACTTCTTCGTGTATGCTCAATTCATAAATCAAAAAAGAAGTGCATTGATAAAGCGAAGATTAAGTTATAGACATATTAGTAATAAGGAACAAACAAATTAAGTACAATACACAACTAAAATAAACTAATTATAGGTGGAAAAACTTGGACAGAGGATAAGAAACATCTATTACACAACTAGAAAATGAGATGTACTAACTATGGACTTTGTCGTCACATGTGTAAATGGATCTGACCAGCCACACTTCAATTTTACTGTTTTCAGGTTTGGTACGTCTATACTCAATTAGAATGTGATTCATATACTGTGGATCACAGCCTGCCTGGGGTAATCAAAACTGTATCCTGTAGAACCTAAATAGATTAATCCATAGAGATCTACAAGGAATCAACAAAAAATGACTTTCACTCATCATTGATAATGAACAAGAATCGCTTTCCGTTCCACGTAATGAATACTTACCCAAAGAGATTGATTCCAACTTCGGATTATCTACTCTAATAAAATAACAAATACCATTACTTGATATTTCTGTTGATAGCGAAGTGGCAAATGTGTTGTATCCAAGTTCAATTGTTACCAAGTTTGGTAAATCTAGAATATCATTGTGTTCAATTTAGTATTTTACCGTGAACTGAGAATGATGAAAAATAGAAATTGGATGAAGTTTTACCAATTATACCGATTCTCAATGATTTCAGTGATGGAATGTTCGTCAATTCAAATTTACCAGAATAATCACTGAAACTATATTGATCGATTTCAATAGATTCCAATTTGTCACAATTCGATATCTTGAATGATCGAGAATCATCTTTACCATAACTATTCTTGTGTTTTGTAAATGAATTGCTTCCTATTCGTATAGTCTTCAATTGAATTATGTTATCGATTAGTAATGAATTCGTATGATACATGTTTTCATTACCTATTTCTATCGATTGAAGAAGTTTGAATGCACTCAAATCAAATATCGTTAAGGATTCAGAATTGCATGCTTCTTTTGGAATCGATAATAGTGGTGATGACATTGACAATATCGATAAGTAGGAACATGAAGAAAACCCAGAAGGTATTGTTCGACATTCAATCATCGAAGATAGTGAAGAATGAACATCTAGTCATCAAAATCGATTCAATATTCATTACTCGATATAGATAATGATGATTTCATTACATATTTCAATGCATCTGGTAGTTTCACAGTTTTACATTTAGGAATGTCTAGATATTATTAATATCATTTTAAATGAATATATATACTGTATAATGTAACACGACGAGGAGACCATAAAGAATACTTATCTGATACAATTGATTCTAATAGAGGAAGATCTATACAAGTATTATCATCATTTATGTTATTAATGAATACTTTTCATTGTTAAGGAACATGAATCAAATCCCCAATTACCAAATATCGAATAATATCCTAATTGTATAGATAACAATTTAGGAAGATCTATTGATCAATTATGTGATTATTATCGATAATACTCTCAATATCAACTAAATTGGACCATCCAAATGTATAATCTCCAAGTTCAATTGTTATCAAATTTGGTAAATCTAGAATATCATTGTGTTCAATTTAGTATTTTACCGTGAATCGTTAGTGAACCATAATAGAAATTGGTTGAAGTTTTACCAATTATACCGATTCTCAATGATTTCAATGATGGAATGTTCGTCAATTCAAATTTACCAGAATAATCACTGAAACTATATTGATCGATTTCAATGGATTCCAATTTGTCACAATTCGATATCTTGAATGATCGAGAATCATCTTTACCATAACTATTCTTGTGTTTTGTAAATGAATTGCTTCCTATCTTTAGACTCTCTATAGTATTTTCTCCAATAATTTCAAATCTATCGACATTTGCAAAATTATCATTGTCTATCACAAGATGTTTGCCCAAAGAGTTTGGTTTCCATGGAATGAATGGAAGTAGATATTCCTCACAAATACTGCTTTCAATTTGAATAGTGTCTTCCTGAGATTCCATATATATTCTTTCCATACATGTATCTTCCATCATAACCTTCACATACTCTTCCAAGTGGGTGTGGATATCTGTATGTTACAAAATCAGATCATTCGCTACTCTTTATTTCTTTCTTTGAAACATAACCGAAGGAATGCGCAAGAGACACATTCGACACAGAAGGGATATTTTCCATCACAACTTGGCGGTAAAACAGGAAACTGTAACCTGAAGAATACATTGTTTGGAGTAAGGGCAGATCTAAGATTTACCACCTTTCTGTTTAAACTACCTTTCAGTACAACCAATGATTCATAATATTTCGATGATTGAGAATACTGACCTACTAAAGAATATTCCTCCAACGATATGCTCTTCAATTGAAGTAAGTCTACTAGTCAGGGTTTTTGGATACAATACTCTTCAGATATACTTCTCGGATATTCACAAACGACAATTTACCAAATTGAATGGATTCCAACATAGAGCAGTTCTCAATGCGAAGAATAGAGGCATAATCGCTGAAACTGTAATCGCCAATTGAAATACTCTGGAGGACAGAGCAAGCCGTCACTTCAAAGGATCGTGATGGATTATTTCCATACGAATTAACTGCATTTGTAAAGCTGTTTTTACCGATTCTCAAGTTCTTTAGGTAGTTCAATCCGCTCAAGTCAAACTTCGTTATCATTTTCATGCTGCGATCTCCAACATCCAATTCTTCCAATGCACTAAATCGACTTATGATTCTGGAAAAACTAGTCTCGTTATACCACAAATCATCCGGAATAGATAAGTGTTTCGTTGTGGAGGGCAACGAATCAATACTAGAAGCGTTTACATGATGGATGAGAGAGGCCAAGGCAATCGATACATTCCTTATTGACGAAGAATATACTGCATTGAACGACTCAGGAAGGAATACTCTATCTAAGAGCAAAATATCTATATTCTAGTGATGTATCGATTGACCCACTTGAAAGATCAATATGACGAACATTGTGGAAACTACCACCAACGGAAACTATCGAATGTAAGTGTGGAAGGTCTATTATCAATGATTTAATCCTCTTTTCTCCTACTTTTCATGATTAACACGTTCTCTTTATCATAAGATCCATACAGCGCATTTACACCGAAAAAGATAGAAGGTAACTCCAGTAAATCTTCTTTAGAAAAATAGC